CTCCAGCGACACTGCCCTCTGGGAGACCGACTCCGGCCATTGTACTCACCCCCTCACTCCCTCCCTCATCCCCTCACCCCTCACTCCCTCACCCCCTCCCTCATCCCCTCACCCCCTCCCTCCCTCATTCCACCCCCTCCCTCATCCCCCCATCCACTCCCTCCCTCATCCCCTCCTTCCCTCACCCCTCCTCACTCACCCCCTCCCTCATCACCCCCTCCCTCCCTCATCCCCCTCACTGCCTCCCTCATCCCCCTCATCCACTCACTACCTCCCTCCCTCACACCCCCCTCCTCACTCACTCCCTCATCCCCCTCCCTCCATCCCTCCCTCCCTCAACCCTTCACTACCCTCTCATACCCTCACTTTTCTACCTCATACCCCTCACTCCCTCATCCACTCACTACCTCCCTCCCTCCCTCATCCCCCTCACTCCCCGCCTCATCTCCTCCCTCACTCCCTCCCTCATCTCCCCTCACTCCCCGCCTCATCTCCTCCCTCACTCCCTCCCTCATCCCCCTCACTCCCCGCCTCATCTCCTCCCTCCCTCCCTCATTCCCTCACTCCCCGCCTCATCTCCTCCCTCACTCCCTCCCTCATCCCCTCACTCCCCGCCTCATCTCCCTCACTCCCTCCCTCCTCCCCTCACTCCCCGCCTCATCTCCCTCACTCCCTCCCTCATCCCCCTCACTCCCCGCCTCATCTCCTCACTCCCTCATCCCCCTCACTCCCCGCCTCATCTCCTCACTCCCTCCCTCATCCCCCTCACTCACTCTCATCTTCCTCCCTCCCTCACCCCCCTCACTGCCTCCCTCTCAATCACCCCACTCCCTCCCTCATCCCCCTCACGTCTCTCCCTCATCCCCCTCAATCCTTTCCTCATCCCGCTCACTCCCTCCCTCATCCCTCTCACTGCCTCCCTCAGCTCCCTCATTGCCTCCTTCATCCCCCTCACCCCTCTCCTTCATCATCCCCCTCACCGGCTCCCTCATCCCCCTCACTGCCTTCCTCAACCCCCTCACTCCCTCCCTCATCCCCCTCTCTGCCTCCCTCACCCCCTCACTCCTCTCCCTCAGCCCCCTCACTTCCTCATCCACTCACCACCTCACCCCCTCCCTCATCCCCCTCACTCCCCCTCTCATCCCCTCACTCCTCTCCCTCATATCCCTCACTCCTCTCCCTCATCATTCCCCTCACCGACTCCCTCTCCCCCTCACTACCTCCCTCAACCCCCTCACTCCCTCCCTCATCCCCCTCCCTTCCTCATCTCCCTCACTCCCTCATACCTCTCACTCCCTCATCCATTTACTACCTCCCTCATCTCCCTCACTGCCTCCCTCTTCCTCCTCACTCCCTCCCTCATCCCCCTCACTCCCCGCCTCATCTCTTCACTCCCTCCCTCATCCCCTCACTGCTTTCCTCATCCCCTCAAACCCTCCTCACCCCCTCACTCACTCCCTCATCCCCCTCACTCCTCTCCCTCATCCCCCTCACTGTCTCCCTCATCCCCCTTACTGACTCCCTCATCCCCCTCACTACTCTCCCTCATCCACCTCACTCATCCCCCTCACTGCCTCCCTCATCCCCCTCACTACCTCCCTCATCCCTCTCACTACCTCCCTCACCCCCCTCCCTCCCTCATCCCCCTCACTGCCTCCCTCATCCCCCTCACTCCTCTCCCTCATCCCCCTCACTCCTCTCCCTCATCCCCCTCACTCCTCTCCCGCATCCCCCTTTCTGCCTCCCTCATCCCCCCTCCCTCCGTTATCCCCCTCACTCCTTTCCCTCATTCTCCTCACTGTCTCCCTCATCCCCCTCCCTCACTCATTCCCCTCACTCCGTCGCTCCCTTCCTCATCCCCCTCACCCCCTCCCTCATCCCCCTCACTGCCTCCCTCAACTCCTCGACTCTCCTCAACCCTTTTCCACACTCCCCTACCTCATCCTCCTCACACCCCCCTTCCTCTCAACCTCTCCCCTCCCTTCACACTCCCCTCCCTCCCTCCACACTGTGCTCCCTCATCCCCCTCACTCCTTCTCATCTCAATCCCTCACCTCCTACCCTCATTGCCTTCCTCCTCAACCTCATCACTTCCTTCCTTCACTACCTCTCCCCTCATTGCCCCTCTCTTCAAACCCTTAACACTAGAGGCTGGCATCCCAGCTGGGGGTGCGGTGGCAGAGCTGGGAAGGGTAGAGATGATCGAAGTTTCAGTCAAAGAGGGGAGGGCGGAGGTAAACTAGAGGGATTTGGGGAGGGATGGAGTTTCAGAGAGCAGAGAGGACGGAGTGGCTACCCCCCCACTCACCGCCGCCCGACTGCCTACAATGTGGATAGGAGAAAATCCTTGCATTTGATACAGCGCCTCATCACGTCTTCGAGACGTGTCAAAGTGTTTCACAGAATATACTGTAAAGTGGAATGACTGTATATTTGGTGGGTGATACACGGCAGCCAATTAATTGTGCACAGCAGCGTCCCACAGTCGTGGATTGAGTGACCAAATTATTATTTTTTAAAAATGATATGTTTTTTGAAGAGATTATTTCTGCCGGAAAAGCAATCCGCCATACTACCAAAAGCAATACTACCAACTGAGTTCCTACCTACTGCCAGGTAAACAGAAGCGTGTGTACAGTAAGGAAACCTTCCTAATGCTTCCCCTGCTCGGGAATCGAACCCAGGTCCTCTCATTTGGAGACGAGTGCTTTAACCACTAAGCTGCAAGACTCCACAGGAGATGTGAAACGGGCGGTCAGTTGGGAGTGGTTGGGTTGCAAGAAGTCACCAAGGTAATAATAATAATAATAATAATAATAATCCTTGCATTTGATATAGCGCTTTTCACGTCGGGAGGACGTCCCAAAGCGCTTCACAGAACACACTGTAAAGTGAATTGACTGTATATTTGTGGGCGAACGCGGCAGCCAATTGCGCACAGCAATGTCCCACAAACAGTCATGGATTGAAAATGACCAATTTTATTATTGTTTTTGGTTTTGGAGGGATTATTATTAGGCTCTGTGTGGAGTAAGGAAACTTGCCCAAGGTTTCGCCCTGCCTGGAATTGAACTCAGGTCTCTAGCTTGCAAAGCGAGTGCTCAACCACTGAGCTACAGGACTCCACCAAGGTAGGGATGTGGCTGAGGCTCCGGAGAGATATCAACCTCAGGGATGAGAATCCCGAATTTAATCGGCTCGCAGAACACAATGCTGGTCAGGGCACAGACTGCAGTGTCGTCTGTCTTATGTAGAGGGGAGATAAGGGTCTCAGTAGCCCTCCATCTGGGGGAAATAGAGAAGGGGGAGAGATAGTGGCAGAGATGAGCGATGGTGTGAAGAGCCCATGTGTTCTCCTGCACCAGGCTCCATGAGCCTGTTACCCCCATCCTCGCCTGGCTCCACTGGCTCACCATCACTCAGAGGATACAGTTAAAGATCCTGACCTTCACCTTCAACAACAACAACAAAATTACATTTATAGAGCGCCTTTCACGTCGGGAGGACGTCCCAAGATGCTGGACAGTCAGGGGTCAGGACTCAAGCATGGGGGAGGGATGGGGTAAGGGTGAGGGAAGGCAGAGAGGTGGGAGGGCAACCGAAGGCACGATCAAAGAGGAGGGTTTTGAGACAGGCCTTGAAGAAGGCAAGGGAGGAAGCGATGCGAAGGGACTGTGGGAAGGAGTTCCAGAGTGTAGGGACAGAGAGGCTGGAAGCCCGGCCACCAATGGTAGGGCAGGTCGGGTGGAAGACATGGAGCTACCCGGAGTCCACTGGTTGGTAGCGAGTCAGCAGGTCAGAGAGGTAGGAGGGGGCAAGGCCATGGATGGCCTTGAAAGTGAAGACGAGGATCTTGAATTCGATCCTCTGGGGGATGGGGAGCCAGTGGAGTCGGGCGAGGGTGGGAGTGATGGGGTCACGGAGTCTGGTGCGTGAGAATACACGAGCTGCAGAGTTTCGGATGATCTCCAGTTTGTGAAGGGAAGAGTTGGGAAGGCCGATGAGGAGGGAGTTCCCGTAATTGAGCCTTGATGTGACAAATGTGTGGGTGAGGGTTTGGGGGCCTGAGGGGTGAGGCAGTGGCGGAGTCTGGCAATGTTGTGGAGGTGATGGTAGGCAGTGCCGGTCATGGCACGGATGTGGGGGAGAAAGGACAGTTCAGAGTCAAACAAGACCCCCAGGTTTCTGACTGGCTCAGTGAGGTTGAGTGTGCACAGCCTCCACAGTCTTGCTCCTCCCTATCTGTGACACCTAACCCCCTACCAACCTATCCGCTCCCTCCGCTCAGTGAGCTCTGACCTGCTTCACGTTCCTCACCTTGCCCACCCCACCTCTCTGCCCCCAGCCTCTGGAGCTCCAACCCACAGTCCCTCCAACTCGCCCCCTCCCTTGCCTCCTTTAAGACCTGTCTCAAGATCCTTCGACTGTGCCTCCGGTCACCCTCCTACCCCCAACCTCCCCACCCTCCACCCCTTTTGATCCCAACCCCCAGCTCGGGTGCGGATCCCTAACTGTCCAGCGCCTTGGGACGTCCTCCTGGTGTGAAAGGTGTTGTGTAAATGTAATTTGTTGCTGAAGGACAGTCGGGTTGGGGTGACAGAGGCACGAAGGTTCCGTATCGGCTGCGTGAGGTGGAGTGAGATCAATGTGGCCAACGCTTGAGGTGAGTAGGCACTGACGGGGAATTTCTGTCCTGTTGACATTGAGCTGGAGAACGTCAGAACTCATTCCAGGTCTTTTTCGTCCAGAACCTTATTCAATATTATACTGTTCTTTACTGTATGTGGAGGCGAATGCATGCCACCTGCTGGATTTTGTTAGCATGGTTTGTGAACTTTTATTTAAAACGCACAGCACAGGATTTGTTTACACACAGTAGAGAGCGTTAATATAAAAATAATCCTCACAAATTCCACGGTAGATTTTTTTCAATTGTTTTAAAACTAATTTAATGACTCACAGTGAAATATCTGTGCCTGTGACTAAGATTGCTTGTGTCTCATTCTCTCATTATTCTGCTGAATCCTACAAAGGAGGCAAAGAGAACAGTGACTCAACAAGTATTTGTGAAACAGTCATCACTCTTGTTTTGTGACCCTCCAATTATAAGCCCAAAGTGGAAAAGAGGTAGTAAAGAATACATTATAAGCACACAGTACAGACAGACATTGGTGTTATCAAAAAAACCTTGTGTGTTGCCCATTTTTTCATCAATTTTCTCTTTCCGAATTCCAGCACGCTCAACAACAATAGCAACTTGCAGTTACACAGCAACCCTCACGCAAGGCAGGTTCCAGAGCACTTGTCTTTGGCAGAGCATGACGATGAACCAGGGGAAGGTGACCGAAGGCACGGTCGAAGAGGAAGGTCTTCAGGCACGATCTGAAGATGGTGAAAGAAGGAGCAAGGCGGAGGGATTGTGTTGCAGAGTTTCTCCTACTCATCTTATGCAACCAACCATAGATTGGAGGCCATTCGACTCATCAAGTCTGTACCAACTCTCAGAGCGAGATGTCCATCCAATACCACTGTCCTGCTCTATCCCCACACCCCTGTAAACCTCTATTTATCATGTGTATGTGTACTTCCCTCTTGAAACCCACAATGGATTCTACTGCGTTCCAAGAGGTAGGATTTGATGCGGGACTTAAAGAGACAGGTGGCATGGAGAGGCGAAATGGAATGGTAGAGGTCATGGGCGTAGGAAGTGAAAACTCGGCTACCAATGGTGATGCAGAGAAGGAAGAGGCTATATATCTATATAGATAGCTATTTAGTTAGATATAGTGTGATGTTTTTACCTCTGTTGTATGCTGTGAAATGCTTTGTTTATTGATGCGTTGATGTCCAGCGCCAGTAATGTAGGGATCTCCAGAAACGCAGGTGACATGAGGGCGACAGTCTGTAACTCCTCACATACATTGCTTGTTGACCACATTGACTCCATCGCTTTAATATCAATGTTCCTATTAAAGGAAATATGTCATCAGTAGAGTGCAACATTTTAAATCAATTATTTTCATTTTATCCAAATTGTAGAAAATTCAGTCTTAGTTACTTGCAGAAAAACAGTTTAGAAATTAAGACTGGATTGAAGAACTTTGCATAATTCTGTGCCATCTTTAATTTTTTAGATAAAATATTCTTACAGGCTAAGACTAAGTGGAATTGTAGTTCCGTGGGGACCTAACCTTTCACGTCAGGAAGACATCCCAAAGTGCTTCACAGGATATACTGTTAAATCATAGTTTGCCTCATCCCAAAGGAGGCACATCCAACAATGCAGTGCTCACTCCACCATGACCTGGAGTGTCATCAGTCAATTCACTATACAGTATATTCTGTGAAGCCCTTTGAGAATTCTCGAAGACTTAAGATGATAAGATGCTATATCGAAAGCAAGGATTATTATTATTATTGTCCTAGACTATAGCTCAAAGACCTTTTGACTCAAAGGAGAGATTATACCAAGTGGCAAAGCGGAGCGATTACCTTTTTGGCCTGAATCGGGTGGCTTTGTTTGTGGTTGATAACTTCAACAAGTTCTGCTCATTTTCTGTAGAAAACTGTTGTTTCCTTTGGACGAGAGCCTGTTCGCTTGGCACCTTCAGCTTCTCACCCACTACACCTGCAAACTGGTTCATCATCCTCTGCCCAAACGGTAATTTGCTGGGGAAAGAAAATGAGATTCCAACTTTAATGAACTGCATTTGGGGGCATCAATAATCATTTGGACACAAAATCTGGGGTTCCACTGTGGCTCATTTGGGTTTGTCTTTATATTCCATATGAGGCTTCACCTCTCCTTATCCCCTCTCCCATAACCCTCGATTTCCTCTCATGTATGCACCATGTTTCCTCTTAAACACGTTGATGCTTTCTGTTTCAATCACAGTGGATGAAAAATAGTCTTCAAGAGAGTAAGGAGTAGAACAATTAGCAAGTAAAGAGGTCTCAGTTTGGCTCAGTTGGTAACACTTTCACCTCTGGGTCAGAAGGTTGTGGGTTCAAGCCCTATATCAGGATTGAGCTCATTGTCTCCTTGGGTTGATCCTGTAGACCAATGCTGGGAGTTGCATTTCAGATGAGATAATAATAATAATCCTTGCATTTGATATAGCGCCTTATCACATCTTTGAGACATCTCAAAGCGCTTCACAGAGTATACCGCAAAGTGAATTTACCGTATATTTTATGGGCGAAACGTGGCAGCTAATTGCGCACAGCAGTGTTCCACAAAGAATCGTGGATTGAGTGACTAAATAATTTTTTTTTTTAAGGAATTATTTCCCCCTGAAAAGTGATCCACCAATCGACACACAACCAGTTTCCTATTATTCTCTGCTTTGTGTTGATATGAGAATGTCTTACACTATGAGGGGGAGATTGTAATCCAGGGAGGGAAAGGAATAGAATAATAAAAAGCACACACAACCGAGCAATGTAAGTGGCACTCCTTACCTCTGGTAATTTGAGACTAATTCCTTTGCTTTTGGTAGATCAATGATCCAAGGCTGTGGCGTAAAGTCTGAAAACACAGGAAGCTCTGAAGGAGCTCGGAATGTTGGGATCTTCTTGGCGATTGGTAAACTTCCATCTACCAAACACTGAGAACATATCTGGTGAAAGTTTCTGGCGGGACTCCTCCTAACAGAGGCAGTATGTGAGTAACAAAGCAAATAATATACAATAATATATAGAAAGGATTAATCAACAAGATACAGTGTGGTATTGGAGCTGGAACAGCATCTTTCTGTGTACAAGTTGGCTCCTACATTATTCTTACACAGTCATCACACTTGACAGCAACTACCTACAAAGCACTTTGTGACGATAGATGGCATTATAGGCATTATGTGACGATATTGCAATAGTCCTTGTATCAGACAGAGGGAAGGTTTATCATATCACAGCCGAATGGCCTCCTTTTGAGTTGTATAAGTATAATATAATTCTATGATTCTATCCCCAGAATAGCCCAGTATCCACTAATGTGAAGGAGTGTGCAGGGGCTTTCAGAAGCAGTTGCAATAAGTGCTCAGTAAGCACTCTTTCATCCTGCAAATTTGTGCGGACCGAAAAACAGGAAGAGAATTGATTGCGTCCCAAAAGCTTACGTACGACCTACTTGGATTGATTTCAAGCTAGCATTCCAGTGGTTTAAAAAANCAGAGCCTGACGGATTGTGTACTCCTGTCCCAGGAGAAAGGTGAGGCCCTTTAAGGAGTAATTTCAGCCAAAAAGGCCTCTTTAAAATTGTGCTCAATACCTCCCTGCAGGAAACATTGCCTGCGTGCCGAAGATCTTTTGTTTGATCACCACGCTGGCAGATGGAGCCCCTTGATATCCTGGTCTGCCGGACTCTATGATAAAGGTCTGGTCAATGGGGGAGCTGAACCGCTTCTGTGTGACGTCAGTTGACTCTTTGGTGGCCACATATGGTTTGTACATCTGTAGACCAGTGTTGGATTTAAGCTTTAAAGAATAAAAACATAGTGGTATTAGACTTGCTCTTCTGCCCTCCTCTCCTCACCAGTATAAGGGCAATGGTACCATTTTGAGCTTCAAGCCCTTCATCGCAACTTGAGTTTCTTTTAAATATTTTTATATTTGCGTTTCATCCACAAATATAGTCAATTCACTTTACAGTATAATAATAATCTTTGCATTTGACATAGCACCTTATCACGTCTTCAAGACGTTTCAAAGCACTTCGCAGAATACACTGTAAAGTGAATTGACTGTATATTTTGTGGGCGAAACACTGCAGCCAATTGCGCACAGCAGCATCCCACAAACAGTCATGGATTGTATTCTGTGAAGCGCTTTGAGACGTCTCGAAGACGTGATAAGGCGCTACAACAACAACTTGCATTTATATAGCGCCCTTCATGCGGGGTAGTGTCCCGGAGCACTATATCAAATGCAAGGATTATTATTATTGAGTTCACAGTCCAGACTGGATCTTCAGAACAGCAATGGAAGCGTGAACTACATTGTTCAAGGTGATGGCGTTTGGATGACATCCCAAGGACGTCACCTCGGATGTCACCAAAGGGCATCCCGTAAAATACAGAACAAGTCTTAAAATTTAAACCTACCTGAGTAAACAAGAAACTCATCCTGCTCAAATAGCCGTGACGCTTCTGATCAACAAGAAGTTGTTTTGTTGTCAGGTTTTGTATAACAAATGTGTTATATGCTTCAAGTTTATCACCAAAATCATACAGTTGTACCGCCTCCTCTCCTTCTTCCTCCATGATTTGAGTCACTTTGACTTCTATACTTTTTCTGAGAGGAAGAAACATAAATGGTATCAGCCTAGCTCAGTTGGTAGAAATCCTGCCTCTGAATCAGCAAGATATGGATTTGAGCCCTACATGGGAACACAATGAGGGAGTTTCAACCTTAAATAAACCAAATGAGCCATTGGGAGAGGTGTATCTACGCTGGACTGATGAGTTCTGCAAATTAATTCTCCAACTTTGTTTACCTACAATTACACTACAGTTTGCACCAGATCCTTTGAAGACATCTTGACAACATGATAAGGCGCGGTATCATTTATTATTACCTCAGTTCTTGGATGCGGCGAAAGGCAATGTACTTCCTGAAGAGAAATGACAAGCGAAGAGCAACGCTGCGTCGGGTTTGATCAATGAGAGTTGTGGCTATTGTGTGAAGCTGCGGGGAAATGACACCTTGGTACATGGCTTGGTCCAAAGTCTTAACGTTTGTCCTCAGGAAGTCCGCACTGATGGTATATGAGTTAGCTGACATTTCTGCATGATGCTTTCGCTCTTGTTCAGCAAAGAAGGAAGGTTTTTTCAAACGTATTTCTTCCTTCGTCCCAGTTGGAGCTCTGGTTTGAGAGACCAAGCCCTGCTCTGGATGTTCCCTCCGGACAGTGATTTCCTGGGCTGGTGAGCTAACCGATGGGTGGTCTTCAACCTGCTCAGTGACTGCTTCGTCTGCCACCCTGCTCAACTGATTCACATCTGGGGAAGTGCTTAACATGTGGGTTAGAGCTTCAAGATTTTCCTTTTGGGCAGAAGTGATCTGCTTCAATGAAGACAATGACTTTTTGCTTGAAACTGGTATTGGCAGCAGGCTCGGACTGACCAAGGCACTTAATTGAGATACTTGCTGAGGGACATTTAAATAATTGGAATAATCTTCGAAAAGATGAGCTGAAATACCTTCGTCAACCATTGCTTGCTTGGTAACATTTACTGGGAGATTCTTTGTTGCGGTCTCAAAACTCTCTTTCATCTTCGTCATAATTGTGCTATAAAGACTTCTTAGCTCTGGAGTATTCAGAAGGTCCTGGACCTTTTTCTGCTTGTCTCCAGAAAGGTCTTTGCCACTGGCCATTCCATTATCTAGCGAATAGGTAATAGCTCTTTCAAAATCCTTCAGAATGTCTAGGGCCACCTCATGTGCATCACCATCCTGATCCTCCTCCTCTTCAAGTAATTGTTGTCTTGAGACATTCATAGGTGGTATTGTAAGGCTACTAATTTTCTTGTGCGTCTCCTCAAACCTGGCCTCAGGAAGAAGTTTAGTTGCGGAAGCTTTGAAAATATCCTTTATTTGAGTTTTTTCTTCCAAAGCCACTTCTGCCTCTGCTCTCTCCTTGATAATAGGCTGGGCCATCACTTCTTTAATCTCCAACTTTCGGACTACTGAAGGCTCTTTCAGCACGCTTTGCACTTTGGGTTCTGACACCATACCTTTCTTCTTCGTCTCCCTTCTGAAACTATCTGCCTCCTTGATGTCTGGGAAAAGAGTCTTCTCCCTGACTTTTTTTATGATACTCTTTGTTTTCTTCAGCTCATACTTCTTCAGGCTGATGACAGACGGGCGTCGCATATCTGGAGAGGTGAATGCAATGGAGGGCGAATGTTTGGGGCCGTGTTGTAGATTCTCCATTTTGGACCTCATCAATTTGATTGTTTCCTCAAGTTTTTGGTTGAGTACCCGAGTCTCCATGTAATTTCCCTCTGCTTGTTCTGCTCTCCTTTTAATCAATTTCAGCTGATCCCGAAGACGTTGCAGCTCCTGCACAAGACTGCCTTGCGGAGCCAGGTTTCCGAATGAGTCGGGCTTCCTTAATTCGTTCTCCACTTCAGAATATTCATCCGATCGCAACTTAAATGCTTTGTAGAGATTGGATACGTAATGCCTAACATATCTGAAAGCAATGTTCATGGCTTTCTTGTAAGGAAGGTTTTTTGCCATGTCTGTTAGCATTGCGTCGATATCTTCCAAACTTATTTTCACCATGTTTTCAGAGTTTGGCTCCAACATTTCTTGGGTAGATAGTGGTTTTAGGTCTTGGAGAGTGAGGGCAGTTTTGGGATCCAACCTAGTCTCCCTCCACCACTTCCAAGTTTCCTTCATGCGCTGTTCTGTAAAAGATCACAAGATGAGGAATCCCAAACTGGGCTTAGGAATCTGAAACTGAGCAACAATCCTCAAGATAATTTGGTCATTCTGTCTTAGTTAAGAATACAAGAATTTGCTTGGCGAAAGAAGACCAAGGTCCATCCAGTTCGCCTTCCACCGTTCTGGCAGTCGCATGACATATTGTGTCTCAAACTGTATATTGTATCCCCAGATATTTTTTCCCAGACATCAAGGAGTCAGACATTTTGTTTGTTGTTTGTGGGAACTTTGATGCTGTGGTTGCCTATCACTAACACAATCATTACACTTAACAGCAATTATCTGGGACGCTTTGTGAGGTATTTTGATGTTATAGATACTATATCAAACACAATGATTAATTATTATTATTGGATCTAGTGGGAAAAGCCATTGGACTATTGGTTTGGGTGTGACACTGTGCTAAACTCACTTAATTTTGGCTTCTCTTTCTTTTCGAAACCAAACAGAGTGTTACACAGTTTGGCAATGTGAATGATGCAGCCCTGGGTGGCAGCTAAGCTGGTTTGTACTTTCCTGTCAGTGTCCTTGATCCAATCCTTTGTCAATTGCCCTTCCTCTTCATCCTCCAGTTCCTCTATTTCCTCTGTTAATATTTGATCTGCATAAAAACACGAGTAAGTGGTCGTTTCTGAAAGTCACCTGTTGACATCCTCTGACGTATAATCAAAATTCCCCCAATATTTTAACCATAGTCATTTTCCCCCTGCTAACTTTTTGTAGGCAAGTGATCTAGTGTGCCCAGTATAAGATGTCTTAGCCTTCCGGAGCAGAGTTCCCAAGGGTCGATGTAACATACTCTTGGTTATCCAAAGGTTCTGATTAACAACTCCCTTTCAGAAACAGGAATATGCCATTTGGCCCCTCGAGCCTGTTCCACCATTCTATGAGATCATGGCTGATCTGTACCTCAACTCCAATTACCCGCCCTTACCCCATATCCCTTGATACCCTGAACTAACAAATATCTATCTCAATCTTAAAAATGTGAATGGATCTTGAAAATGTGTCTCGTCATCCCTGCACTCCACCATTCCGATTACATTCAGTTTGTGTGTCAGCCTGGCTCAGTGGTCGCACTCTAGCCTCTGAATCAGAAGGTTGTGGGTTCAAGCCCCACATCGGGACTTGGAAGCACATAGTCTAAGCTGACGCTCAAATGCAGTGATGAAGATATATTGCATTGTCGAGCTGCCGTTCTTCCTATGAGACGTAAACCAAGTTCATGTCTGCCTGTTTCAGGTGGACTTTAAAGATCTCATGGCATTATTTAAAAAAAGAAGGGAATTTTCCCTGGGATCCTGGGCAACAAACCCCCAAATAAAATTGGTCATTCCATGGCTATTTGTGGGACGCTACTGTGCACAATTGACTGCCACATTTCGCCCACAAAATACACAGTCAAACCCCTTTACAGTATAACCTGTGAAGAGCTTTGAGACGTCTCGACGACGCGATAAGGCACTATGTCAAATGCAAGGATTATTATTATTATAATTTAGAATAAATAACATACGGCTGTCTAATAGCCACTTCCACATGGTCGTCAAGATCATTTTTCTGGTGAAATTGGTATTTGAAAAATCAGAGATCATATCTATGAATCCATCCCTTTCCTTCAGCTGGTCAGGATGATTGGCAGGTCTGAGTCTCAGTCCTCGCTGACGGTCCAATTCCTTGCCCAGTCTTGCATGGTGTAAAGCTGCATTCACTCTGTCCCGAATGATATTCAATCGTTCAGCAATCTCCTGTTGGGAAATATCAGATGAAATCTCCATATTAAAAGACCTCCATTAACTGCATTCATGGAGTCCTGTAGCGTAGTGGTTGGAGCACTCGCCTCGATACCGGCTGGGGCAAAACCTTAGGCAAATTTCCTTACTCCACACGCCTCTGTTTACCTAGCAAAGTAGGAACCCGGTTGTTAGTCGATTAGTGGATTGCTTTCTGGGAGTAATACTCTCTTCAAAAAATAATAACTTAGTTACTCAATCCACGAGTTTTTGTGATACACTGCTGTGCACAATGGGCTGCCAGGTTTCACCCACAAAACACAGTCAATTTACTTTACAGTATATTATAATAATAATAATAATAATTATCCTTGCATTTGATATAGCGCTTTTCACGTCGGGAGGACGTCCCAAAGCGCTTCACAGAACACACTGTAAAGTGAATTGACTGTATATTTGTGGGCGAACGCGGCAGCCAATTGCGCACAGCAATGTCCCACAAACAGTCGTAGATTGAAAATGACCAATTTATTATTGTTTTGGTTTTGGAGGGATTATTATTAGGCTCTGTGTGGAGTAAGGAAACTTGCCCAAGGTTTCGCTCTCTGCCTGGAATTGAACTCAGGTCTCTCACTTGCAAAGCGAGTGCTCTAACCACTGAGCTGCAGGACTCCACAAATATTCTGTAAGGCCTGTGAGATGTCTCAACAACATGATAAGGTGCAATATCAAATGCAGGGAATATTATTAAAAAAAAGATCCTTGCATTTGGTACAACACCTATAAAGTCAAAATGTCTCAAAGTGCCGTCACAGGGCAAACTGGGTCTTGACATCACCCAATGCACCACATGCCATTACCACCAGGAATCACGCACCCACACAGAGAGAGGCCAACATTCCCCAGACGAAATTGGTCATTAACTTCACAGCTGCTTAAGGAAAATTGCTAGGCGCAAACCGGCTGAGGTGTTTGCTCGCAAAAAAAATACCGTCACCACACTCTTCAGTGAATCCTGTTAATTGCTTTGAGACTTTTCAATGACTTGACAGGGCACTACATCAGATGCAAAGATTATTATTGTTTTTGATACGATTCAGTTTTGCTCAGACAGAAATTGCCAGTGACACGTAACCACAGTGGTCAGAGACACAATGACGTTCTCAACAAAGTCAATTTGGGATTGCGGAGTGTCGTCTTGACAACAGTCTGTGTCGATCACTCTCATATTAATAAGAAGTGTCAATTTCAGGGATATGTGAAGAGAGAGAGAAAACGTTTCACATGTCAAAATGTAAATTGTACTGAAACAATTCCCAGTTTCTGGAGAAAAATAAAAGTCATGAATAGACAAAGCCAGCATCAGAATAACAACACAGCTTCCAGTCTCGCTGTGTATTTACAGAAATGCGCTCTCATGTCATATGTCACTCCAGGGAAACAAAAAGGACCAAAAGGGAAATAGAAAAAAATAAATTAGGGGCAGGAATACTCTTGTTTTCTGTGTGGAGCATTTTGTTTCTCACCAAACCAAAGGAAACAGCAAAGTTACTGGTGTTTGTGAATTAATATTTGGTCACTCAATCCACGACTGTTTGTGGGACATTGCTGTGCGCAATTGGCTGCCGTGTTTCGCCCACAAACATACAGTCAATTCACTTTACAGTATATTCTGTGAAGCGCTTTAGAAGATGTGAAAAGCGCTATATCAAATGCAAGGATTATTATTATTATAACAAATGTAAAGGTTTATTATTATTGTGAGACTTTCCAGTCGATCCACTGTTTTGAAGGAATAACGTTACACTTTACTAACGTGATGGGAATTGCAGTAGAAACGTTAATCCCAAAGGTACATTCCATGAAGGAAACTGGGACAAAAGGCATTTATTGTTAAACTACTTTAATATCACAGCAACTGTTTCCTTGTATAAATATGAAGAGAGGCTGCCTAAATTGCACTTTTTACAATGAAACAGCAGGAATTGAAAGTGGGATATGACAGCGGTGATAATAATAATAATCCTTGCATTTGATATCACACCTTATCATGTCGTTGAGACGTCTCAAAGCACTTCACATAATATACTGTAAAGTGAATTAACTGTGTATTTTGTGGGCAAAACACAGCAGCCAATTGCACACACCAGCGTCCCTCAAACAGTCATGGATTGAGTGACCAAATTAATATTTTTAAAGAGATTATCATCCCCAAAAAAGCAATCCGCCAATCAACTAACAACTGGGTTCCTACATTCTGCTAGGTAAACAGAGGTGTGTGGAGTAAGGAAACTTGCCCAACGTTTCGTCCTGACCGAGGTGTTTTAAAATATTGAAGGACAGTGTACATTGACAAAGGGCAGCGTCAAGATTGTTTACAGGAAAATTAGGGGAGAGATTTGGAGGAATCTCCTAAATGAAATTGATCATTCACTTCACAGATGTTTGTGGGACAATGCTGTGTGCAGATTGATTGCTGGGTTTCCCTGCAAGTGAACAGTCACTACACTTACAGAAACTCTGTGAAACTCTTTGAGACTTGAAGTGCTGCACGCGTTTCTTTTATATTGTTATCATGAGAGGACAAGTTGGCCAGGTTCCCTTCGTGTGTCGGATTTCATGAGATCAGGTGTTTTCGATGAGACTTTACTTAAGTACTATTGATATATTATTATTATGTCCATTTCCCACAGGAGTCCCAACCTCTTTGGCTCTGTCCAGCTGAGCTGTCTCGATTTTCTTCAGGACCCGCCGCACTTCCATGGGGAGATCCGTGTAGCTCACCGGCCCCTGACTGCTCTCGTCATCATCTGAGTCATCCTGCTCACTCGAGCTTCCCATCTCTGGTGTGTATTTCTCCTGTACAGTCAGGAACAGTGTGTGTGTGTGTATATATATATATAAGAGAGAAACAAACACAGGGCTTCCCAGCCCAGCCCTGACCTGCCCAGCCCTGACCTGACAGCCCTGACCTGCCCTGCCCTGCCAGCCCTGCCCTGACAGCCCTGCCCTGCCCAGCCCTGACAGCCCTGACCTGCCCAGCCCTGACCTGACAGCCCTGACCTGCCCTGCCCTGCCAGCCCTGACCTGCCCAGCCCTGCCAGCCCTGACCTGCCCAGCCCTGCCAGCCCTGCCAGCCCTGACCTGCCCAGCCCTGCCAGCCCTGACCTGCCCAGCCCTGCCCTGACAGCCCTGCCCTGCCCAGCCCTGACAGCCCTGACCTGCCCAGCCCTGCCCTGACAGCCCTGCCCAGCCATGCCCTGACAGCCCCTCCCTGACAGCCCTGACCTGCCCAACCCTGCCCTGACAGCCCTGCCCTGCCCAGCCCTGACCTGCCGACAGCCCTGCCCTGCCCAGCCCTGCCCTGAGAGCCCCTCCCTGACAGCCCTGACCTGCCCTGCCCAGCCCTGCCCTGACAGCCCTGACCTGCCCTGACCTGCCCTGACAGCCCCTCCCTGACAGCCCTGAACCTGCCCAACCCTGCCCTGACAGTCCTGCCCTGACCTGCCCTGACAGCCCTGACCTGCCCTGACAGCTCGGCTCGGCTCTGCCCTCCTCGCCTCTCACACACATTCGATGACCCGCGTTTCCTTCGCACTTTCAGCCACGTGTCATGAATGAACTGATTGTTTACCTCCTTGACACCACCTTCTCCCCCCCCACAGGAGGGAGCTGCGGGGGGGGAGCTCGGGGGGGGGGAGCTGCGGGGGTCCGGGGGGGGGGGCCGGGGGGGCAGCTTCGGGGGGCGGGCTGCGGGGGGGGGGGTGGAGCTCGGGGGGGGGGGAGCTGCGGGGGTCCGGGGGGGGGGCGGGGGGGAGCTGCGGGGGGCCGGGGGGGGGCGGGGGGGAGCTGCGGGGGGCCGGGGGGGGGGGCTAATTGGTCAGAAATGTATCAAATAATCGCTACAATGTGTCGACGCCCTCTTTCTTGTCCATTCAGAAAAAAAATCGCAGCGCCACTCGGGTCCCTCCGCGATACTTTCACAGTGCGACAGCGCCTCACAGGAGCCGCCGCGGGGCTCACCCCCGGGGAGGGGGGGGGGGGTTTGTTTATTTGTTTACTTTTTTGTTTACAGGAACATTTTGTAGCAATAAAACTAAGGTGTCACAGGACCACAAATCCCAGGATTCCTGGTCTGGCTTTGTGCACGCAGGCGCCTTGCCGGGGGGGGGGGAGGGGGGGGGGGAGAGGGGGGGGGGGCGGGGAGAGGCGGGGGGGGGGGGGGGGGGGGGGGGGGGAGGGGGGGGGGGGGGGGGGGGGGGGGGGGGGGCGGGGAGAGGCGGGGGAGGGGGGTGACGCCGGTCTATAAGTACTCTCTATGTGAAACGCCGAGTCCATTGTTACAGACTCGGGTGTGCGGGTGAGAGCCGCGTTTCCTCTCCCCAACACCACTGAGGGGCTTCAGCGGTCTCCTCCCTCCCCCCTCCTCCCCCCCACACCCCCCCTTCCCTCTGCAGAAAAAGAAGGGGAACAGTTTCATTAATGCACATGTTTTTCCCCTCTCTCCAACCCACAGAAATCGAGTTTTTTTTTGGTTAAAGAAAAAGGCGACTGAGTGTCTGTGTGAGTGAGTGAGTGTGTGAGTGAGTGTGAGTGTGTGAGTGAGTGAGTGTGTGGGGGAGGATCCGCCCCGAGTCGAGCGCCATTTAAACCCTTTGATAACAGCCCTGAAATAGGAAGGAATCCACTGACAGAATCCTCGTTCAAGGTACGGAATTCTTGTTCTGTTTCGTGTGTGTTCTGGGATGACATTGTTGCTCAGTGGGACTGCAGATCCCTGTTTTACTCGGGGCTGAGAGGTTAAACCCCCCCCCCAGCCCAGCCCCCCCCGGCTCACCCCCCCAGCCCCCCCGGCTCCCCCCCCCCCCAGCCCAGCCCCCCGGCTCCCCCCCCCCGCCCAGCCCCCCCCGCTCCCCCAGCCCAGCCCCCCCCCGGCTCCCCCAGCCCAGCCCCCCGGCTCCCCCCCCCCAGCCCAGCCCCCCCCCGGCTCCCCCCCCAGCCCAGCCCCCCCGGCTCCCCACCCAGCCCCCCCCGGCTCCCCCCCCCAGCCCAGCCCCCCGGCTCCCCCCCCCAGCCCCCCCCCGGCTCCCCCCCCCCAGCCCCCCCGGCCCCCCCCCAGCCCCCCCCGGCTCCCCCCCCCCACCCGCTCCCAGCCCCCCCCGGCTCCCCCCCCCAGCCCGGCTCCCCCCCCCCAGCCCGCCCCCCCCCCACCCCCCCGGCTCCCCCCCCCCCCCCCCGGGCCCCCCCCCCCCGACCCCCCCCCCCCCCCCCCCCCCCCCCCCCCCCGGCTCCCCCCCCCCCCCCCCCCCCCCCCCCCCCCCCCCCTCCCCCCCCGCCCCCCCCCCGGCTCCCCCCCCCCCCCCCCCCCGCTCCCCCCCCTCCAGCCCCCCCGGCTCCCCCCCCCTCCAGCCCCCCCGGCTCCCCCCCCCCGCCCCCCCCCCCCCCCCCCCCCCCAGCCCCGGCTCCCCCCCTCAGCCCCCCCCCGCCTCCCCCCCCCCCCAGCCTCCCCCCCCAGCCCGCTCCCCCCCAGCCCCCCCCCAGCCTCCCCCCCCCCCCCAGCCCCCCCCCCCCCCCCCCCCCCCCCCCCCCCCCCCCCCCCCCCCCCCCCAGCTCCGGCTTATGATGCGTTTTCCGGGAAAGTCACCGGTAGATGTTCGTCAGAAGCGGTGATCAGTTGGTGGAATCGTTGTTAAATACCTCCTCCACAGTTCCGCGAGTCTGACCTTTATTCCTCAGCTCTCAGTTCGCGAGTATCAAGAGTCACCGCCGGTCCTCAGTACAACGCGCGTCTGTCTCAGTGCGTTGTGTCCAATGCCATTATACTGATATTTAGCGAATAACAAAACCTCTAAAGGCAGAGAGTGGGACTAAATGTTCAGACAGACGGTACAGACCGATGGCCGCCTTCTGTGCTGTAAAATTCTATATTTTCTCCAGTGTTAGAGTGGAGATTAATAATAATACTAATCCTTGGGTTTGATATATCACGTCTTCGAGACGTCTCAAAGCGCTTCACAGAATACACTGTAAAGTGAATTGACTGTGTATTTTGTGGGTGAAATGCTTCACTGATCTCCTACTTATCTATGAATGAATGTCTAGATTTCTCCACTGTGATTGTTTAATAGAAACCCGCAATCCTGAGATTTTAAAGATGTATAATTTTATATCTACGTATTATACATATATACACACAGACACACAGACACACAGACAGACACACAGACAGACACAGACAGACACAGAGACAGACACAGACAGACACAGAGACAGACACAGACAGACACAGACAGACACAGAGACAGACACAGAGACAGACACAGAGACAGACAGACAGAGAGACAGACAGACACAGAGACAGACAGACAAGACAGACAGACACAGAGACAGACAGACAGGACAGACAGACCAGAGACAGACAGACCAGAGACAGAGAGCCACAGAGACAGACAGAACAGACAGACAGACAGACAGACAGACAGACAGACAGACAGACAGACAGACAGACAGACAGACAGACAGACAGACAGACACAGAGACAGACAGACACAGAGACAGACAGACACAGAGACAGACAGACAGACAGACAGACAGACAGACAGACAGACAGACAGACAGACAGACAGACAGACAGACAGACACAGACAGACAGACACACAGACAGACAGACACACAGACAGACAGACAACAGACAGACAGACAGACAGACAGACAGACAGACACACAGACAGACAGACACACAGACAGACAGACACACAGACAGACAGACACACACACAGACAGACACACACAGACAGACAGACAGACAGACACTGACACACAGACAGACAGACAAACACACACACACACAGACACACACCTGCCCTCACACACACACACACACACAGACACACACCTGCCCTCACACACACACACAGACACACACCTGCCCACACACACACACACACACACCTGCCCACACACACACTCTCACACACACACACACCTTCCCACACACACTCACACACACACAAAGACACACACCTGCCCACACACACACCCTCACACACACACACAGACACACACCTGCCCACACACCATCAATCAATTCTTAGACTGTTACAAATTTGTTACTGTATTTGTATTTCTTGGAATGTAACTCGAATGGAATGAATGTTATTCCTGTCAGAAATCAGCTTTACAGCAAATAAGTCAATGAATGTGATGTGGGGAGAGGTGTACACTGGTTACATAGCTGTTTTGGAGCGATTCCGTATATAGCGATTGTAACATTGGGATGAGTTGTGTACATTTCCAATCCTCCACTATATAATAATGATCTTTGCATTTAATACACTGCTTTTCAGGTTAGGAGCACATCTCAAAGTGCTTCACAGGATTATTCATTGTAAATTGTAGTGGCTATATTTTGTAGGCAAATGCGAAGTGAGTGACTGATTTTTTTTCAATATAACCAATATTTATATAATGCCTATGAATGGAGAGCCGACGCGGGCGCATTCAGTCCAATGGCCTCCTTCAGCACTGTAACATTCCTCCAAGAATAACTGAATTTTGCAAATTTTAACTTGACTGTTCAGGTGTAAAGCTGATATGTGTTTTGTTTTAAAAATGTGAACAGAATATCCTTGTTAAGCTTGTTTATACTGAAGTGAATTTCTACCCGGGGGGGGCAGTTTACCGCCATAACATTGTTACATTAGACAAAATGGATACAACCCAAATCTAAGGCATATATAATAATAATAATCCTTGCACTTGATATAATCCCTGATCACATCTTCGAGATGCCTCACAGCTTCACAGTTGGCTCTAGCTCTTCACAGAATATTTGCTGTAAAATAAATTTGCTGTGGGCGAAATGCGGCAGCCAATTGCGCACAGCAGTGTCCCACAGACCGTTGTGGATTGAATGACCAAATTATTATTTTTTTTTAAGGGATTATCAGCCCCAGAAAAGCGATCTGCCAATCAACTAACAACTGGCTTCCGACTTACTGCTTAGGTAAACAGAGGCGTGTGGAGTCAGGAAACTTGCCAAACGTTTTGCCCTATCTGGAAATCAAACCTAGGTCCTCTCGTTTGCGAGGCGGGTGCTCTAAGCACTGTGCTACAGGACTCCATAATCCTTACAACTATGCTGCACTCTCTTAATCTTCAATGTAGTGTTCAAACTTGTCAGTCAATCTAAAAAGGGAAAAAAAATTGAGAGGAGATTTATTTAGAAAATATGGTGTGAATGCACAGCCATTCAAGGATTGGAAAGCACGAAAGACTTGTATTTATATATATATATATACATCCTAAATCAAATTGCTGGCTGGTAATAACTCATTCAGAATCTGGTGCATCACATCCCATTGTTTTGTCTGAATAACTGCCTGAAGGTGGAACAGTAATGCTTATAGGAACATAGGAAAAGGAGGAGGCCATTCAGTCCTTTAGTCTGTTCCACCATTCTATAAGATCAGGGCTGATTTGTATCTCAACTCCAATTGCCCACCCTTGTCCCATATCCCCCGATACCCTGACCTAACAAATATCTATCCACCCCAGTCTTGAAAATTTGAATGGATCCACTGATCTTTTGGAGGAGAGAGAGTTCCAGATTCCCACTCCGCTTTGGGTGAAAACCTGCCCCTGATTTCACTCTTAAATGGCCTGTTCTTATTTTAAGATGATGCCCCCCTTGTTCTGGATTCCCCACCAGAGGGTATAGTTTCTCTGTATCTACCCTGTCGAATCCGTTCATTATTTTAAAAACCTCAATTAGATCACCCCTTAGCCTTCTAAACTCAAGGGAATACAGATTAATTTTATGTAACCTGTTCTCAGAATTTAACCCTTTTTATTACAATCGATACAGTGGCTTACCACAGCAAAATGTCTTGAAATGCTTCTACGGTGCATTACTTTAAAATATAATGTTCAGTGGCAGAAAAGCTTTCGCACTGCAATCAGGTAAATGGTTGATTTCAAGATCCTCACCCTTGTCTTCAAGTCCCTCCACTCCTCTGCACCCCCCGACCTCTCTGACCTCCTCTCTTCTCAGCACAGTACCCGTTGCCTTTGTTCCTCCGGGTCTGACCTCCTCCTCGTCCCCCGAGTTCTCCGCTCCACCCTCGGCGGCCGTCCCTTCAGCCACTACACCCCGAGGCTCTGGAACTGCCTTCGTCTCACTTCCTCCCTTCCCATTTTCAGGTCTCTGCTGAAGACCTTTTCGACTGCGCCTTTGGTCACCTTCCACCCCCCCTCCCCCTGGCTCCCCCCCCCTCCCCCTGGCTCCCCCCTCCCCCTGGCTCCCCCCCCCCCTGGCTCCCCCCTCCCCCTGGCTTCCCCCTGGCTACCCCCTCCCCCTGGCTACCCCCCCCTGGCTACCCCCCCTCTCCCTGGCGCGGTCCCGGGATCCGTTACTGTAAAGTGCTCTGAGACACTGTCCGGTGTGGAGGTCGCTATATAAATCCAAGTTGTTGTTGGTCAATTCATTTTTTTTGGGGATGGGGTGAATATTGGCCAGGGTGTCGAGAGAATTTTCTGCCCTTCTTTCATGTAGTAACGTACAAATATTTAACGTTACCAGAAGTGGATGGGACCGTGGGTTCGGTTGAAAGTGGCACTTCTGACAAAATGGTGCCCCCTCAGCCTGAGGAGAGGGCTTGAATCCCAAGCCCCTGCCAGGATGAAAGTGCTCCCAGGTGGCCTCTCAACAGCTTTGTATTTTGTTGTTAAAAAAATGTAAATTACAGTTTCTATGTCCTTCACCATGCATTGTTTTGTATGGGGATCAGCTGTTCCATCCCTATCGATTTGATTCTGTGACAAGAATCTGGAGATGGTTGATGTGAGCTCCTCATTTCCTCTTGCCCCTCTTGTATGTGTGTGGGGGGTGGGGGAAGAGACAATCACATGTCCCGTATTCATTATTTCTCTGGTACACTCCATGGTAGTAACAACGTGTTGAGAGGATGCAGCTGATCGTCCAAACATTGAGCAACAGTTAATGGCACTGCACATATCAGAGGCAAACACGTGTGCATGTAGTAAGGATGGACTTTCTGAAGCTTTGAGCACATGAATGTCATTGCTTTACGTGTCTAGTGACCTGTCCGATCCCTCTGCTCAGCAGGCTCTGGCCACATCCCTCGCCCGGCCCACCCCACCATCGTCGGTTGAGCCTTCAGCTTCCTTCGCCTCGTTCTCTCTTTTGCCTCCTTCAAGGCAAGTCTTAAGACGCTCCTCTTTGACTGGACCTTCAGTGACCCTCCTTGCTCTCCACCCTCCCTGATCCCAACCTCCTCCACCGCCCACCCGCTCGGGTCCAAACCCCTGACTGTCTAGCGCCTTGGGATGTCTTCCCGACGTGAAAGATGCTACACAAAAGTAATTTTGTATTGTAGTGAGCGGAAGTTGAACCAGGTTGTAATGTGTTGAAGTTGTGTCCCACTCGTGGAATCCTTTTCAGAGGACTATACAATTTACATAGAATTAGGAGAAATATTAACAACGGTTTGGTGTATCGGTATCTCTCTATACCTCTTATCCACCCATCCCTCCCTTCCTCAACTCAGGCTTGTTAGATGGTGAGATGGATGTGTCGAAGGAATCTTTTGGGAAGTTGGATGGATGGCTAGTCTACTCCGGGTCTACTCCTGTCTCAAAGTGATTAGTTACGCTAAAGCAGTAAGTAACGATTTTCTCAACAGGTCTGTCTGGGAGTCAGAAAGAGTATGAGGAAGCTTAATTGAAATGTCCTGACCCCACCAATGGCAGGAGTGGGTGAGGGTTTTACTGTATTGAGCTGTGATGTTTGTTCTACTCTGAACCAGCCGATTTCGAGCTGAGGTTACAATTGGTTTCAGCGTTGCTGGATTTGGCTGTTGGGGGTGGTGATGAGAGAGAAATTCACCAGGATTCCCAGTCCTCATCACTATGTAGAGATTGCAGCTGCACGTGTGGCCAGAGAATGGTTGGATCTAGTATGCCTCATGCCTCACACTGTCCAGACTTACCCACACTGAATGGCAGTGTAGCAGCATGAATTACTGAAGGCACTTGCACAACCACATCTGACATTTAGGCAGTGGATGCCAGGAAGGACACTAGCAGAGAAGAGAAATACAATCACAGATAGTAGCAGGTAGGAACCGCGTTGTCAGTCGGTTGACGGATTGCTTCCTGGGGGTAATAATCCATTCAAAAAAATATATAATAATACTTTGGTCACTCTATCCACAATTGTTTGTGAGACTGCTGTGTGCAATTCACTGCTGCATTTTGTTCTCAAAATATACAGTGAAGGGCTTTGAGATGTCTCAAAGACGTGATAAGGCGCTGTATCAAATACAAGGTTTTTTTTAATTATAAAAATGCCCTGATTATCTCTCATTGAGCCGCCTTGTGCTGTCTGACTCAGTAATTCTTTTAAGACGCATCCCTGGAGAATATGATCTGCACTTTCTCTCTTTTTTTAAAAAACGTTGAAGTAAATAGTTTTTTTTGAACCTTTTAGCTTTTTTTTTTTTGCCGTTCCTAAAACAGAGCAGAGTTTAAAGCCCGGAACCTTGTGAACTTTGGCACATTAAAAACAGTCCCTGCACTTTCTAATAATGACTGGAAGCACTTCGAAATATTTTGACACGTTAGGTGTTATATGATGCAAATCTTTCTTTATGAATCATAGCATTTGGTATGGAGCTCACTTATTTATAGTCTTTATAACAAGAATAGTATGTATAAATATACCAACAGCTGAAAAACCACATACCATGCAAAACACCTCCACCTTAACACTAGGAGCAAAGGGCACCGTATCCCAGAATGTTCACCATATCCAGAAAGAGGGCAAGGTTGGGACCTTGATGAGATGGAGGTGTCTGGTTAAGAGTCTCATCAAATGAACCAAAGAGTATCCAACAACAACAACAAATTACATTTACCCAGCGCCTTTCACGTCATGAGGACATCCCAAAGGGCTAGACAATCAGGGATCCGAACCCGAGCTGGCGGTTGGGATCAAGAGGAGACCTTCCTACCGGCACTTCGCTGTAGAGGTGTTTGAGAAGACCTGACACGCTTGCTAACAATATGCAAAATAAGACTCCAAATGCTATTTAGGTTACCCACAGCTTGCTGTGCCTCGCCCGTAAGATTCCTCGAGGCCTGAAATTGCACCTACTCTCAGTTGGGACACTTGTTTCTTCTGCGATTTAAGAATTTGCAGAATTGTCGACCAATCTTGAAATCGGTGTTAATTTTGAAAGCCGGTTTCTTTTTGAGAATTGCAGGTTTTAAAAAAAAACCCTAAGAAACGCGGCGTCCAAGAGGGAATTCAACAACTTTCTTCCTAATTTTAAAAATCTAAAACCAAATAATTTTCCAGGACACAACTAGTGGTGTTTCAGGCCTCTGGTTTTTCTTTAACCCAAAGTGTTTTGCATTGCAATTGGAGTTGAATAGATTTTTTTCCCCCCTCCACTTTGGGGAGATCAGGAGAGGTGATTCTGTCTAACTCAGTCACAGCGATGCCTCTGGTGTTTGGTCCTGGCTGCATGGAAGGGCTGCCTCCATTTGCTGAAGTGAACAGATTGTGTTACAAGATGTGTAAGCTTCAATGAGCACAAATAAGTGATTATCAAAACCCATGAGCTGTGCCCTGTGAATATCATCTTGGAGTCCTGTAGCTCAATGGTTAGAGCACTCGCCTCGCAAGAGAGACGACCTGGGTTCAATTCCCAGGTAAGTCAAATTGTTGGGCAAGTTTCCCTACTCCACACGCCTTTGTTTACCTAGCAGTAAGTAGGAACCCAGTTGTTAGTTAATTGTCGGCTCGCTTTTCCGAGGGTAATAATCCCTCCGCTCTCTGGAGTTCCATTCCTAGAGTCCCTCCAACTCGCTCCCTCCCTCCCGCCCCTCTCAAGGAAAGTCATGACCTGACTCTTTGGCCATGACTTCGGTCATCTTTTCCCCTCCCCATCCCGCCTCCCTCGGCTCCCACCCCCAGCTCAGGTGCCCAGTTTGCAGTGTCGAGTGCTTTGAGATGTCCTTCCAACATGAAAAAGGTGCTGTGTAAATGTTATAATAATAATAATAATCCTTTTGATATAGCGCTTTTCACGTCTTCTCAACGTCCCAAAGCGCTTCACAGAATATACCATAAAGTGAATTGACTGTATATTTGTGGGCGAACGCGGCAGCCAATTGCGCACAGCAATGTCCCACAAACAGTCGTAGATTGAAAATGACCAATTTTATTATTTTGTTTTTTTGGAGGGATTATTATTAAATGTTGTTATGTTTCTGGAAGGGAAATACAAAATATTGCTTATGCGGCCTCCAAACCTTTCTCAAATAGGGAATCCAGCCCGTGGCAGCCAACAGGTTGGACCCCCCCCCCCCTGATTTAGATCATCGTAACTAGCACCCACCTCCTTGTTCTTCTGTTATGACAACATGGGAGTCTATGAACAAGATGCCATTTAGAAAGGTTCAGAATTTCCTACCTGCTCGCGGCTGTGGAGGTGTTTGTGAAGACCTGACACGCTTGCTGGTAATACACAAGCCCTTCCGCCTCCACAGCAGGTAATTGCTGACTGACTAGCTCCATTTTAACATCAACTGACTCGGGGGCAGGAGCGCTGCATCATCACCAGAAAGTAATTCATCCCCAATTCTCTCTGCCCACAACTTGACGTGTGCGTGTTATATATATTTAAATGGAGCGAGATGAACCTTTGACACCAGCCTGGTATAGAATAATAATAATCCTTGCATGTGATACAACGCCTTATCACGTCTTCGAGACGTCTCAAAAGGCTTTACAGAATATACTGTAAAGTGGTTGATTATTTTGTGGGCAAATTATAAGAATACTTAACTCCATGTTCTCAGGACACAAGGCTACAGAGGAATCCTCATTGCAAAGCAATGCAAAAGCATTCTTGCTGTTTTTAGAGTTGTTCCCTTGCACCAGCAATGTGAATGAACCAGCAAAGTACTCCTGACTGTGGGAGCAAGATGCAAATGTGCCTTAAGTAGACAGCTGGTCTGAATTGAGTCAATACTGTGAAGCTATCATTTTGCCCTTTGAGTAATGGGCTATTTTTAATCCATTACCTCAAGCAAAAACTTTGACAAAAAGATCTTCCATCGATTGCCTCTGGTTCTCGGGCGTGGCCTCCTGATGTCAGCATCCCCTTTTGATGTCCTCAGATCAGAATAAAGATATTTAAGATAATGAGGGTGAATTTGCCAGGTTGGATAATGGAAACGCTATTCCCTCAGGCAGTGGGATCCTAAACAAGGCTGCCCTCAATCTGATAGAAAATATAAACAGTGCTTTCCCGGAAGCCTAGGAAAGGCAGTATTGATTACATGTTTAAAAGGCAGGGAGATGTATTCATCATAAGTAAGGGAGATGGGATTATAAAATCTTCCCTGATATGGGCTGGCAGAGCAGATTCCTGTAGCTTAGTGGTTAGAGCACTCACCTCGCAAGCCAGAGAACCTGGGTTTAATTCCCTGGCAAGTTTCCTTACTCCACACACACGCCTCCGTTTACCTAGCAGTAAGTAGGAACGCAAGTGTTAGTCATTGGCGGATCTTTTTCCGGGGATAATAATTCCTTCAAAAATATATTTATATATTGGGTCACACAATCCACGACTGTTTGTGGGGCATTGCTGTGCGCAATTGGCTGCCGCATTTCGCCCACAAATATACAGTCAATTCATTTTACAGTGTATCCTGTGAAGCGCTTTGAGACGTCTCGAAGATTTGATAAGGGGCTGTATCAAATGCAAGGATTACTATTTGTAGATTCAGTGGGCTGACTGTTGTTCCTGTGTTCCTCAATCAAATCGTGACATACTGTGTTGGGGCACAGCTCCATCAAGCCTTTTAATGCTTAGTCCTGTAGCTGCAGGTCTGCTTCAAGCAAATGTTAGTTGTTGATGGTGTTGCTTCACTTCATTCCCATAATGTCCCAATGTTGGTCCCAATTGAGGCCAAGTTAATGAGAACTTAACTTGGTTGAGAGGTGCTCAGGCGGGACTGACTGTGCAGAGGTATATTAAGGTAACCAGAATAATAATAGTTATTCTGGTGAGGAACACCTCATGGTGTTAATGATTCTTTCACTTTGCGGATTTTTGAAGGACCTTGCTGTGTGGGAGAATGGCAGTCACTGTGCTTCACAGAAATTACCTTTTGAAGCACCTTGGGAATATTTTGGAGTTCCAAGTGCTGTTTTAAATACAAAGATTATTTATAGCCACAAACCGAGTACCTGGAGATGGTACAAAATGGTGGTAGATGGAAATGGATTTCTAATTGGTTCACAGCAGCTTATTGTGTGTGGATTTCATTCCAGCAGACTAAAGGACCTTGAGGCCTGAATTCTGCCTAGTTTTAGACTTAAAATATAAGATAGGAGATTCTTGAAACTCAGCCTTAGTTTATGAGCTAAATGGCAGGTCAGGGCGAATCCTTAGACAAGTTTCCTTACTGCTAGGTAAACAGAGGCATGTGGAGTAAGTAGGAACCCTCTTGCTAGTCGATTGGTGGTTCGCTTTCCGGAGGTAATAATCCCTTCAAAAAACTAATAATTTGGACAATCCACGACTGTTTGTGTGATGATATTGCTGTGTGTAATTGGTTGCTGCATTTCAGCCACAAAATACAGTCACTACACTTTACAGTATATCTTGGGGATTGCTTTGGGGTGTTACAAAGACATGATAATGTGGTATATCAAATGCAAAATGCAACAATTTAATAATAGCAGTATTCAAATTCTAATTTATTCACAGTGATTGCATCTGTCGTGCATTTTTCTGAATTAATGGAGGGTTATTTTTAGAAAAGTTTCCAAGTTCTAATGTTTTTTGTGTGTTATGAGATGCAGAACTACCTGGGCTCAGTGTTCACGTGAGTTGGGATATGGGTGAGGGGGGAGACTTTCTTAAACTAGTGTTTTAACCAAGGGCTCTGAGATGCCATCTGGAGTCGAGGGTGCTATATAAATGCAAATTGTTGTTTCAGTGAAGAAACAGCTGGCAATGACAATAGTCGGGTGTCTGACCAAATGAATTAGATGGTATAAGTGTTGCACTTTTGCAGTCTGAGTACCTGGGAAGGATGAGATCAAATGGGCTGAAGAGCCTTCTTCATCCGAATCTCTCTTGTGGGGAGAAGCTCATGTTTTCTTCCCGATCTACTCTTCATTGTGCCAGTCAAACCACAGCTTGTGGGACACCTGCAAAGCAGGGAAAGATGCACCCGGATCCAATCATGTTTGGCCTCCATTCCAGTAAGTGGGGCTCGGCATCGCTTTTGGCATCTCGCCCAGCACTAGTCATTAGTTGCGGTGGAGCAAAGCAGTAAAACATTGGGTACAGGTGGCTGTTTGACATGCGCAAGATGGGATCTCTCTTGGGGAGGGCAGAGGGTGAGGTTTCTCCACATTCACGGCAGTTCTTTTTCCCCAGAGCACCGCTGCCTTTGTCAGTTTACACAGAATCATAGAAATCACAGCACAAGAGGCCGTTCAGCCCATTGAGCCTTTGCTGGCACTAAGTTCCTCACTGGAGCTAACCATTCAGAACCCTGTCTTCTTGCTGTATCAGCATTGTGACCTGCCCGGGACGGCAGCAGGCCTCACAAGAGCTGGAGGGTGACAAGATATAGACAGCATCCAAAGCACACCTCTGCTCCCAGGCCTACCTTTTTTGATTAAATTAAATTAACAAAGCAGTGTTTGAAATCAGAGCAATTTCAACTGTAGATTTACATAATTGTGGCACGACCCACAGTGAAGTAAGGGCAGGCAAACTGGAAAGGGATGTGGCAGATATGTACGCACTCTGTGGTTGAATGTTCCCATGGAAACTGATGGTTGTTGGTGAGGTTTACGCTTTCAGATTTCAAGATTGGAGTGTGATGAACACACCCACATTTTGGTTGTGCGAATGCAGAGGATAGAATGCTTAAAACGAAACGTTGGGCAAATTTCCTTACTCTACACATCTCTATTCACTGAGCAGTGCGTAGGAACCCGGTTGTTAGATGATTGGCGGATCACTTTTCCGGGGGTAATAATACCTTTTTTTAAAAAAAGCAAAATAATTTGGTCACTCAATCCATGACTGTTTGTGGGGACACTGCTGTGGCTGCTGTGTTTCGCCCACAAAACATACAGTCACTACACTTTACAGTATGTTCTGTGAAGCACTTTGAGATGTCTCAAAAACATGCGCTGTGTCAAATGCAAAGGTTATTACTATTGCCCCTTGTAACCGTACCAAGGAAATAGGCTCCTGCTGCCTTCATAAGTGCTTTTACCCCACATTCTGCTGCTTGTTTCCCGCAGCAGAGCGCCAGCAACTATAAATAGGGCAACGACCAATTGTACTTTCAGTGTTTGAAACGATCCTGTGCCGCATTGCTACCGTGACACCTGTCCCCAATCTGTTGCTGATTTTAAAAATAGCTCCTTTTCTGCCTTTCCCTACACCAGATGCCTTTAGAAACATTTGCATAATAATGCGGTAGCGAGTCTGCACCAGCGCAAGGTGTTAGCTCCGCTCAGTTGGCAGTACCTTCACCTCAGCTTTAAGAGGCTGTGGGATTCACCTCCAATTGGGACTTTGGGTTCATAGTCTGGGCTCTAGTTACCCAAAGTGCACCCCTGAGGCTTTGCAGCTCTAAATAAATGGACAGCAGTGCTCAGTACCTCTCTCTCTCTCTGTTGTGCTCAGTTTTGCACTGGAGTGGAGTTGGTGCATGTGACTTACAGATATAGACTTACAGAATATTCACATTATATTGTGTTCACTTTGGAAAGCCAACGTTGGAAATGTGGCCCACATTGGGGACAGGTTTTGGCTGAGCCGTGCAGTACTGGGGGAGCACTCATTGTCTGAGGTGCCGTCCTCTGGATGACACTTTAATCTGAGGCCCCATCTGCGTGTTGGGACATTGAAACTTCCATGACATCATCTGAAGAGAGAGGATGTTTCTCCTGGTGAACAATCCTCCAGAAAAATTGACTTCAAAGCTGTTTCTGGAATCTAGCTGTGATTGCTGAATTTGTCCACAAATATGGTCACTTGATAGTAAATATTTCCCCCAGAAAATATACAGTCTGTTCACTTTACAGTATATTCTGTGAAGCAGTTTTGAGATGTCTCAAAGACGTGATAAGGCACTGTATCAAATGCAAGGATTATTATTAGCAGTAATCACATGTTGAAACATTTGACATTTAGACACTATCAAATTCAATGTTTTATTTGTTTAGCTTGCTTGAAAAACAAACTCCGAAGCTTATCTTCATATCCTCTCGTTCACTCAGTTATGCTTAAATTGTCCAAGATGGAAACTTAAACTTTCACTAATGTTCATACTTTAGGAATCATTTTTCAGGGTATGTTCTGAAGGAGACCTTGAGCGCAGGACATAAGATTGGCTGATGCAGAGAAGCATGTGATTCATTCAGAATCTGTTAGCACCTGTTTTGCATCTGTGAATAATCAGCAATATTCACGTCTGGAAGAACAGAGTGAATGGTCTTCTATCAAATGCAAGGATTACAATTATAATATGCAGCTGAGAGAAACCAGACATTTCTATGACGGCAGCTCACTTCAGCCAACCTTGAAAGCATGAATACTGGAAATGTTCAAACAGCCAGAAACAGAAGTGGATCTTTTGAAAAAAAAATTCAATAGTTTTCTCCAATCAATTCCTAATGCTATTACAAAGCAGAGAATTCCTTTGAATACATATATAGGAAGGAACACTGCAAACCGTGCCCCATTGAGTTTGATTAGGAGTTTTATCTCTGGGGAATGCTAATAGGATAATACTGACTCAAGTGCTCCGGGTCGCTACCCTGCATGAGGGGTGCGAGATAAATGCAAGTCGTTAGTTTAAAAGCCATTAGATTTTTTCGGTTTATGTAGCAAGATAAACATGCTGTATGTATACTAGAACACCAATGTCTGATGTTCCCATCACATTCCCATTATTTGAACAGATATGGACATGGCTGTTAGTGGGAGCCTGAAGCGTAAGTTCGAAGAGGTCGATGGTTCATCGGTGTGTTCCTCACCCAAGGAATCTGACGATGATATCTGCAGCAGCGACAGTGCAGACAGCTGTGACAGTGTCAACCCACCTACCACCAGGGAGCTGAGCCGTAAGTGTCTGGCTTCGGATTAACAGCCTGCTTTTGTGTCAACACGAAGAAACATGAGCACCTACTCTTGCGTGCTTAGATCACAAAATTCCCTCTCACACAACCCAGTGCAACAGACCATGGAGGTGGGAGGGAAGGAGGTTGAGAGATGTATCTGTTCCAATTTTATTTGTGACCAACTTGTTACACTGGGGGAAAACAGGGAGCTGTACTGGCTTATACCCTAATTGGCTCCTTGATTCCAAACCAACCTACATTGAGCTGTCATCGTGGTTCAGTCTGTAGTACCCTCACCTCTGGATGAGGAGGTTCTGGGTTCAAACCCCAATTGGGACTTTAAGCACACAGTCCAGGCTGATACTGCACTGCAGTCCCAGAGACTCGGGTCTGATATCACATCCAAAGGTTAACAAACAGACATTAAAAATCCTGTGACACTATTAAAAAATAGAAAGTAGCGTCTTCCAGTATCCAAACCAACAATCCTTGAGGTAAATTGTCATTCATGTCGTGGTCTATTTATGTTCAACCGTAGCCTAGATTATGTGCTCGAAGTTCTGACATGGGTCATAAACTCATAACCTTCTGACCCAGAGGCAAAGTGCTATCAACTGAGCCAAGCTGACCCCAGAGATGGGTAAAGGAGTCGAGACGTTTTGGAGATGGGATGGGACTGATGGGGAAAGTTAGAATTCAGATCCCAGTAGAGGGCAAGTTATTCACTGATTTAAAATTCATTACAGCAACTTCAATCTTGAAGAAGCAGAAACGGATGAGATCCAAGAATGTTCGCTTTGACCAGGTGACCGTGTATTACTTCACCCGTCGCCAAGGATTCACCAGTGTGCCCAGCCAAGGTGGCAGCTCGCTGGGGATGGCACGGCGTCACAACTGCATCCGCAGGTACACACTGTGTGAGTTTGCCCAGGAGCAGGAACACCTTCACCGTGAGATGCTTCGCGACCACCTGAAGGAAGAAAAACTCAATGCGCGCAAAACGAAGGTGAGTTTAGCTTTTTTTTCCTTCGGTCATTTCTTTCCATGAATTCTCTTGTTTCCATTTTGTTTGTTCAGAATCAATCTTGAACTTTGATGGATCAGAATCAAGGGTTATTAAACTTGCACTAAAACTCTCCCAACAGTTGACCAAAAACGGTTCAATTGATTCCGAAGAAGCCAATGTACTCACCATTGAAGACCTTTCCGATGAGGACATTGATGTGGACAATATTGAGGTAGATGACTATTTCTTTTTACAACCACTACCCACAAAAAGACGAAGAGCTTTATTACGTGCATCAGGCGTCAACAGGATTGATACCGAGGAGAAACATGAGCTGCGTGCCATCCGCTCGTCCCGGGAGGAGTGCGGGTGCGACTGTAGGTTTTACTGTGACCCCGAAGTTTGCCCCTGTAGCAAAGCGGGAATCAAATGCCAGGTAAGGTCACCGTTCAGAGCCAACAGAAACCAAACAATGACTATACTGCTCAAGAGAGACTTACTCAGCTTTCTTAAAATGACAGGTGCCCGATCTCAGTATGGATGATAATTTCTAGTTCTAAGATTCCACAGCTTCCATCTTGTTTAACCGCCTCCATTGGTAGCTCACATGGTAGAGCACCAGACCCGGGACATAAAGGGTCTGAGTTCAAATCACAATTAATGCACTCACTCAGCCGTTCACCCTTCGAGGTCGACTTATTTAAAAAAAAATGAGGTAAGTGAGGTCTTAACCCGGTACTGTAGGAGATGCACTGAAGCCAGGCAATGATCCAAAAGGCATCGCTGATAGCTGACCAGCCTGTTTAGCACATCACCGAAACTCCCAGGGGTAGAACTGATCGTGCAAGCTCCCAATTATCCACAACAAATGCACAGTACCTGCAGTAATTTAGGACGAAAGCACTAAACCCCACCACAGCTTTCCTTCAGTACAGTATTGAAAATATTACCGCCCTCCCCACCTTCATCTTGTTCAGTCTTCCTGGTGAAGTTCCCAAATTATAGAATCATTATACAGCACAGAAGAAGGCCATTTGGCCCATCTTTCTGTGCCGGCTCTTTGAAAGAGCTTTCAAATTAATCCCACTCTCCCTCTCTCTCCCTCCCCATAGCCCTGCAGACTTGACCTCCCCCAATTATCTATCTACTTCTCTCTTGAAAGTTGTTATCAAATCAGCTTCCACCCCCTTTCAGGCAATGCATTCCAGATCCGAACAACTCGCTGTGTGAAAAAAGTGAAGAAAGATTGATGTTAAATCCAGGTGGATATGGATAGATTTAGCTTGAACAAAAGTTCATGGTTAATTTTCAGCCTGTGCAGCTCCTGAGTCAGCAGGAAACGTGAGTTAACAAGTCAACAATTCAACATTTCTGCCCCAACACTCTGGAACTCTATCTCGCAATCCCTCCGCCTCACCCCCTCTCTTGCCTCTTTCAAGTCCCATCTAAAGACCTTCCTCATTGACTGTTCCTTCGCGCCCGCCCCCCGCCCCCCCACCCTGTTGAGCGCTGTGAGATGCTGCCCTGCGTGGAGGGGGCTGTATAAGTGCTATATAAGTCGTTGTTGCAAAGATGCAGGAGTGGAATTGGTGGGGGGGTCTATGTACACAACCTACTTAAAGGTTTAAGCTTCCACTGCTTTTGTTACCTACAAAGTGCAGGTTTGAAATCTTCCTGAAGAATTTCTCAAATTCCGTCCCTGACTACAAACTATTTATTTCTCTGAGTGTCTTCAAATTATTAACACCGTTATCATTCTAGATGGAGGAACACTGCAGTCACTTGCTTGCAGCTTTCCCCAAATGCCACTTATTGGTTAACTGCCCTGTATTAATATGTACTGGTGCAAACGTCAGTCTGTAACTGGTGCAGTGAGTATTTCCTTCTGGAACTTTTCAAGTTGCCTTTTACTGGACTTCCCACCCTATCCTCTCTCTCTCTCTTGCCTGCCCTATATATGAACCATGTTAAGGTAGACAAATTATCCACCATAGCCAAGGACTCAAATACCTTTGACTGTGGTGAATAATTTGTGTGCACGGAAGGAGGTCAGACACAATGTGTAGCATTCTCCTGACCACCCCCTAAACCAGAGTCAACCTGACCTTTTAGGAGGGAATGAACGGGGCCAGATGTCGAATGCAAGGGACAGTTAAACGGACTGAAATAATAATAATCCTTCCATTTGATACAGCGCCTTATCACGTCTTCAAGACGTCTCAAAGCGCTTCACAGAATCTACTGTACATTTTGGGGGTGAAACAGGCAGCTAATTGCGCACAGCCGCATCCCCCACAAACAGTCGTGGATCGAGTGACTACATTTTGGGGGGAGGGATTATTGTCCCCGGAAAAGCGATCCGCCCATCGGTTCCTACTTGCTGCTGGGTAACCTGAGGCGTGTGGAGTAAGGAAACTTTCCTCAGGTTTTAACCTGTCCTGACCGGGAATCGAACCCGGGTCCCTTCACTTGCGAGGTGTGCGCGCTGACCACTGCGCTACAGGGACTCCCATTAGATGCACGTTTCTGCCAGGGGAGGCAGCGGTGGGGGGATTACGGCGGAACACTGTCGGGTCTCTTAAGTCACCACAAAAGCCATTCCTTTCTTGACCCCAATCTCTGTGCCTCTGTTTAAAGGTGGACAGGATGTCCTTCCCCTGCAGCTGCACCCAGGACGGCTGCGCCAACACAGCGGGCCGCATCGAGTTCAACCCTCTGCGCGTGCGGACTCACTACTTGCACACCATCATGAAGCTGGAGCTGGAGAACAAGAACAAGCCGCTCCCGGCGGTGGCCCTGCTCTACCCGGCCGAGGCCAGAGGCACCGGCCAGCCCGAGGTGCAGGACTACCGGGAGTTTGCGGAGAGTTACCACCTGGAGAACGAGGCGGCCGTCCTGCACCTGCAGTCGGCCGAGGAGATGGACAGGATGAAGGAGGAGGAGGGGGAGGACTTGGGCCGCTCCAGCCTGCTCCGCCTGCTGAGCCAGCAAGATGGCGGCGGCGACGGCGACCACCACCACCTCTCGGCGCCAGTTCCCACCAGGACGGCTCCCGTACCGGCTTCCGCCCCCGGCGGCTCCCACCCACCCCCGGGAAGCACGGCAGCGACATTGGACCCAGAAGGGGGCTCGAGGGGCTCGTACGCCCACACCCCGGCCGAGGGCCTGGAACCCCACGCGAACCCTGCCGCTGACCCTCAAACAGAACTTGATGCTGACCCTCAGGCAGACCACTGCCTCGCCCTTGACGCAGCGGCCCAAGGGCTGCCCGTTAACGGCCCTGACAGCCCGCGGCCAGTTCAACCCTCAGGGCCCCCCGAGGAGGGTGTTGTCCCCCTCGCGCCTGAGCAGAGCACGGCCTGAGGGCCGACCGACTGCCTGTCACCACCACCTCCAGTCGCCACTTGTCCCTGATTGACAGACAGACTGACTGACAGACGCTCTCTCCGCACGGTTCGCCTGTTATTGACGCACGCACAATTTGCCTTTTTAATCTTAATTTCTGCTGACGCTGTTATTTTTAACAAAATGTAATTTATTTTATCGTCCACCAACTCTCTCTCTCCCTTATTGAGGGAAAAAAATGTGAGCCGGTGACCAAAATTAAAGCCTAAAATAAAACCACGTCCAACACCAACCACCACCCCCTCACTTGCTCACTCGATACCCCCCTCCCCCCCCCTCCATTTTTGTCTGTGGGAGACAGTCAGAGGATGGAGATGGAGGTGAGTCAGGCTGGGGTGGGGGTGACGTTGGGGAGTGAGGTTGATGGCTAGTGGTGGGGAGCGAGAGTAGAGGAGCTGGTGGTTGGGCCTTACAAGTTCTTGTGCAAAACCGTGTTGCACCTCGTGTTCAACTTGTCCTTTTACAAAGAATTATTCTGCCCATAAAATTGTTTTGCGCAGTCACTTCACTTTACAGTAAAACCATGTGAAGTGTTTGAAACTATGATTTGGTCACTTCAATCTACGACCATTTCTGTGGACGTCGCTGTGCGCATTTGGCTGCTGCATTTTGTCCAAAATGTACATAATCACTACACTTTACAGTATATTCTGTGAAGCGCTTTGAGGCGTCTCGAGGATGTGATGAGGCGCTGTGTCAGACACAAGGATTATTATTATTCCTGCTCTCCCCTTCATGGCAAAAACCAAAGCACAGGTGGTCCTGACCGGGTTTTGAAACCCAGTCATGAAAGGAATTCTTAAGGCCCACGTATGGAAGCCATTCTCTCCCTCTTCCTCCTTATACCTACACCATCTCAGCTCACACGGTGCTCCACACCCTGGGCAGGCAATTGAATCTCACAGGACTGGCATTGCTCTCGGCCGGGTGGCTGGAGTCATTCTCGTAGGTGGCTTTTTCCTCCTCGAAGACTGAAAAAGTACAAGACACAAATTGGCAGCTGCAAATAAGGGGGGCAATTTGGGGCGTCCCAACGTAATGTTAGCGATCAGGACGGTTTCAGTTGTGTGGGGTAGCTCCTGGCATGTCTGATGCAGGTGTTGAACCCCAAATCCCATCAATTCACTTTAGAGTGTATCCTGTGAAGCACTTTGAGACGTCTCGAAGATGTGATCAAATGCAAGGATTCATATATTATTATACATTCCTGATTAGAGGCATTCTAATTACCTGTGAAGTGGCTTTATGGCATTTCAACACTATTGGTGCTACATCAAATGCATGGCTTATTATGTATGAAGAATATCTGTCACTTTTTTCAGGGGTGGGGGGAGAGATGAAGAGGAAATTGGTCAAAAGGGTTTTGTGTTTTTTTTTCTTCTACTGGGATACAGTTCCAGTGCCCTCCGATAACTTGCCATTGATGTGTAAGTCTTCAGAGTGAGTGTTCAAATAATATTTGTTTCCCGGAGGGGGAAATTGAAGCTCACAGATGAGCATCAAACACCATCCCACTTGTCCCAGTATTCCTGAGGCCGATTGTGCCTCTGCCTATAATTCAGCAAAGGCAAGAGTTTGAACCATGAGCTTTCTGATCTGTGGCCCAGAGTGCTGCTCAGTTCCGTCCTTTTACCTTTAAAAGCCATTGGGGAGGGCAGGGGAAGCACCCATTTCTGTGGCTCTAATTCATGATGGGAATAATAGGTAATCAGAAAAACACTATAATCACATTTTGTGGCCTTATAATGGAGGTATATCTGTGCAGAAGAAAATGTCTGGAGAGCGTGTGTACTATTAAGGTGATTTTAGGTCATGTCCGATTTAGGTTTTAAGTCCTTCCGAGTTGTTGCAGCCGATCATGTTCAAACATTCAATCTTTAACTGTCCTGACCAGCGATAGCGAAGCTATGATAAGTGTTCTCAGAGCAGTCTGTGAAGAGGTTCCAGTATTCCTAACATATCTATCCTGCCAAAAAAACTTATTTATTGCTATTTGTGGGATTATTTAGCCAGATGAACCGTCCTGTAGCCCTAATCAAAATAGCTCACTGTATAAAACACATTTGGGCTATTTCAGCAAACGGTGAAAAATATGTTCCTGTATGTTTCTATGGCGCTATATCATGTACAAGACTCCTTCCCTCTCCCGATAGTACTGATCTGCCATTTTGACTAAGGTCACTTTGCACTGTGGGAAGTGCAGAGAGAGAATTAAGTGACCATTTTTAAAAAAAAATAGTATCAACCGTTCTGTACAAGTGCTCTGGGACACTACCCTTCGTGACGGGTGCTGTATAACTGCAAGTTGTTGTTGTGTCTACCCCGAGAGGGATTGATCTGTATTTCTGGTTATCAGAAGTGGAATTTGACGAAGAATTATAATAAGAGTTATTTTTCTGCCTGTAGATGTCACTGTTGCACTTTGTAAATTGTCGCGTGACAAAGATTGGTGCAAATGTTTTCTTGTGGAGTATTTTCCACAAAATCCATCCTTGGAAGAACGAACCGTGGATCATTTTCATCTTGATGTATTGCCGTGTAGCAGAAATGTTTTGACGCGCCTTGGGACGTCCTCCCGATGTGAAAGGCGCTATACAAATGTAATTTGTTGTTGTCGATGCTCCTTGCCAGCAGATTAACTTCCAAGATTTGTTCTATCCCTGCAACCTCCCTGGCTTCACCTCATCCCTACCCCAGGAATCTCCTACAGTCCTAATCTCCTGCCCATTTCATCCTCTCTGCATGCTTGGGCCCGGGTCAATGTCCCTCATCCCTACAATGCACAGCGTAGCCTTCAGACACGATGTTCCCCTCTCTGGAACATATTCCTTCTGTCTGGCCCTCTCGCACCCCTGTCTTAAATCTTTCTAAACATCTACCTCTTTGACCATGCCTTAGGTCACCTTCCTCAAGGGGTCCACACATCTCCATCAAGTGCTTTGAGTCAGGAAGATGTTATCCTCCCAGAAGAGGTGCTGTATATGTTCACCTTCTTGTGAGCTTCACTATTGCACTGGTTAGTAAACGAGGCAGTTTTTTAAAAAAAAAGTTGCTAAGTGTTTTGTATGGGGGGAGGGGACTGTTTATGTCTAATTCACCACAATTGCAAAGCTCATTATCTCAGATGGGAGACCGATGTGTGAAAAGAGTGTAGAACGAACATGGTGAATGGATTGGGTTCTTTGTGGAGCTGAAGGGTTTGGAATAGCACCGACTCTTTCAAATCCAGGCGCAGGGGTTATGTCTACATCTGTTTTACAACAAAAGATGAGAGACTCGGGGAATGAGCATTTACTGTCTAAATGCCGTTTATTTTAACCTTCCCTTCTACCCCTCTTTGTCCGGATTACATACCTGTGTGTAACAGCAAAGGCAGGATTGAGCCCGGCTCCAGTGCCAAAAAACCTCCTGCTAAGTAGTTGCTGAGACTCTGCTGATGATGGCGCCTTTGGTAAAGTACTGAAGAACACACACAGAACTCTACCCCAGTAGAAGGAAATGAGAGTTAAAATGCTTTCTGAAAAGGAGGGAAAATGTTTGTGTGGGTGTGTGTATTTTTTTTGTTACCTGTTTTACTCCTAATGCTGTTTCCTTCACCCGGACCTTGTTTAAAAGCAGAGTTTGGTGTGTAAGAGCCTTTGTGCTCAAATCTGGGTCATCTCAGGAAAAGAGCTCTGAGGAAAAAAACTGCAGTTTTTTTTAATACCAGACTTTCAAACTAAAACTGCACAGCTACTCAATATTCTAAATTTCTTATTATTCTGGTCTCTTCCAGCGCTGACTGCCTGACTGACTGCATTAAAAATAATAGTAATTTGGTCAACCAATCCATGACTGTTTGTGGGGACGTTGCTGTGCACAATTGGCTGCCACGTTTTGCCCACAAAATATACAGTCAATTCAGTTGACAGTATATTCTGTGAAGCACTTTGAGACGTCTCAAAGATGTGATAAGGTGCTGTATCAAACACAACGATTATTATCATCATTACAAATCTGGGTCTATGAAATTGTACGTGGGTCTGTTTGCTTCAATGTGTGGCCGCCCGGGGCAGATTATAACTGGAACTTTCTGTTTGTTTGAAATGCACAGAATACTACTCCAGTTCTTTTAAGTTAAACCGGTGAAACGTCAGCACTCTGGTAAATCAGAATGTGTCTGCTGTTTCTTGTTTCAACTGTACAACAACGACAACAAAATTACATGCGCCTTTCACATCGGGAGGACGTCTCAGGTGCTGAACAGCTCAGTGTTTTGGCCCCGAGCTGGGGGTCGGTATCGGAGAGTGTGGAGGGAAGGTGACTGAAGGCGCAGTCGAAGAGGAGTCTTGAAGGAGGCAAGGGAGGGGGTGAGGTGGAGGGGCTACAGGGTGGAGGCAGAGTGGCTGAAAGCCCGCCTGCCAATAGTGGGGCGAGCGAGGCGGGGGACATGGAGCAGGCTGGATGTTATGAACGCTTGTATGAGGGTCTCAGCAGACTGCGGTGAGAGATAGTGGCGGAGTCGGGCGATGTTGCGGGGGGTGGCGGAAGGCGGAATGGGTCATGGCACGGATGTGGGGTGTGAAGGACAGTTGAGGGTTAAACAGGACAGTGAGGTTCCATATTGGCTCCGTGAGATGTAGAGTGCATCACCCCAGAGACTACTCACTGTCCTGTACAGTTAAATCCTAACATTTTGCAGAGGTTCGAAAAATATTTTCACAATGGATTTGCTCTTCACTACACCCCAGGGACGGAAACTCGTATATATAGATTTTTGCCCACAAAATAGTCAAACAATATAATCTGTGAAGCGCTTTAGATGTCTCGATGACGTGATGAAATGCTAAATCAAACACAAGGATTATTATTATGAAATCTATATCAATGTATTTCCTGCTGGATAATGTCAGTGGGAGAGAAGCCTAGAATTCCATATTGTTTTAACCTATAAGACCATTTTGTCTTTATATTTAAGATCAAACAAATGTGCGAAAATCCCATTGTTTTAATTTGTCATTTTTTAAAAAATAAAGGGAAATGTGGGAAACTTGGCTTCCAAATCGAGTCCAATTCTGCACAATCTTGGATTAAAGTGGTCCTACTCCGAACTACACACTGAGGGAAGTGAGATTGTGGAACTCGCTACCTGACGCAGTGGATGCAGATAGTCCAGATACATTCAAGTGAAAGTTAGAGCTTCACATGAGGAAGAGGGAAATAAATTGCTGTGCGAATGTGGCCCACAAAATACGCAGTCAATTCACAGTATATTGTGTGAAGCGCTTTGAGACGTCTCGAAGACGTGATATCGAATGCAAGGATTATTATTATAAGAGGGTGTGGGTGGAGACTCGTGTGCAGTATAAACACCGGTGGGGCCGAGTGGCCGGTTTCCATGCTGTACGTTCTTTGTAATCTCTGCCCACCAGGACCCTGGGCTACGACTGGTGTTTGCACCAGGAGCCATCGCTGCTGCCCGCGGCTGGTGACTAGTAACAAACTGTTATTCTAATCTTACTCTGAGGTGCAGATCGTTTAGTAACACCAGCACAGAGGGAGACTGATTGCCATCGTGTCGACCATTATCTGTATTGTCTGTCACTCGACTGTATTTTTAAATCACGGCAGATCTCGTCATTCCGTGTTCCTACATTTACGTTTCCTTCCCATTGAATGTCTCTTGTTAAATGTCCCAATTGATTCTAACTCGCTTTCTCTGGCACTGTGCGTTCTCACAACCCTCTGTGTGAAGAAATCTTTTCTCATCTTCCTTCTAACCAAAGCTGAGTTGGTTCAGTCTGGGCGTTTTTTTAAGAAGCATTTTGCATTATCATTCATTACCTCCAAATATTTTCCCCACAGTGTGTGGGCTCCTCTTTATTTAAGCGTCCAGTTCATCAGTCCTGTCACTCACAACTTGTAACCTCGATATGGTGGATAATGTGCCCAAACCAACCGAAACACAAACTCCTGAGCTTTAAAGAAGTGTTGGTGTACTATATAATCTTAAAATGTTTGTCTGGGACTTAGTGTCATAACGGAGAGCACTTTAAAACTTCCTTTAAGCACTTTTCTCTGAGCCTCTTTCATTTAGATGCATTTGTTAAGCTTCCCCACGGAGAAACCGTGGAGGATTAATGCGCTAATTTGGATCACCTGTATTGATTTTGTATATAAAAAAACACTCAAATCACAGTACAGCCATTTCATGTCAGTCTTTTAACAGCAATGTTTAGCATTTACAGGAGCCATTGTTGGTGACGTTTGATATAAAGTGATTTCATTTTTGAAAAAAAAATCAATATTTTGTTGTAGGAGCACTGAGGTACTTTGCAGCAAAGGATCTAGAGCTTTGCAACGTCTCGATCACATGATAAGTCACTATATCAATCGCAAGAAAAAGCAGAGGTACATTTCGAGGCACTTGTTGAAAGTTTAAACCATTTGCGGGTCCCATTGATGAGTCAAATGAGTCAAAACTGGAATGGACAGATTATCTGCTAAGAAACTTTTAATTAAACCCACAATTCCAGCTTCCGGGTCAGTGTTTAACACAAACCAGAACAATCTGGGATGTGCATTGGGTGTCAGATCTGGAACAGCGTGGGTTACATTAGTGGCTTTTGTGACACGACTACCTTTCCCCATTAACCACCATCCTGACCTACGTTTGAATGTTACTGGAAGTCGGTAAGGATTCTCAATTCTTACATTACAAATGGAAAAGTGGTTCCCGTAACATCAAATATCTTTTTAAAAGTGATTGTTTTGGTGATGGACCAGTGACCAGTGAAAGTGGCCATGGCTCCCACTGCACATCACCCACACACTAACCTTGCAGTTCGCATCATTCAATTTGCTATTTTAACTTGAAAATGGGACAACTCTGCACTGCGACTGACTTCAAAGGATATATTTACTAATACTTTGAGCCATTACAAGCATCAGTGTAAAAGTTAGCTTTGTCACCCTCCTAATTCAGTCGGACACATTCACGTGCTGATCTGTTTCGTAGTAATAATTCTGTTCAGTAAATATTGCAGTTATCTATTTGTTATGGAAGAAACTACAGTATATTGTGAAAGCATTCTTTATGCTGAAAGATTGCTGTTGAATAATGTTAACTTAATTCCGTATGAGCTGGACACAACTTCCAATAAAATCTCCTCTTTCAGTTGTACCTGTGTTCTTTTCAGTTTTTGAACCAGAGACTTGAGTCTTTAGTCTGTTTTGCACTTTCCTGGGTTTCGATTCCAAAATTGAAAATGCGCTGAATTAAAATTTAAAATTGATTATCTGTCTTGCAAGTGAGGCGACCTGAGCGGGGAAAAGCCTCAGGCAAGTTTCCTTACCCCACACGCCTGTTTACCCAGCAACAAGTAAGAACCTGGTTGTTAGTTGATTGATGCATCGCTTTCTGGGAGTGATATTCTCTTCGAAGATAAGAAGAAGAATTTGGTCACTCAATCCACGACTGTTTGTGGGACGCTGCTGTGTGCAATTGGCTGTTGTTTCTCCCACAAAATACACAGTCAATTCACCACAGTATACTCTGAAGCGCTATAGACGTCACAACAACGTGATAAGGCGCTGTATCAAATGCAAGAATTATATTTAAATTTCTGTTTTTCAAGGTTTGAAAGGGAGGTAAGTCCAGCAGACAAATCCCTCCTATCGTAATTGCCACTAAACTGTACCTCATTACTGATTAAAGTAAAATTTAAACACATCCAAGATAATACAAAATTCATGTGCAAGTTTTTCTTTATGTTGAAACAAATCGACACCACATGAGACACAGGCAGTTAAATTCAACAGAATTCCAAACTCCCAACCCATAACACAACAAAGCACAGGAATATCAATTATATAAACCACTTTCACATTAAATAATTTATCAAAATCTGTTATAAAAAAAACTAAATCTTTAAAACATCTTTTGCAGAATCTTAGAATAAAACAAATCAAACACATTGCGAATTGAAGTACTCAGTGGTATTGTAACACACAAAATAATCCCTTATATTAGGCAACTTTCTTTACTCCGTACGCCTGTTCACCCAGCAGTAGGTATGTTGTTAGTTGATTGGTGGATCACGTTCCTGGGTAATAATCCCTTCAAAAAATAATAATTTGGTCCCTCAATCCACTATTCGTGGGACACTGGTGTGCGCAGTTGGCTGCCACAGTCAATTCACTTTAAGAGTATATTCTGTGAAGCGCTTTGAGACGTCTCGAAGATGTGATAATGTGATATCAAATGCGAGGATTATTATTATTACTCGGGTCAAAAAGAGAAAAGTTCTGAAAAGGTTTCCTTTTTTTTTTGAAAATTTAAATTTTGTAAAATGGCACCGACCACATGTTTAAAAGGTAAATGCAGTTTCCGAGTGTCCCGTGATCAACCTCGGTCCCTGCACGAAGCTGAAACAGCAAGTTTAAATACTTGTCGTCCCTGTATTTTAAGTAGTCAGTAGTTTCTACACAAAGTGCAGTAAGTATGAGGCTTTAAGTGCAAACAAGGAACTCAAACTCAGCGAGAAGCTCTAGGATTGTATCATCACACCCAGAATACAAATGGAAATTTTAAAGTAGATTTCACTCGTCCAAGAACCAGCTTTTATGATTAACCTTAATGTGCCCTGAGCTACGATGGGAAAAAGAGAGCGTTCCAGCTCCGAACCCTATCCAGAGACTTGTTGGAAGGTGTGTTTGGGGCTCCATACGCAGTGCCTTTCATGACGGGAGGACGTCCCGGGGCGCTGGACAGTCAGGGATTTGGACACAAGCTGGGGGTTGGGATCAGGAGGGGTGGAGGGTAGGGAAGGTGAGGGTAGGAGGGTGACCGAAGGCTCGGTCAAAGAGGAGGGTTTTGAGGTTGGCCTTAAAGGAGGCAAAGGAGGGAGCGAGGTGAAGGCACTGTGGGATAGAGTTCCAAAGGGTGGGAGCAGAGAAGCTGAAGACCCGACCACTGATTACACGGGTGCAAACAGGCTGCCATGTCCCCACAACTGAAGCTCCTAATGACACTGACTGTTAAGGGTCACAAACAAACAACCGCCCCTTGAGTGACCAGAGGTGACTGGCACTCGAGGAAGTGTACCCCGATAAACAGAAGAGGAAATAAAAACACAAGGCAACTGAATGCAGTAAAAGAATGCTTCAGGTTGGTATCACATCCCCTCGTGTCCCCACAAGTCATTCTTAAGCAATTTGTCCGTTTCCAGATCAACACAAGTGCTATGAAGGGAAAGATGAAAGCTGCTTATTTTCAAATGGAAAGTAAAAGACGTGGGAATGAATCAGTCACTGGTAAAATAAGCAACTGATGTCTTAAGACAGACTATGATTGTGTAAATAATTCATAAACTGGATTTTTTTCCTGAGGTGAAGCAACACAAATATTTTCTATACATGGGTACCTGGAGCAGCAGTTCCCCCCCTCCCACCCCATCCCCAAGACTGAAGATCTACTAAGGTTATATATAAATCAGATCGACTGAGGACCCCCTCAGCACCATGATGGGGACAGTGATATCTACATCACTCTCATCGTTTCATATCAAGCCTAACGTTAACATAATAGAAAGCCGCCACAGCCGATGTAAACTGTTGCCCCACCTGCTCTGGGCGAGAGCCAGGATGCCCACTTCAAAGCGGGCGAGGGCAGCGTCCAGTGGTGATGCCTAAGGGTCTCCCAACTCACTCAAAACAGCCCGTTCGTTCCTTGTGACACAATATTTGTCTGCCACTGGTCGCTTTCACCACTACGCCCTGAAACTCTGGAACTCTCTCCCTCGATCCTCGCCCCCCCTTCCCCATCTTCAGGTTGTGCCTGAAGATCTTCCTGTTCAATCAGTGCCTACGGTCACCTCCCCCTCCCTGCTTGGCTTCGGGTTCTGTCACTATTAAGTGCTCTGGGACGCTACCCTGTGTGAGTGAGGGGCGCCGTATAAATTCCAGCCGCTGTTGGTGATCTCTGCGGGTTCAGTGCAAATTATTATTAAATGTTATAAAACACAGGATTTCTTTCTTTCGTTCAAAAGATTATTTGCCACTTCCAGTTTTCATCAGACGTAGCAAACCAGAGAAGTGGACAGAGTGTGACTGGGGACAGAATGTGAGCAGATTTTGTGACTTGACAAAAGAAACCTTTATAAAAAGCCGGGCCCACTTGTCTCTTCCGGCTGAATCAACTCTTTAGTTACTTTGGGGGAATAAAAAAACCTAATATGCACCAGGATAGCCCTGGGGTTACAGTGTTCCATCTCCTCTCGTTGCCCCCTCTCGACCAAAGTGATTAGAAGCTCAAAATAAAATAAAACTCAGTTTGCCCATTGCTAATCAAAGCTTTGTCGCCTGGCTTCCAGCAGTGTTAACCAGGTGCTGTTAACATTGAGAATTTCAGCAAGACGGACAGACTAACCCAGCAAGCCAGCTTCGCCAAACACAGAGAGAACAAAGTAACTTACACAAGATCCAGCGATTATCTTAAGCTTTCTTTTCAACTAAATCACACCCGCGATGGGCATTCAGCCCCCTTCACTAGGAAACTCACTGCCTCAAATACGATGGTGAATGAACTGAAGTGAGTTTAACGCAGAGGAATACTGAGTACACAGCACTGAGCATAGCAGAGAACCATATCTCTTTAATGTTCGGCTGCTCTCCGCTGTCTGCTGTAATTCACAGAGAGCAGAATCATGCCGTGCAGTAGCAGCGAGGCTTCAGACTCTGAAAGGAGAAAAACAGTGAATGTTAATGTTCAAGGTTTCGTTTATCTTCTGTTAACACTGAAACGACTCAAAGTTCTTCACAGGTGCTCAGCGCTCCAGGACCCCACCCCGCGTGAAGGGCGCTATATAAATGCAAGTTGTTGTTGTTATCGTAGTTGACTGTGGTCAAAGGTTTGTTGTCGCACATCTCAGAGAGATGTTTGGCGTAATAACAATCCTTGCATTTGATACAGCGCCTGATCACGTTTTTGAAACGTCTCAAAGCGCTTCACAGGATACACTGTAAAGTGTAGTGACTGTATACTTTGTGGGTGAAACACAGCAGCCAATTGCGCACAGCAGCGTCCCCACAAACAGTTGTGGATTAAAGTGACCAAATATTTTTTGGGAGGCATTATAACCACCGGAAAAGCGATCCGACAATCGACTAACAACCGGGTTCCTACTTACTGCCAGTAAACAGAGGCGTGTGTGTGGAGTAAGGAAACCTGCCTAAGGTTTTGCCCGGCTGGGAATCTAACCCAAGTCCTAATCACTTGAGACGAGTGCTCTTAACCACAGAGCTACAGGACTCCACAATAGGCGCCGTATGATATATAGAACTGAATATTATTATTTATTGTGATGATGATTATTGTATGCTCCTGCTATCCTCGTTGCCCCCTAACTTTACCTTTAATCCTTTGGGAGAGTTGGAGCCACTTGGTTAGCCAGTCCTTGCAGTCTGTTTCACTCAGATGCACTGAATTCAGCCCTCGAACATAGCAGGCCTTCAAATCAAATCAAGAGAGAGAAAAAACAAGGCCGGGGGAAGTCTGAATTCTGATGCCTCGCAACCACAAGGTTTATTATTACACTTCATTGTCGCGAAAAGAATTCAAGCCTTCAATTCAATTAATTTACTAAATTAAAATGGAGCTGAGGTACAGATCAGCCATGATCTATTACAATGGCGGAACAGGCTCGAGGGGCTGAATGGCCTCCTCCTGTTCCTATGTTGCTATATAAGTAACCAAAGCAAATGAAGCAAAGGCAAGACTGTACAGGATCAGCTGTGACTGATGGTTCTTGCCTCAGACATTGGCCTCTGTTGCTCACTTAGAAACAGCAGAGCCTGAACAATACAACCACACATTACATTTGTTTAGCGCCTTCCACGTTGGGAGGACATCCCAAGGCACTGGATGTATGTTGGTTTGTGCAATAACCAGGTGTTAGCTAATCTGTCAATCAATGGATAATATTGCACAAACCGCAGGAGAACCCGACAACCACAAAATTCTCTCTCACCACTGTCCTCTTCCCGTTTAACAGGGCAACAGGCTCTCTGCCCCCACCCTTTGAAACTCCATTCAACAGTCCCTCCGCCTCGCTCCCTCCCTCGCCTTCTTCAAAGCCCATCTCAAGCCCCTCCACTTCGACCGGGCCTTCAGTCACCCTCTTAACCCCATCCTCCCTGCCCTCCACCTCCTCCTGATCCCAACCCCCAGCTCGGGGCCAAATCCCTGACTGTCCAGCGCTTTGGGACGTCCTCCTGACGTGAAAGGCGGGTTGTTGTTAGCCAGACAATCCCGGGACTTACGTTCCGGAGTTCCTCCTCAGAGAGCTTGTGGGGTCCCAGTGCAGACAGAGCCCGGTCCAGGTGATGGATCTCTGTTATGTGCTTCCAGAGGCGTCTGCGTAGGAATATCGAAGGCAAGTGTGGGCTGAGGAACATCATCTGGCTCAAGGCTTTCTGTGAATATGAACATTTAGATAATTCAGCCCAGGATAAGCTGTTTTATCTTGTGCTGAACAGTGGAACCACAGGACACAGTGAAGGGGGTAAATTCAGGACAAATCTGGGGAACATGACTTCAGTGAGCGACTAGTAAACGTAAGGAACAGGTTCCCTCAGGTGGGAGGGACGGATGGACCGACGAACGGACAAAGCAGAAAGTGTTGCTTGTTTCGAGACCAAATGAGATTGATTTCTGCTAGAAAATAATATCTGGGGAGGTACAGTGTATAGTTTGGGGACAAGACATGTCAAGCGACTGCCAGGATGGATTATTAGCCCCGTAAAGCAATCCGCCAATCGATTAACAACTGGATTCCTTCTTACTGCTGGTAAACTGCGTGTGTGTGTGTGTGTGTGTGTGGAGTAAGGAAACTTGCCCAATGTTTCGGCCTGACCCACCCGGGAATCAAACCCAGGTCACAATTGGCCCAGAAATAGCCCAACGTCTGCAAAGAAGCCATTCTCCTAATTCCCCTAAAGGCAGGTTTCACTGTACAGCAGTAACCTAGTTTGATCACATTCCTCCACAAAGCTGTACCACATGTTGGGGGTCTCAGATTGCACGTGGAATCCCAGTAAGTCTATATCTGGGAGTCACACTCACTGGCACCGTTTGCTGTAAGTCGTTCAAAACCTGGGTGTCACGTAACATATTGAAATGTGCCTCAATTTATATTCTAAGTTGTTAAAATGTACTGTTACCATTTGGGTTGTCTCAATTCTCCACAGCCCTAACGGGGGGCCTGAGAACAACGTTGACACTGCACACAGCTCACTTATCTCAGGGTGAACTCCTCTCTGGACCTGAAATACATTAGAAGATGTTAGTACCTTAGTGGCTTAACACCCAACATTCCTCAAACTTCTCTTCAGTCAAACAGTGTCAAAGTTAATATAATAATATAATAGAGGTAAGTAGGAACCCGGTTGTTAGTCAATTGGCGGATTGCTTTTTCTGTGGGTAATAATCCGTTTAAAAAAAACCATAATAATAAATTGTTCACTTCAACCCACGGCTGTTTGTGGGACGCTGCTGCGCGCAATTGGCTGCCGCGTTTTGCCCACAAAATACACAGTCACTACCCTTTACGGTGTTTTCCTGTGAAGCGCTTTGAGACGTCTCGAAGACGTGATAAGGCGCTGCGTAAGGATTACGACAATGATGATGATGATTAGATGGCTTCCATGGCCACATACCCCGCTGCTCAGCCCCAGTAGACGGTCCTGGAGTTTCCTGCTCTGGACTCTCGGAGCGGTTTCTAACAGATTGTTGACCACTTGTGGGTATCTCTGTGCCCGCATGGAGTGGTATATCACCATAAAGTCCTCTGTCTGCTGCTTGCTCCAAAAATACCTCATTAACAACTGCCGCGGGTAGAAATACCTACAAACGGCAAAGAGTTTCACGTCAACAATATCTTGCATTCACACAGCGCCCGTCACCTGGGGTAGCGTCCCGGGGGGCTCGACAGTGAGCGGAGTCTGACCCCGAGCCGGGGGGAGAGGGAGGGGGGAGGTGACCGTGAGCGCGATCAAATGGGAAGGTCTTGAGGCGGGATTTGAGGGAGGGAGGGAGGGAGGGGGCGAAGGGGTAGTTTGAGGGAGAGAGTGACAGAGTCTCAGGGCGTTAGTGGCTGAAGGAACAGCCACCCATGGTCTCTTCCTCCACCAGTGCAGCGCTCCCCTCCCCCCCGTAACTGCACAAGACCGTCAGCCTGGAATAATTAGCTCAACGGCCTGATGTGGGGCTCGAGCGAATAAGGTTTCTGACTCAGCAGCAAGAGGGCCATGGACTGAGCCAACGGGAAACCGGCTTGTGCTGACCAATAGTCCAACAATTTCCAATAAAAAGCAACCATTAATACACATTATTACAGTCCACAGGGAAACTTCACAGCCAGGCTCTGGGTCAGGGTTCCCTCAGTCACCAACTCCAGCAACAACACCAACAACAAACAAATCACAGTTACGCAGCGCCTTCCCCTCACGTCAGGAGGACGACCCAAGGCGCTGGACAGTCAGGGGTTTGGACCCGAGCTGGGGGTTGGGATCAGGAGGTGGTGGAGGGCGGGAAGGGTCGGGGTGGGTGGGTGACCGAAGGATACTGGTTTGTCATGGCTTAGCTGCTCTGGTAGGCGTCTCTCTGACTGGGGGTGGGAGAGGGAGAGGGAACCAGGGGGTGGGGAGGCAACCCCAGGGGTAGTTTCCACAATAGTGCAATTAATACACCAGATTTTATGGTATGTTTCAAGGTTTGGCCCCACTGCACATATCACGTCTGAACTCAGGCTGACTCTAAACTGAAGGCCTGCAGTTCAAAGCTGTTTAAATACTTACATCAAGGCGAAAACCAAATAGTTTGCAAAGGGAGGAATGGAGAGAAGCACCAGGGGGGTCACTTTGATAATATCTCTGCGGAACTAGAGCAGAAAGGACAGTTTGTGGGTCAATATTAATATTAATAATAATCCCTGCATCTGATACAGCGCCTCATCATGTCTTCCAAGACATCTCAAAGCACTTCACAGAATATACTGTAAAGTGTAGTGTCTGTGTGTTCTGTAGGCGACTATATTAACTGAAGTAAAATCACTATTTAATTCACACTTATTGGAAATGATGGTGTTTGTGCACTTAAATCCCTGCAGAGAGAATTATGAGACTTCATTGAAAAGATTAACACTAACAATACGAAGGCCGATGTTCTTGTGCAGTTACAGCAGCTTCTGTTAAAAAGACGCTTTGTTTAAATTAAAAATTTGAATTGAAATTTAAATAAAAAATAAAAATTAAAGACACCTTTTGCAAAACGGTAGCAAACTGCTCTTATTTATACAGCGACTCGGGACTCTACCTCACGTGAAGGGAGCTCTATAAATACAAGTTGTTGTTGTTATATTAAACTACATCTTGTAGTCAACATCGTTTACAGATACAGACAAACCGTTGCATTTCACAGCGCAGTTTAGCCACAGGACCAAATCTCTCACCTGCCTTAATTTCTCCATTTCCCTGTAGGGCAGTTGGTGATATTTTAGTCTCTGCAAAGCCATCTTCTGCTTTATTACCAGAACTTCCTTGAAGTCAGTAAATAATGGTCGGAAACCTGACATAAATAAAGGTGCATAATGGTAAGAAATGATCAACAGTTTACAGTCTAGGATAATGCTCTACTGGGGGAGCGTTGCAATGACAGAGCTGCTGTCTTTCAGATAGAAAATAAACCAAGGTCCAGGTGACTGTAAGCCTCCGCTCAGCTGGCTCCGGCCTCCTATTTGTCCCCCATCCCCTCCGCTCCACCATCGGTAGCCGTGCCTTCAGCCACTACGCCCCGAAACTCTGTCACTCTCTCCCTCAATCGCTCCGCCTCGCCCCCTCCCTCACTTCCCAACTTCAAATCCCACTGTCAAGCGCTCTGGGACACATATATTAACAACAACAACTTGCTCTCGCAATTCTCTTTGAAGGGGTTTAAGTGCATGTTGTTGTTAAAAGATCACAAGACCCGATTCCCTTTTCCCTTCGCGAAGAGAAGGGAGTTTCTCCGGGTGTCCTGGCCAACAATCTTTCGCTTAAATTGGTTATTTAATAAAGTCATTTGGTTGCTGTTGTTATTAATCTTACGGTTGTTTGTGGCACCTTGCTGTGTGCAAACTGGCTGCCACATTAATGTAAAACACAGTCCCCAGGCGTGACAGTAATTACCTGTAAAGTGCTTGAAAACTATTGGTGTTGTATCAAATACCAGGATTCCCGGGGTTTTTTTTGGAAGCACAGCTCATGCCTTTCCCAGCAAGGCAAGAGTCATGTGAGAATTTATAAAGGAGACACAGACTGTTAATGTGCCACAAACACAGCTTTAAGTTCCAGATTCATCCCTCAGTCTGCACGGCAAAAGAACCAGACGGGAGACGAGGAGAATTTTTTTTTACCCAGAGAGTTGTTAGTCTGGAATGCACTGCCTGAAAGAATGGCGGTGGAAACAGATTCGATATTTGATATAGCACCTCATCACGTCTTTGAGACGTTGCAAAGCCCTTCACAGAATATATTGTAAAGAAAATTGACTGTATATTTGTGGGCGAAACACGGCAGCCAATTGCGCACAGCAGTGTCCCACAAACAGTTGTGGATTGAGTGACCAAATTATTACTATTTAAGTCCATAATCAAACCCTATGCAGACAGGACGTGGTGTATCAATGTGTATCTGCGGCTGCTTAACATTCAGGCACAAAGAGGCCTGACCCACTCGAGATCTGTCTGCAAGCCAATTGTCCCTTGTTCCACCATCTTGGTCTCTGTCCTTTAGACCAGTGGGTGGGGGATCCAACCTTTTGGCTGCTGAGGGCCGGACGCCCTATATGAGAAACACCTGCAGGCCCCACAAGCAATAATAATAATCCTTGCATTTGATACAGCGCCGGATCACGTCTTCAAGACGCTTCACAGGATACACTGTAAAGTGAATTGACTGTATATTTTGTGGGCGAAACGCGGCAGCCAATTGCGCACAGCAGCGTCCCCACAAACAGTCATAGATTGAAGTGACCAATTTATTATTTTTGTATTTTTTGGGGCAAGAATTATTATCCCCGGAAAAGCGATCTGCCAATCAACTAACATATCGACTACTGTCTGCTAAGGAGACAGAGTAGTGTGTGGACTAAGGAAACTTGCCCAATGTTTCGCCCTGCCTGGGAATCGAACCCAGGTCCTCTCACTTGCGAAGCAAGTGCTCTAACCACTGACCTACAGAACTCCCCCTGACTCAGTGTCAGACTCCGTCACTGTGAAAGGCTCTGGGACACTACCTCACGCTGTATAAATGCAAGTTGTGTTTCCCTTCCTGAAACATAATGTAACATTAACATTAATGTAACATGCACGGAATTTAGCAAACAAGATTGGTGAGCTGCAGCTCAAGTGGTCATAGCGGGATACGATTTAGTAGCAGTAACAGAGACTTGGCTCAAGCAAGGACAGGAATGGGAGCTGAATATTCCTGGCTATAACGTATTCAGGAGGGATAGGGAAGGAAAAAAAGGAGGGGGTGTGGCAATGTTAATCAAGGATACAGTTATAGCCGTGGAAAGGGTCGAGGTGTTGGAGGGCCCCAAAACGGAATCTATCTGATTAGAGTTAAGGAACAAAAAAGGAGCTGTTACGCTGGTGGGTATACTATAGACCACCAAATAGTGGGAAGGAAATAGATAAGCAGATCTGCAAGCAGATCTCAGACAGATGCAAAGCCAATAGAGTCGTGATAATGGGGGACTTTAATTATCCCAACATAGACTGACAAAACAACAGCGCAAAGGGCAAGGAGGGGGAAAGATTCCTAAAATGCATACAGGACAACTTTCTTGATCAGTACGTTTCCAGCCCAACAAGGAAGGAAGCAGTGCTAGATCTAGTTCTAGGGAATGAAGTAGGGCAAGTGGAGCAGGTTTCAATGGGAGAGCATCTGGGCAATAGTGATCATAACATCATTAGATTCAGAGTACATATGGAAAGAGACAAGGAACCATCTGAGGTGAAGATATTCAACTGGAAGAGGGCAAATTTCAGCGAGTTAAAAAGGGACCGAGCCAAGGTGGATGGAAAGAAAGATTGGCTGGTAAAACAACTAAAGAGCAGTGGGAAGTCTTCAAGGGTGAGATAGCTCGGGGACAAAATAAATACATTCCCACAAAAGGGAAAAGTAGGTCTTCCAAACCTCCCTGGATGACGAAGGTAATTGTATCTAGAATGAAGCAGAAAAAGGAGGCGTTTGACAAATGTCAAACCCAAGATACAGAAGACAACCAAATACAATATAGGAAGTGCAGAAGAGGTTTGAAAAAGGAAATAAGAGCGGCAAAAAGATTATATGAAAAAAGGTTAGCGGGTAACACTAAAGGGAATTCTAAAATATTTTACAAACATATTAAGAAAAAAAGGTTAGTCAAAGGTAGGACCGATTAAGGACCGAGGGGGAAATCTTACTGTGGAGGCAGAGGCCATGGCTGATGTACTGAATGAGTACTTTGCATCTGTCTTCACAAAAGAAGTGGATGCACCAAATGCAGGAGAGGGGAGAGGAAATGGATAGGATAAGTATAAACAGAGAGGAAGTACTGAATAGGTTGACTGGGCTGAAGGTGATAAGTCCCCCGGTCCAGACGGGCTGCAGCCGAGGTTACTATAGCGGAGGCTTTGGCTACAATTTTTCAATCTTCGTTGGACACAGGAGTGGTGCCCGAGGACTGGAGAGTGGCCAATGTGACTCTCCTGTACAAAAAGGGACAGAAGAACAAACCTGGGAACTACAGACCAGTACAGCCTCACATCAGGAGTGGGGAAACTCCTGGAGACTATAATCCGGGACAGAATAAATCTTCACTTAGAAGAATATGGGTTAATTAGGGACAGACAGCACCGATTTGTTAAAGGCAAATCTTGTCTTAACAAATCTAATAGAATTTTTCGATGAGGTAACGGAGAGAATGGATAAAGGTAGTGCAGTTGATGTAGTCTATATGGACTTTCAAAAGGCATTTGACAAAGTGCCACATGAAAGACTTGTAAGAAAGATAGAAGCCGTTGGTATAAAAGGGACAGTGGCAGCGGATCCAGAACTCACTGGGAGACAGAAAGCAGAGAGTTGTGGTGAACGGCTGCTTTTCTGACTGGAGGGAAGTGTACAGTGGTGTCCCCAGGGATCGGTATTAGGACCACTGCTCTTCTTAATATGCATAAATGATCTGCACTTGGGTCCAGATCATTTATGCATTTCCAAGTTTGCGGACGACATAAAGTTAGGGAGGGGGTAAACAGTGAGAAGGACAGGAGCCAACTGCAGGAAGACATAGACAGATGGTAAGATAGGCGACACATGGCAGATGAGTTTCAATGTAGAGAAATGCGAAGTAATGCATTTTGGTAGAAAGAATGAGGGGCAATATAGGCGGTAATACAATCTTAAGTGGGGTAAAATAATAGAGAGACCTGGGGGGGGCAGGTAAATGAATCCTTGAAGGTGGCAGGACAGGGAGATAAGGCTGTAAAAAGGGCATATGGGATATTAGGCTTTTATAAATAGGGGCATAGAGTACAAGAGTCAGGAGGTTATGATTAACCCATATAAACACTGGTTAGGCCTCAGTTAGAATACTGCGCCCGGTTCTGGGCACCGCACTATAGGAAGGATGTTAAGGCATTGGAAAGGGTACAGAGGAGATTTACGAGGATGGGACCAGGAATGAGGGACCGTGATGATGAGGAAAGGCTGGAGAGGTGAGGATTATTCTCATTGGAGCAGAGAAGGTTACGAGGACCTAATAGAGGTCTTCATCATCATGAGGGGATTTGATAGGGTACAAAGGGAAAAACTGTTCCCACTGGTGGGTGTATCGGTGACTCGAGGTCACAGATTCAAAATAGTCTCTAAAAGAAGCCGAGGGGAGGTGAGAAGAAATTTTTTCACGCAGTGAGTTGTTGGAATCTGGAACGTTGCCTGAAAGGGCGGTCGAGGCCGATTCGACAACTACTTTTAAAAACGCGGTGGACGGGTATTTGAGAAGGACGGGTTTGCGGGTTATGGGGAAAGGGCCGGGAGTGGGATTGACATTACATTGCTCTTCTCAAAGAGCCGCACAGACTCGATGGGCCGAATGGCCTCTTTTTGTGCTGTACGATTCTATGATTTATGGATTATGGAGGAAGGAAAGGGTGGAGGGAAAGAGGGGAGAGATGAAATGGGGAGAGGGAGGAAGGGAGTGGGGGGGGGGGGGAGGGCAGGATATGAAATCAGTCGCTGAACGTACTTAAAAGATGAAAGTATGAATGGTGTTGGGTGATGGAGTCCTCTAGTATGCGATGTTCAGTAAGACTCAAGTGCTTGGGCTGTTCAAAGCAGCAGCAGCTAACGTAGAACTAAGAGTGGGAGAAAGGAGAAAGATTGTGAAAGAGACAGAGGCAGCTCAGAAGATTGAAGACAGGGAGATGTCAAGGTGGATAACGTTAAAATTAGAGTCAGGCCATTTAGGAGTGAAATCAGGGGCAGTTTTTTACCCAAAGGGGAGTGGGAATCTGGAACTCTCTCCCTCCCCCAAAAGGCTGCGGATTATGGATGGATCCACAATTTTTTCAAGAATGAGGTGGAGAGGTGTTTGTCAGGTCAGGGTATCGGGGGTTATGGGGCAAAGGCGGGTAATTGGAGTTGAGGTACAGATCAGCCATGATCTTACAGAATGGCAGAACAGGCTCGAGGGGCTGAATGGCCTCCTCCTGTTTCTATGTGACACTGCTGTGTGCAATTGGCTGCCAAGTTTCACCCACAAAACACACTCACTACACTTTACAGTATATTCTATGAAGCGCTTTGAGACGTCTCGAAGATGCGATAAGGCACTGTACCAAATGCAAGGATTATTATTACACGTATTATTTGCTGTGAACATTAAAAGCTTATGTAAAAAAAAGTTTACGTTCATGAACTTGATACACAATTTTGCCAAAGCCATTTAAAACTCCTGGAATAGTCCAGATGGCCTGTTTCCATTTGTTTAATTCTATGCAATTGTGAATTGAGCTGCTGGGTGAGGCAGCAGATTTTCAGTTGCCTGCGCTATTTATGCCTAAATATTTATTTTCGCTGCTGGACTGTAAGGATTATGAAATGTTCTCTTCGATACATAATAATACAGAATATACCGTAAAGTGAAGTGACTTTACATTTTGTGGGCGAAATGCAGCAGCCAATTGCGCTCAGCAGCGTCCCACAAGCAGTCGTGGATTGAGTGACCAAATGATTATTATTAGTTATTCATTTAATTTTTTGAAGCGATTATTACCACCAGAAAAGCGATCTGCCAATTGACTAACAACTAGGTTCCTACTTACTGCTGGGTAAATAGAGGCGTGTAGAGTAAGAAAATTTGCCCAACGTTTCACCCTGCCGGGAATCGAACCTAGATCCTTTCACTTGCGAGGAGAGTGCTCTAACCACTGAGCTACAGGACTCCACGAACTGCGCTGATATGCGATGAGTTGTGTGTTCCTGTTACCTCTCCCTCCCTCACACTGTTCTGCAAATGTATGGCTGACAAACAGAAGATCAAGGCATGCAGACCACAAACTCACCTTTGAAAAAAGTTGAATAAATCACGTAAAAACGTGGAAATTTCCACTGTAAAAATCCTTCGTATTTTTCATTGATGCGTTTGACCCTCGAGGTAATAATAGATTTAACTTTTTTGGCCTGCGATTTAGTGGAAAATCTTGATATTGGGTAAACCGAAAGCCTAGAATAGGGGGAGACGAGAGAGGGGGCAGAGACATCATTGAAACAATTAGAACACCCACCACGATTATCATAGAATCCTACAGCACAGAAGGAGGCCATTCGGCCCATCGGGTCTGTACCGGCTCTTTGAAACAGCCACCAACTAGTCCCACTCCCCCACTCTTACCCCAACTAGTCCCACTCCCCCACTCTTACCCCAACTAGTCCCACTCCCCCACTCTTACCCCAACTAGTCCCACTCCCCCACTCTTACCCCAACTAGTCCCAATGCTTCGTTCTTACCCCAAAGTCCAGGGGGTGGTGGTGTAGGGGTGAGGGAAGGCGGAGAGGTGGGAGGGAGACCAAAGGCACAATTGAAGAGAAGGCTCTTGAGCCCGGCCTTGAAGGAGGCGAGGGAGGAAGCGAGGCGAAGGGACCGTGGGATGGAGTACCAGAGTTTGGGGGCAGGGAGGCTGGAAGCTCGGCCACCGATGGGAGGGTGGGCAGGGCGGGAGACATGGAGCCTGATGAACGGAGGGAGACGCTATATAAGTGCAAGTTGTAAAGTGGATAAAGAGAGAGAGAAAGAAAACAAACAGACGGACACCCTCCTAGAAACTGGGGGCGCAGGACAGTAGCAGTTGAACATGAGCAGTGTCCCCAGAGCTGAGCATCAGGTCAGGTCGAAGGCAGAGAAATTCCTCATCAACTAAATAACGTAGAATTTTTAAGACCAACATTTTCCTGTGAAGGGAAAGAGTCTTCTTCCCTGGACCCCCTTCTCCTTCCCGGGACCCCCTTCTCCTGCCCTGGACCCTCCTCTCCTGCCCCGGACCCCCTCCTCCTGCCCCGGACCCCCCTCTCCTGCCTTGGACCCCGCTCTCCTGCCCCGGACCCCTTTCTCCTGCCCTCGACCCCCCTCTCCTGCTCCGGACGCCCTTCTCCTGCCCTGGAGCCCCTCTCCTGCTCTGGACCCCCCCTCTTCTGCCCTGGACCCCCCCTCTCCAGGCCCCGGACCCCCTCTCCTGCCCTGGACCTCCCTCTCCTGCCCCGGACCCCCCTCTCTGGCCCGGACCTCACTCTCCTGCCCTGGACCCCCCTCTCCTGCCCTGGACTTCCCTCTCCTGCCCCGGAACTCACTCTCCTGCCCCGGACCCTCCTCTCCTGCCCTGGAAACCCCTCTCCTGTCCTGGACCCCCTTCTCCTGGGCCTTCTATTGCAGTAGCTATGATTACGCTATTTCCCCCCACCGTGAGGGGGGGGGTCTGTCACTGTGAGGAGTGACACACACAGCCTAACAATCCCATCCACCATCACACACAGCACCCCCACCCCCCACACACAGCACCCCCCCCCACACACAGCAACCCCCCCACACACACACAGCACCCCCCCCCACACACAGCAACCCCCCCACACACAGCACCCCCCCCCACACACAGCAAACCCCCCACACACACACACAGCACCCCCCCCCACACACACAGCACCCCTCCCCCCACACACAGAGCACAACCCCCCCCCACACACAGCACCCCCCCCCCACACACAGCACCCCCCCACACACACAGCACCCCCCCCCACACACACACAGCACCCCGCCCCCCACACACACAGCACCCCGCCCCCCACACACACAGCAAGCCCCCACACACACACAGCCCCCCCCCACACACACAGCACCCCCCCACACACACACAGCACCCCCCCACACACACACAGCACCCCCCCCACACACACACACAGCACCCCCCCACATACACACACAGCCCCCCCCCCCACACACACACAGCCCCCCCCCACACACACAGCACTCCCCCCCACACACACACACAGTACCCTCTCTCTCACCCTCACGCGCTGTGGCTGTGTGTGAGGGTCAGTGTGAGGGGGTGTGTGAGGGTGTGTGTGAGGGTGTGTGTGAGGGTCAGTGTGAGGGTGTGTGTGAGGGTCAGTGTGAGGGGGTGTGTGAGGGTCAGTGTGAGGGTCAGTGTGAGGGTCAGTGTGAGGGGGTGTGTGAGGGTCAGTGTGAGGGGGTCTCGGCTCCGGGAGAAGCCGCTTTTCTCACCGTAAACTCGGGCCCCGGAGCCGCCACGAGCCGCCGGGAACCGCCATCTTAGCTGCTGATGGAGAGGCCAAAGGTCACTGAGAGGAGAGGTCAGTGAGAGGTCACCCTGACCCCCCCCGACACACCCCCTCACACACCCCCTGACCCCCCCCCCCGACACACCCCCTCACACACCCCCTGACCCCCCCCCCCGACACACCCCCTCACACACACCCTCACACCCCTCACACACACCCTGACACACCCCCTCACACACACCCTCCCATTAATCCCTCACACACTTACACTGACCCTCATAGGAACGCTCACCTTCAGACACACCCTCACACCCACCACCCTCACACCCACCCACCCTCACACCCACCCACCCAACCACCCTCACACCCACCCACCCAACCACCCTCACACCCACCCCCACAACCACCCTCACACCCACCCACCCAACCACCCTCACACCCACCCACCCAACCACCCTCACACCCACCCACCCAACCACCCTCACACCCACCCACCCAACCACCCTCACACCCACCCACCCAACCACCCTCACACCCACCCACCCAACCACCCTCACACCCACCCACCCAACCACCCTCACACCCACCCACCCAACCACCCTCACACCCACCCACCCACCCAACCACCCTCACACCCACCCACCCAACCACCCTCACACCCACCACCCAACCACCCTCACACCCACCCACCCAACCACCCTCACACCCACCCAACCACCCTCACACCCACCCAGCCACCACCCTCACACCCACCCAGCCACCCCCTCACACCCACCCAGCCACCCACCCTCACACCCACCCAGCCACCACCCACACCCACCCAGCCACCCACCCTCACACCCACCCAGCCACCCACCCTCACACCCACCCAGCCACCCACCCTCACACCCACCCAGCCACCCTCACACCCATCCAGCCACCCTCACACCCATCCAGGCACCCTCACACCCACCCAACCACCCTCACGCCCACCCAGCCATCCTCACGCCCACCCAGCCACCCTCACGCCCACCAGGCACCCTCACACCCACCCAGCACCCTCACACCCACCCACCCTCACACCCACCCACCCACCCTCACACCCACCCAGCCACCCCACCCCCCACCCAGGCACCCTCACCCCCACCCACCCCTCACGCCCACCCAGCCACCCTCACCCCACCCAGCCACCCTCACGCCCACCCAACCACCCTCACGCCCACCCAGCACCCTCACACCCACCCAGCCACCCTCACGCCCACCCAACCACCCTCACGCCCACCCAGCCACCCTCACGCCCACCCAGCCACCCTCACGCCCACCCAGCCACCCTCACGCCCACCCAGGCACCCTCACACCCACCCAGGCACCCTCACACCAACCAAGCCACCCTCACACACAGCTCCAAAGACATACCAAAGGCACCACAGAGAAGCACACAGGGCACAACATACAATATAAAGTCCATCCATTTGACAGCGTAACCTGGGAAGCGCTTTGAGGCGTCTCAAAGACGTGATAAGGCGTTATCTGTACTCTCACGCACCAGACTCCATGACCCCATCACTCCCACCGTCGCCCGACTCCACTGGCTCCCCATCCCCCAGAGGATCGAGTTCAAGATCCTCGTCCTCACCTTTAAGGCCATCCATGGCCTTGACCCCTCCTACCTCTCTGACCTGCTGACTCCCTACCAACCTGCCCACTCCCTCCGTTCAGCGGGCTCTGCCCTGCTCCATGTCTCCCGCCCGACCCGCCTGACCATCGGTGGCTGGGCTTTCAGCCTCTCTGCCCCCACATTCTGGAACTCCATCCCACGGTCCCTTCGCATCGTTTCCTCCCTCACCTCCTTCAAGGCCGGTCTCAAGACCCCTCTCTTCGACCGTGCCTTTGGCCTCCCTCCCACCTCTCTGCCTTCCCTCACCCCTACCCCACCCCTACCCATGTTCGGGTCCTGACCCCCAACTGTCCAGCGCCTTGGGACATCCTCCCAACGTGAAAGGTGCTCTATAAATGTTGTTGTTGTTGTTGTACATCAAATGCAAGGATTATTATGATTATTATTTATTATTATGCTCACTCAAATTTGTTGCTGAATTCAAGTCCGGGGCACTTTTGGCCCCAGGGAAACAATACCTCATACGGGATCTGCCCCCAGAAATCGGGACACGTACTCCGGAAATATTTTTAAAAAAGACACGAAAGAGGCACGATGACTTGTGTTTCCAATGCAGTTTATTAAGTGAGGGTGGATTGTCGCTGCAAGTGTTGAGGCCGGAGCTCTTGGTGTTGGGAACCACTTCACCCCGCGTACGATTCGATTTTCTGAAAAAGAATCCATAATTGTTCAAAACAACAACAACAACAACAACAAAATAACATTTATAGAGCGCCTTTCACGTCGGGAGGACGACCCAAGGCGCTGGACAGTCAGGGGTCAGGGCCCGAGCATGGGGGGAGAGGTGGGGTAGGAAGGCAGTGAGGGAAGGCAGAGAGGTGGGAGGGAGACCAAAGGCACGAACGACGAGAAGGGTGTTGAGACCGGCCTTGAAGGAAGCGAGGGAGGAAGCGAGGCGAAGGGACCGTGAGATGGAGTTCCAAAACGTACCCGGCAGAGGGGAAAAGCAACTAAATGTGCTTCAAAAGAGGAGGAGAGGGGTGGGCTGTGGGAGGGTGGGCTGGGGGGAGAAACATTAGGAAGACATTTTATTTTTGGACAAAGAAACCATCTTAAAGTACAGGAGGAGACCGGTAGAGTAACGATTAGAGAGCTCGCCTCGCAAGTGAGAGGATCCTAGGTTCAAACCATAGGCAAGTTTCCTTACTCCACACACGCGCCTCTATTTTCCCGGCAGTGAGTAGGAACCCGCTTGTTAGTCGATTGGATCGCTTTCCGGATATAATAATCCCTCCAAAAAAAAAAAATGGTCGCTCAACCCACGAGTATTTGTGGGGACGTCGCTGTGTGCAATTGGCGGCCGGGTTTCGCCCACAAAATACACAGTCACTACGCTTTCCAGTATATCCTGTGAAACGGTTTGGTAATAATATCACTAATTGTAATAATTATTATTAATTATTATTAATAATTATTATTATTATTACGTCTCAATGACGTGATAAGGTGCCGCAAACAAGTGCAAGGATTATTATTAGTAGTAGTGGTTTGCAACAAGGAAATGACAGCAACTCACCTGGTTGATCCAGTCGATGTAGTACGAGACTCGAGTCCAAACAGTAGGTTTCATGTAGGTATCACATCCCGCTGCTGAAATGAAGCTGGTCGCTCCGTGGATATAGAACGTCCCGTCACTCTCACAGTTCAAAGGTCCTCCAGAGTCGCCCTGTGAATAAACCAGTCACCTTTCATTCCTCTTCACTGGATTCCTATTTTAGAAACTTTTTGGTGGAGGGTGGGGGGGGGTTTGGGGTTTAGCCAGGTGTCTGACGCAAACGGAAACCCATCATCACCATGCCTCCAGACTGAGGTGGATAGCTATTTGTTAGGTCGGGGTATTAAAGGATATGGGGCAGGGCAAGGGCGGGTAATTGGACTTAAGGTACACATCAGTCATGATCTTATAGAATGGTGGAACAGGCTCGAGCGGCTGAATGGCCTCCTCCTGTTCCTATGTTCCTATGAGATAATAATATACATATAATAATAGATAAAGACAAAGAAGGGATTGACTGTAGACCATTACCTGACAGCCGGCAACAATACCATCCCCGCCAGCACACACCATCTTTTCATTGACGTAGGAGCCCCACCAGTCATTTGTGGTGCACACTTCATAGGAAACGACTAAAATAGCAGCCTCTCGAAGGATTGAGGTGACACTGCCACCATCTGAGAAGAAAGGATTCAGAGTAACTGTCTCACTTTGACCCACATCAAGCAGCATCTGTCTCTCTTCCACACAGACCTGTCCACTCCCTCTGCTCAGCAGCCTCTGGCCTTCTCCATTGGCGGTCGGGCCTTCAGCCTCTCTGCCCCCCACCCTTTGGAACTCCATCGCACAGTCCCTTCACCTCACCACCCTCCACCCCTTGCCCCCTTCAAGGTCCATCTCAAGACCCTCCTTGGTTACCCTTCTACCCCCACCCTCCCTCTCTAGCCTCCTGATCCCTATCCCCAGCTCGGGTCTACATCCCTGACTGTCCAGGTCCTTGGGATGTCCTCCCGACGTGAAATAACCCCTCCAAAACAAAACAATAATAAATTGATCATTTTCAATCCACGACTGTTTGTGGGGACGCTGCTGTGCGCAATTGGCTGCCGCGTTTCGCCCACAAATATACGGTCAATTCACTTTACAGTCTATTCTGTGAAGCGCTTTGCGACGTCTAGAAGACGTGAAAAGCGCTATATTAAATGCAAGGATTGTTATTATTATTATTTAAGAAAGGCTCTGTGCAAATGTCGTGTGTCGTTGTTGTTGCTGTTGCGAGGTGAAGAAAGTGCAAGGGAAGAGCAAAGCTTTGTGGGTGAAGGCCGAGCCACTGATGGTGGGACGGAGGAGTTGGCGACGAGCAGCAAGAGCGGACGCTGAGGTTCGGATGAGCTGACTCACCTTGAGTGAGGCCCCAGCCAGTGACGTAACATGGGTAGTTGTTTGGCAGGGTTACCCCAGCCGCAGGCAGGGCTCCAAGTTGCACGTAGCTGTTTAGGACGGCATCTTGTTCCAGGTAAAGCAAAGCAATGTCATTCCTGTAACCACACAGTACTCAATGGATATTTCCCTTTTCTTTTTCTTCTCCCCTCCCTCCCTCCCTCCCTCAGGTTACTGACTCTTGCTGGACTTGGCTAATAATAACAATAATCCTTATATTTGATACAGTGCCTTATCACGTCTTCGAGACGTCTAAAAACGCTTCACAGGATACACTGTAAAGTGAAATGACTGTATATTTGCGGGCGAAACGCGGCAGCCAATTGCGCACAGCAGAGTCCCCACAAATAGTCGTGGATTAAAATGACCAAATTAATATTATTATTTTTTTGAAGGGATTATTAACCCCAGAAAAACAATCCGCCAATCAACTAACCACCATTGGCCAGCTGGAATAGAATCTATTCTAACTCTACCCCCAACATTGGTTCTTATTTACAGACAAGCTTTATCTTTACAATGACCAGATTCTCATTACGTGTGTGAGCAAAATAGCTGCTGACCCAATGGAGAGTTCGCCAGTCCAGCCATCGTGGACAATAAAACTCTGGACAAATATGTACTGCTCGGTCCCATCATCCTCATAAATGTTGTGGTCTCCCAACGCCACACGGTATGTTCTCCCTTCCCTGTAGATGGAAAGAAACAGTAATAAATAGTAATAATAATAATAATAATCCTGGCATTTGATACAGCGCCTTATCACGTCTTCCAGACGTCTCAAAACGCTTCGCAGGACACACTGTAAAGTGTAGTGACTGTATGCTTTTGTGGGCAAAACGCGGCAGCTGATTGCGCACAACAGAGTCCCACAAACAGTCGTGGATTGACTTATTTATTTATTCATTTATTTATTTATTTATTTATTGGTGTTTTTTGGAGGGATTATTACCCCCAGAAAAGCGATCTGCCAAATCGACTAATAACTGGGTTCCTACTTATTGCTGGTAACCAGAGGTGTGAGGGGTTAGAAAACTTGCCCAACATTTTACCCTGCCCGGGAATCAAACCCAGGTCCTCTCGTTTGCGAGGCAAGTGCTCTAACCACTGAGCTACAGTACTCCACGCAGTCCTAGTTCTCCAGTGCCTCTGAAGTGCGTAACTAGTCAACGCTGGTCGCTGTAAATGATCTTCGAGATGGATTATTAGTGAACAATGACCCGAACGGAGGTGGTTAAAACATTAAAGAATCCTTCACCTGACACAGTGACCCGCTGTCAACACCCATCTGGGTCGGATCAGACTCCCACCACATGTGTGATACCAATAGGAAATCCAGCCTTGCACAGAGGCCTGGGAAAGAGAAACAGTTTGGGTAGAGAGAGAGAATGTCAGCACTGTGCCCAAGATGGCATATCTTTGGGCACAGTGGATAGCCCGTCTTCAAATCCTTTCACCCCTAGATACCTCCCTACCTCTCCGACCTGCTTACTCACCACTGGCTGCCTCCGCTCGAACTGGCTCTGGCCTCCTGCTTGTCCCTCATGCCCTCTGTTCCACCATTGGTGGCAGTGCTTTCAGCCACTACTCCCCGAAACTGTGGAACTGTCTTTGTCTATTCCACCGCCTCGCCTCTCTGTTCCCCAGATTTAGGTCACGCCTGAAGACCTTCCCATTCAACTGTGCCTGCAGTCACCTCTCCCCTGCTCGGCATCAAACCAGCCCCACAGGAAATAATATCATTGATCATTAATTCTGTTCAACAACTTGCATTTATATGGTGTCCTTCAGTGAGGGGGAGCATCCTGGAGAGCTTGATCCAGCATCTTATCACGTCATTACGTATCACAAGGGTGCTATATACAGGACCATAGGTACAGGAGGAGGCCATTCAGCCCCTCGAGCCTGTTCTGCCATTCTATTAAATCATGGCTGATCTGCACCTCAACTCCAATTTCATGTCATTTACAATGTGAGTAAATTATACACAATTCAGTATAATTCGCAATATAACTGCAAGTTGTTGTTGTTGATGAAATGTCTCAAAGCGCTTCACAGGATGTAATGTGGAGTGTAGTGACTGTGTTCATACAGTACCTGCCAGGGCCAGGAATTACGCTGCACCTCGACTCCTCCAACAACTCGTTCGTCTTCTGCGCAGTACCCTGTGGTCATTGAGGAGATAATAATAATAATAATCCTTGCATTTGAAGTCTCAAAGCGCTTCACAGAATGTACTGTAGAGTGAATTGACTGTATATTCTTGGGGCGAAACGGTGAACAAAGTCAGACCTGCCCATGCGCACTGTCCAACACAATTTCGACTGACAGACGTCGAGTAGTTTCAAACTTCATTTCATTACACGGAATAAACAACGTTGACAAACAATCTTGGCTTTTTGACATCTCAACGCTCTTCACTGTAAAATGTAGCGTGTATTTATGCGGACAGATGTGGCAGCCAAATTGCGCTCAGCAATACCCCACAAACAGCCATGAAGTGAGTGACCACTTGTATCTGGAGAATTGTCGGCCAGGATACCAGGAGAAAGTCCCGTCTCTTTCTGAATAGTGCCGTGGGATCTTTAATGTCCAACTGAACAGGCACAGACGGGACCCTCGGTTGAACAAATAGTTGGTGTGAATCCACTGGAATTCACACCCAGAACCTCTGATCCCATGTCCAGTGTCAAACCCACGACTCCACCATGTGCTGTCCTATCAGCTATGGGGCTTCACGGACATAGGAACACAGGAACAGAAGGAGGCCATTCAGCCCCTTGAGCCTGTTCCGCCATTCTATAAGATCTTGGCTGATCTCGACCTCAACTCCAATTAAACGCCCTTGCCCCATATCCCTTGATCCCCTGACCTGAGTGGATAGATGTTTCCTACTTACTGCTGGGTAAACTGAGGCGTGTGGAGTAAAGAAAGTTGCCCAATATTTCGCACCTGTTGGGAATCGAACCCAGGTCTCTCGCTTGTGAGGTGAATGCTCTAGCCACTGAGCTATAGGATTCCACAAATGAAGCCAGAACTTACCGAACAGGGCAAGGCTCACTAGGATCACCAGTCTCAACATCTTGGCTGTTCTCCGGTGATGGTTCTGACCCCCGAGACCCCATATTTATACTCTACCAGCTCTCCTGTACTTTGAATGAACTCCAAAATCATTTAATGATTGCTTAATGTTGTAACCCAAGGATGTGTCCTGGCAACATTATCACCAGAGTGTATCTGGTAATGTGCGAAAATGCACAGGTGAGATCAGTCTCCATTCTAATGAATCACTCACTGCCATTCAGTATGATTGGCCTGCACCCGAGCAGGCAGATGGCACCTTGGCTTGGTTCGAGGCCTGATCAGAAAGTCTGACCGGTCTATGTCTCTGACCGCGTGCTCCCCTCTGTAAAAGAGAAGAAGCCTGGTTTGTGGTCGTTCAGTTATACAACACAAAATGACATTTACACGGCACCTTTCATGTCGGGAGGATGTCCCAATGCACTGGACAGTCAGGGATTTGGACCCGAGCTGGTGGTTGGAATCAGGAGGGGTGGAGGCCAGAGAGCGTAGGAGTAGGAGGGTGGCTGAAGGCGCGGTCAAAGAGGAAAGTCTTGAGACAGGTCTTGAGGGAGGCAAGGGAGGGTCCGAGGTGGAGGGACTGCGGGATGGAGTTCCAGAGGGTGGGGGCAGAGAGGCTGAAAGTCCGCCGCAAATGGTGGGGCGGGCGAGGCGGGGGACGTGAAGCAGGCTGTAAATAACCTGTGTGCGGACAGAGATGGGAGTATAGATTTTAATTCAAAACGCAACAACTGAAACATAAAATCACAATGCAACTGTTCCAGTTACACCCAATACAAAACACAATCAATATGACACAGTTAATCTTAAATCAATAAACTGCAATCTTTATGTCTATGGTGGGCCTCCGGAAATACCCTCAAGAGCCTACCAACCTTATACTTCTAAATACCACAACGACCGCCCTCTTTTTCCCCTATCTTTATACCCCTTTACCATCTTTGGACATTGACCAGATATTCCCCTCTTGAAAACAAAAACAGAAGTCTCTGGGAACTCTCAGCAGGTCAGGCAGCATCTATGGAGAAAGGAAAGTGAGTCAAAGTTTCGCACCGTCTCGTGCGGTGTTCCTCAGGGCTCTGTCCTCGGTCCCTTCCTCTTCACTCTCTACACGTTCCCCCTTGGTGACATCATCCGCAGACATGGGGTAAATTCCAGATTGGCTCGCGCCAGCGCCTCCGCACCTCAGGCGTTGGCAGCATCAGCCTCCACGGCTGCACACTCAACCTCACTGAGCCAATCAAGAACCTGGGTGTCTTGTTTGACCCTAAACTGTCTTTTCTCTCCCATATCCGTGCCATGACCGGCACTGCCCACCACCACCTCCGCAACATTGCCAGACTCCGCCACTGCCTCACCCCTCAGGCCCCCAAACCCTCACTCACGCATTCGTCACATCAAGTCTCGATTATGGAAACTCCCTCCTCATCGGCCTTCCCAACTCTTCCCTTCACAAACTGCAGATCATCCAAAACTCTGCAGCTTATGTACTCTTGTGCACCAGTGACCCCATCACTCCCACCCTCGCCCGACTCCACTGGCTCCCCATCCCCCAGAGGATCGAGTTCAAGATCCTCGTCCTCACCTTTAAGGCCATCCATGGCCTTGCCCCCTCCTACCTCTCTGATCTGCTGACTCCCTACCTACCTGCCCACTCCCTCCGTTCATCGGAATCCGGCCCTGCTCCATGTCTCCCGCCCAACCCGCCTTACCATCAGTGGCCGGGCTTTCAGCCTCTCTGCTGCCACACTCTGGAACTCCATCCCATGATCCCTTCGCCTCGCTTCCTCCCTCGCCTCCTTCAAGGCCGGTCTCAAGAGCCTTCTCTTCAATCGGCCTTTGGTCTCCCTCCCACCTCTCTGCCTTCCCTCACTCGTACACCACCCCTCCCCAATGCTCGGGCCCTGACACCTGATTGTTCAGCGCTTTGGGACGTCCTCCCGACGTGAAAGGCGCTCTATAAATGTAATTGTGTTGTTGTTGTTATCTGGTGTGAAACCTTTTTTTGTTAGTCGGTATTCCTACTCTCGTTCACCTGCTTATTCCACCTGCTTAGCCTTTTGTGTATCATTCCTTTCCTTATCTCAACTAACAGAGTGGTTCTCAAACATCCCATTCTTTCTTAAAGCCTCTGATGTTAACACCTCCTCCATTCAGCCCCAATCTCCCTTCTGTCTTGTGACCCATTGGACCTTGAAGAGTCAAGAAATGTCTCAGTTGATGTGTTTTACTGAGTGCATCTTCTATTTATTATCCTCCTCACTCTAACGTGTTTAAAGTCCATCTTCCTGTTCTGCTCACCTCGCCAGTCTCTGCAGCCTTGTGATCACGTACTGATTTTAACTACATTAACACCTAGGTTTACGTGACCTAGGTTTGTATGCCTGTTCTATCCTTTCAGACCTATTAGACTTAAATCTAAACCAACTGACCATCATTAATGAACGACATAGGATTGTGTGAATAATAAAACATTTTAAGAACCTGTACACACTAATAACCATACTTAAAGGAAACAAACATCCACTACTTTTTACAGGTCAGAGCCCACTGAGCGGAGGAATTGGACAGGTTGGCAGGGGGTTAGGAGGTCATAGGGGTAGGGAGGAGCAAGGCTGTGAGGGTTTGAAGGTGAGGACCAGGATCTTGAACTATATGCTCTGTGTGATGGGGAGCCAGCGAAGCCGGCAAGGCTGAGATTAGCAACTAACCCGAACCCAAATTTCAGCTCAGACCAGCTCTTAGTCCACCTGTTTATGAGGTTGTTTGGGGTGAGCAGCTGCTGCTCAAGCTCATTCTTTTTTTTCTGGGCAGGGGGTGTTGGGTAGGTGTTGGTGTCTGACACATGCGGAAACCCATTACTGTTAAGAGTATCCAAACCAAGCTGAGGTTTCCCTGCTTCCCACCTCCACATGGAAATCCCAGAGATAGACTATTGGAATGGAATGCGCTCCCTCTCTCTCTCTCCCTGGAGAGACGCCTCCTGCTTACCTAATTCCGGAAAGTATTAGGCACAGGTTGGCAAGACCAAGGCTGGGGGGGGAGCCCAGATTGTGTGTTGGGGTAACTGCTGAAGTCTAACCAGCTAAACCCACACATAGCTTGGCCATTGAGAGCGCTGTCTGGCCAGCTTTCCCGTTAGTTAGGGCTTTGGCTGTGGGGTTACCAGGAGCTGAGGGGGAGGATTCCCGGCCCCCAGTGACTGGTCGGCTCTTCCAGGTCCTGCTGATGAGCCGGGCCGGGCTGTGCTGTCAGCAGCAGTGAGTACCCTGGAATACTTGTGGACCCTCCTGGCTCAGGAACCGGACCAGAGACCATCACAGAGAGCTGTGGCTCGATTCTGACATTCCATATCACCAGACCATATCACCTTGGAGCCAGTTCAGCTCCGAGGAGACCCTGTTTATGCTGCTCAAGCTCCACACCTCCAACCATCTTGAGATGGGAAGGGGCGTGTGTCTGTGCTGTGGACAGGAAGATGGTGACGATGTTCCCACACATTTCATGCTGAGCTGTGTTGCCAAACAGGGAGTTCCTGGTACCTACCGTCCACCCAGTGAGTCTCAAACCCGCTCTTGTTGGATGTCAAATGACTATCCTCCTTGGGGGGAGGGAGGTCAGTGTCTCCTTGGAGCTGAATTGACTCCAAGGTGACATGTTTGGCAAAGGAATGTCAGAATGGAGCCAACCCTCTGTAGTGATCTCTTGTTCAATTCCTGAGCCACAGTATTTCAGGGCACGGCTGCTGACAGAACAGCCCAGCCTGGCTCATCAGCAAGGCACACCCAGTCAATGCGGGCAGGGACCCTCGCACTCAGCTCCTATTAACCCTGTAGCCAAAGCTCTAACGGGGCGGGCGGTGCTAGCTGGACAAGCAGCACGAAAGCTTGGCCAGACAGTGCTCTCAATGGCCAACCTATGTGTGGGTTTAGCTGGTTAGACTCCAGCAGTTTTCCCAACACACACTTTGGGCTCCCCCTCCAAGCCTTGGCTCTCACCAACCTGCGCCTAATACTCTCCAGAATTAAGTAAGCAGGGGACATCCCTCCAGAGAGAGAGAGAGAGAGAGAGTGCATTCCATTCCAACAATCTATCTCCAGGGTTTCCATGTGAAAGTGGGAGGCCGGGGATTCTCATTGGGTTTGGAGACTCTTAAGCAACGGTGATGGGTTTCCGCACATGTCAAAACATCTTAAAATAGCCATCTGCTAAGTCTGGTTACTGTGTACCTTTAGTCATTAGGCAGTAAACTGCCCCATTCCTTAACACTCAGTTTCTGTTGCAAGGTCAGCTCAGACCAGATGGTTCTTATCAAACATCAATACTGCATCTTTAATATGCTTTAATGGAGACTCCGCTAATAAAGTGCTGCACAAACAACACAGGGAATCTGAATGGGAAAGTGCAGGTGCGAGAGAGATTGTCTCTGTGTTTACACTGTCCTGTGACAGCGAGTACAAGCCAAGGTCACTGGGGGAAAAACACTGATGCTTTTGCAGCCAAATTGAATTGGAGTTGAGGTACAGATCAGCCGTGATCCAGTAGAATGGCAGAACGGGCTCGAGGGACTGAATGGCCTCTACCTGTTCCTATGAATGTCACATGACATTTGATATAGCGCCTTATCACAATGTCGAGACGTCTCAAAGCGCTTCACATTGTAAAGTGAATGGACTGTATACTTTGTCGATGACTGTATACTTTGTCAGCAGACAATTGCGCACAGCAGTGTCCCTCCTGTAAACAGTCATGGAGTGAGTGAGCAAATACATTTTTCTTTTTTTTTGGAGGGATTATTACCCCCGGAAAAGCGATCCGCCAATCGACTAACAATCAGGCAAACTGGGTTGCTGCGAGGTAAACAGAGGCCTGCGTGTCGAGTCAGGAAACTTGGCCAATGTTTCGCCCTGACCCGCCCGGGAATCGAACCCGGGTCCTCTGGCTTGCGAGGCAAGTGGTCTAACCACTGAGCTACAGGACCCCACAGAAATGCAACCGCACAGCATTTGAAGCAAAGCTCCACATCAATCAACGTAGAAAACAAATGATGTCAATTCCCATTTTTTATTGCCTCAAATCAAGAGATTGTGTAAGTCCACAACCACAATCACAGTCACGTACTGTAAGGGCTTAGAGTCAGCCTGACCGGCTCGATGGGAGATGTCAAGGGCTCAGTTTGCAACACGGAGACAAGACGGTAAACACACTTGAACCCAGGCTGAATAGGAAAATACCCTGATTAGTCCCATGATCCTTTCACCCTTCAATTCAATTTCCACCCTTTGCATTTGTGCACATGGATAATTTGCACCAATTTGAAGAATCTGCCCTAAACCCCAACCACATCCACCCCCAACCCCTCCCCCCAAAAAAAACCCACCTCAAACCCATTATCGGTTGAGGTCCCATCATGACGGACGTTTAAAAACTCCCAAGTCCTCCAGTGATATTGTTTTATCTCAATAAATTATATTCCAGCAATTCCCTTTCTGTGGGTTTATAGATTCCTTTTCTATATTCCATGTCATCATTGCATGACACACACACAGGACAGACGCACACCATTCCCACCCTATGCTATATTATCTCCTCTTCTAGGCTACACCCCCCTCCCCGAGATAGGGCTGTCAGCGCTGGGAGATCTGTGTGTGTGTGCATTGGGACAGGGTGACACGCAATAATAGTAATACTCCTTGCATTTGATACATCGCTTATCACATCTTTGAGACATCTCAAAGCGCTTCACAGGAGATTCTGTAAAGTGTAATGGCTGTGTATTTAGTGGACAAATCAATGCCGTGCCTTTAGATTTTTGACAAACTTTTCTATAAATGATATTTTGGTCGTTGCTGTGATTTTCACAGTGTGCCTTCAGCAATTCATATTCATTTGGTATAGACCAAGCCTTCACTTCCAACCTCACCTCCCTTCCTCTCACAGAACAGAACAGGCGAGGGGAACCCCATACCTGGCAGCAGAGGTGGTCAGTTCAAATCCTGGTCAACCACATAAAGCTCCTGTAATATTCCTTGCATCTGATATCACGTGCCTTATCACGTGTGAGTGATGAATAAAACGTGGCAGTCAATTGCACAGCAGGTTCCTACCAACAGTCGTGGATTGAGTGACTAAATTATTATTATTAGAAGGGATTATTACCCCCAGAAAGTGATCCGTCAATTGACTGATGACCGGGTTCCTACTTACAGCATGTAAACAGAGGCGTGTGGGTGTGCGCGTGTGGAGTAAGGAAAGTTGCCTGAGGTTTTCCCCTGTTCTGCCCGGGAAAGAAACCCAGGTCCTCTCGCTTGCGAGGTGAGCGCTCTTACCATTACACTACGGGACTCTTACAGGAAGAGAGTCCAGGAGCAGGGACCCTGGCTGGATTAGCCCCTCGCTAACCCAATGGTACCGAGACCCAATTGCAGTGACTAAACGGTTGAGATGAACTAATGCAGGACAGCCCGGGGATTTGAACCTGTAATCCCCTCGGCTGTTTGAGGCCAGTGCACCCACCAGGGCGTTATTTATCTACTGAGCCACTGCAGGGGGATTTCGGGTTAACCCGGCTTCTTTCCATCTCCCATTTCACTCGATCATTCATCTCATACTCAACACCCAGCAGCAAAACCTGTCCCCACATGGGGCAAAGGCACAGAGTAAGACAGTTAGTCTACCACTAGAGGGATTTGGGATCAAGATACAATTAACCTCAACAGTATTCCTGATCCCTCAGAAAGCCAAGGAGACTCCTGAAAGGTATTTTGTGCTTGGAGCACCCACACACAGTCAGACACACACACAGTCACACACACTATCACACACACACACACAGTTTCACACACACACACACACACACACACACAGTCTCAGGCACTTTCTCACACACACACACACACATACACGGGAAGCAATCCATCTCTTTGGTCTCGCTTCTGATTTCAAAAACAGTCAACGTCAGGAAACAGTCACAGTGCAGTCCGAGCCAGAGGTTTGGCTGCTCCAAAGTGTGGGTCAACTGATGGAATGGATTTCCCAACACTCGGGGAAGGGGGAAAAAAAAACGAATACAAAAAATGGGGGTCCGGTTCATAAAATCCAGGCCTCCCTGAAGAAAGTCCATCAATTAATGATTGTTCGTTTGGTGACATCAGCAGATTCCAGCTTCACAGTCGCTGGAGGAGGTTTATTAACGATGTCCCAGTACCTCCCTGTGTCACTGTTTGCTGACTTGCTCCTCTGCAGGCCTTTCCTCAATGGTGAAGATCAGATAAAGGACCACTGCTGGCTGAGGTCATCAGGGTTGCAGGGCACCATCGCTGGGTTTTTGTCTGATGCCGACAAGCACATGTTGATGCCATCGTTCCTGATCAGATTATCCTGACGTGAGATGCAATACAAGAAGGAATTAACAACAACAACTTGCATTTACACAGCGCCCCCTCGTGCAGGGCAGCGTCCCAGAGCGTTTGGCGGTGGCGGAGCACGGCTCCGAGCCGGGGGGAGGTGACCATGGGCACTGGTCGAAGGCGAAGGTCTTCAGGTGTGCGACTTGAAGATGGGGAAGGAAGGGGCAAGGCGAAGGGAATGGAGGGAGAGCGTTCCAGAGTTTCGGGGCGTTTAGTGGCTGAAAGCGCAGCCACCGATGGTCGAACGGAGGGCACGAGGGACAAGCAGGAGGCCGGAGCCAGTCGAGCGGAGGCAGCGGGTAATGGGTTGGGGCGTGACCAGGTCGGAGAGGGAGAGAGGGAAGGAGGTGCCAGAATGTGAAGGGATTTGAAAACGAGTGAGAGGATCTTGAAATCGATCCGGATGGTGTTTGGGAGCCAGTGGAGGAGCTTGGCTATAATTGGAGTGATGGTGGGGGTGGGGGGACGGAGTTTAGTGCGGGTGAGTATGCGGGCGGCGGAGTTTGGGATCAGCTGGATTTTGTGGATGGTGGAGTTGGGGAGAACGGCAAAGAGGGCATTTGGTTAGTTGAGGTTGGACGAACACGTGGACCGAGTGTTTCACAAATTGCATTCTGTGAAGCCCTTTGAGATGTCTCGAAGGCCTGAAAAAGGGCTGTGTCAAATGCAAGAATTATTATTATTAATATTATTATTATTACGTACCTTTCCCAGTTCCCATTTTTCCTCCATCACCACATCTATCCCCTTCTTATTGTACTTGCATTCCTCCAGCCTGACTGGCCCATACACTGCTCGGAGACACAGCTGTTTCGCAAGGTTGTGTCGGATTTCTGTCTGGTGCGTGTACTCGAAGTACTGCGAACGCAAAGGTAAAATTTCACGCACTGTCGACGTGTGTTGAAGGGATTCAGACTTAGAAACAGGAGGAGACCATTCAGCCCTTCGAACCTGCTCCGCTAGGAGTAAGAGCGGGAGAGTGGGACTAGTTGGGGTAAGATGGTGGAAGTCCAGTTCACCTTCCACCATCCTGGCAGTCGCTTGACATGTCTTGTCCCCAAACTATACACTGTACCCCCCAGATATCATTTTCTCGCAGAAATCGATCTCATTTGTTCTCGAAACAACACTTTCTGCTTCCACTGTCTGTCTGTCTGTCTGTCTGTCTGTCTGTCTGTCTGTCTGTCTGTCTGTCTGTCTGTCTGTCTGTCTGTCTGTCTGTCTCCCTCCCTCCCTCCCTCCCTCCTTCCCGAGGGAACCTGTTCCGTATGTTTACCAGTTGCTCACTGAAGTCGTGTTTCCCCAGATTTGTTCTGAATTTACCCCCTTCACCGTGTCCTGGGGTTCCACTGTTCAGCACAAGATAAAACAGTTTATCCTGGGCTGAATTATCTCTATATATTCCCTTCAGAATCTTAACGACCGCCATCATATCACCCTCAATCTTCTCTTCACCAGTTTATCTAATCGCTCCTCGTAGTCCAGTCCCTCCATCCGCTCAATCATTCTGATTGCCCTCCGCTGTATCCTCTCAATCACCACAATATCCTTTTTATATTGCGGTGACCAGAATCTCACACAGTATTCCAAGTGTGATTGCAGCAGTGATTTGTAAAGCTGCCTGAAATCCAAGCCCAGGACAGGGTTTTGGGGAAGATACCACTATAGGATCCTTAGTGATATTTATGGATTCCTGTATCTCAGTGGTTAGAGCACTCGCCTCGCAAGCGAGAGACCTGGGTTTGATTCCCAGGCTGATCAGGGCGACACGTTGGGCAAGTTTCCTTACTCCACACGCCTCTGTTTACCAGCAGTAAGTAGGAACCCGGTTGTTAGTCGATTGGCGGATCGCTTTCTGGGGGTAATAAACCCTTCAAAAATAAAAAAATTATAATAATTTGGTAACTTAATCCACGACTGTTTATGGGACGCTGCTGAGTGAAGTTGACTGCCGTGTTTCGGCCACAAAATATAGTCACTACAATTTACAGTCTATTCCGTGAAACGCTTTGAGACGTCTAGAAGACGTGATAAGGCACTGCGTCAAATGCAAGGATTCTTCTTCTTATTATTATTGTTGTTATTTCATCTGATGTGCAGTCAGTACCTGATTGCCTCCCATCCCATGGCACGGATACAAGATCAGAGGTTTCCCTCCGTGATTCTGCTCTCCCACATCCAGGCAGCTTCCCGTTCCCTTGTTTTTAATCTGTAAAGCAAAGTCGTTACGGTTTGGAACGCACGGCCTGAAATAATAACTTTCAAAAGCTTATTGGAGAGGTACTTGAAAAGGAAACATTTGCAGAACTAGTTGGGGTGAGAGCGGGGGAGTGGGACTAGTTGGGGTGAGAGCGGGGGAGTGGGACTGTTGGGGTGAGAGCGGGGGAGTGGGACTAGTTGGGGTAAGAGCGAGGAGTGGGACTAGTTGGGGTGAGAGCGGGGGAGTGGGACTAGTTGGGGTGAGAGCGGGGGAGTGGGACTAGTTGGGGTGAGAGCGGGGGAGTGGGACTAGTTGGGGTGAGAGCGGAGAGTGGGAATAGTTGGATCCATTCACATTTTCAAGACAGAGGTGGAGAGATTTGTTGTCAGGGACTAGTATGGGGTGGGAGCCATAGAAACAGGAGGCCATTCAGCCCCTCGAGTCTGTTCCGCCATTCTATAAGATCACGGCTGATCTGTACCTCAACCCCAATTACCCCCCTTTGCCCCGTATCCCCTGATCCCCTGACCTGACAAACATCTCTCGACCTCAGGAGGGAGGAGGGAGAGAGATCCAGATTCTCACCCCATTTTGGGTGAAAAACTGCTCCTGATTTCACTCCTAAGAGGCCTGACTCTAATTTTAATTCAAATTTTAAGCCACGAAGCTTCACCTTTACTAAGATTTTGACACTCACCGCACCGGCTTTTATGGGATGGAATTCTGGGACAAAGAGTTCGGGATAGACATTCTGCAGAAACCAGGTGAAGTTCTTACACTGTAACCTCTCCTTCAGCTGGAACCGGGACGTTAAATCACCATAGCTTTTCTGAAAGAACCAACAGGAATAATAATAATAATAATAATCCTTGCATTTAATATAGCGCTTTTCACGTCGGGAGGACGTCCCAAAGCGCTTCACAGAACACACTGCAAAGTGAATTGACTGTATATTTGTGGGCGAACGCGGCAGCCAATTGCGCACAGCAATGTCCCACAAACAGTCGTAGATTGAAAATGACCAATTTATTATTGTTTTTGGTTTTTGGAGGATTATTATTAGGCTCTGTGTGGAGTAAGGAAACTTGCCCAAGGTTTGGCCCTGACCCCCCGGGGATTGAACTCAGGTCTCTCACTTGCAAAGCGAGTGCTCTAACGACTGAGCTACAGGAAGGAAAGAAGCCTTAATATCAATATCATCCGTCTTTCGGGTGAGACGTCAACAACAACAAATGCCATTTACACGGCGTCTTACACGTTAGGAGAACGTCCCAAGACGCTGGACAGTCTGGGATCGACACCCGAGCTGGTGGTTGGGATCAGGAGGAGTGGAGGGCAGGGAGGGAGGGTGGGGGTAGGAGGGTGACCGAAGACACAGTCGAAGAGGAGGGTCTTGAGATGGGTCGTGAAGGAGGCAAGGGAGGGGTCGAGGCGGAGGGATGTGGGATGGAGTTCCAGAGGGTGGGGGCAGAGAGGCTGAAGGCCCGCCCGCCAATGGTGGGAGGTGGGCCAGGCGGGGGACGTGAAGCAGGCCAGAGCCCCCTGAGCGGAGGGAGCGGGCAGGTTAGTAGGGGGGGGTTGGGAAGTCGCATATCCAGCTCTCCAGGGCACTGGCCCGCATGAAGGGCGCTATATAAATGCAACTTGTTGTTGTCTAAAAAACAGTTACTACACTTGACAGTAATTACCAGTGAAGGGTTTGGTGACTTCTCACCCATCGAGCCACTATTTGACGACAACTCCTTCCTCTTCAGTTGGTTATTATTATTTTATACTATTAATTAATAATAATAATAATACTCCTGGCATTTGATATAGCGCTTTTCACGTCTGGAGGACGTCCCAAAGCGCTTCACAGAACACACTGTAAAGTGAATTGACTGTATATTTGTGGGCGAACACGGCAGCCAATTGCGCACAGCAATGTCCCACAAACAGTCGTGGATTGAAAATGACCAATTTATTATTGTTTTTAGTGTTGGAGGGATTATTATTAGGCTCTGTGTGGAGTAAGGAAACTTGCCCGAGGTTTCGCCCTCTGCCTGGAATTGAACTCAGGTCTCTCACTTGCAAAGCGAGTGCTCTAACCACTGAGCTACAGGACTCCACAAATAATAATTATTATTATAATAAATAAAAAAAAATAATTTGGTCACTCAACCCACGGCTGTTTGTGGGGACGCTGCTGTTCGCAATCGGCTGCCGCGTTTCGCCCCAAAAATACACAGTTAATTCACTTTACAGTATATTCCGCGAAGCGCATTGAGACGTGAATAAGGCGCTGTATCAGATGATCATCACCCCACCCTGAGCCGACGTCCATTAACCGAGCTGTGAGTGTTGGGGTAAAGTAAGTGGAGAGCTGAGAGCAGGCTTGATGTGCTGAAGAAGTCTCCGGCCTCTCGCACGTCTCTCTCCGTCCCACCATCGCTGGCCATGCATTCAGCCACTGCGCCCCGAAACTCTCTCCCTCTATCCCTCCCTCCGCCTGCCCCCACCCCACACCCTCCCTTCCCCATCTTCTGGTCGCGCCTGAGGACCTCCCCGTTCAACCGTGACTACGGTCACCTCTCCCCTCCCCCACTGACAATCGCTCCGGGACACTACCCCGCGTGAGAGGGCGCTGTGCAAGTGCAAGTTGTTGTTGTCAAATGGCCATCTCTCCCCCCGCCCCGCCCCGCCCCCCACCCCCCCGAGGTCACTCACCTCTTTGGCGATCTGGGCCGCCTGGTGATTCCTCTTGTAGAACAGCTCCTTGTACTCGTCCATCCAGACCTCCGCCAGGCGCACCTGGTTGCGGGCGATTACCTGGACGCCTTTCGGGAAGCTGTGGGGGCTCTTGATGCGGAACACGTGCCCCACCACGGAGCAGGGGATGATCTCCAGTTGTCCCCCGCATTGCCAGACCTGCAACCCACACACACACACACCAGAGGGACAGAGGGAGGGGGAGTCAGCCATTATCCTCCAGACACAGAGACCCCAAAACCCCAAATACTCCAGATGCTGGAAATCTCAAAGGAAAACAGACATGGCTGGGAACACACAGCGGGTCAGGCAGCATCTATGGAGAGAGAGGATCCCTCAGTGTTCCCAGCGACAGAGACACCAAACCCCAAATGCACGTCCAACGATGACTGTGTAACAGGGGACGTTGGTGTCTGAGTTCCTTCTGGACACGATTGGGTAGGATTATTGCGTTGGGCCATCACTTGGTGCTTCACAAAGCTCTTCACAGAGTATCCCTCCGTCTCGCCCTCTCCCTACCCCTTCATCTCACCCTCCCTCTCTACCTCCATCTCGCCCTCTCTCTACCCCTCCGTCTCACCCTCCCTCTCTACCCTTCTGTCTCACCCTCCCTCTACCCTTCCGTCTTGCTCTCTCTCTCTATCCCTAGGTTTCGCCCTCTGCCTATCCCTCCGTCTCGCCCTTCCTATCTCCCCCCCGTCTCGCCCTCTCTACCCCTCTGTCGTGCCCTCTGTCTACTCCTCTGTCTCACCCTCCCTCTCTCCCTCCATCACTCCCTCTGCCTAAACTTCCATCTCATCCTCTCCCTCTGTCTCACCCTCTTTCTCTCTCTCCTTCCGTCTTGTTGTATATTTTGTGGGCAAATGTGGCAGTCAATGGCACACAGCAGTCAGTGTCCCACAACAGTGGAAGATTGAGTGACCAAATTCTTACTATTATTATTATTATTTTGAAGGGATTATTACCTCTGGAAAAGCAATTGATAAACAATCGGATACAGCGCTGAGCTGCCATATTAGACTTAAGATAATAATAATCAATCCTTCGTCTCCTGGACATCAACAAAGACTTATGTTTGCACAGCGCCTTTTATTTAGGGTAAAGTTTCAGCAACGTAGAGGGAGCCAGAGGTACATTAGGAGAGAGAGAGAGAGAGAGAGAGAGAGGATTTGAGACGTAACATAAAGAGAGGGGACAAGACAGAGAGGTATAGAGAATGAGATGCTGATCGGAGGTTCCCCTCTGCTGGTCCGGTGGATGTTAAACATTCCATTCACTATTCCAAAAGAGAAGGGAGTTTCTCTCTGTCTCTCTCTCTCTCTCTCTCGGGGTCCTGGCCAACAATCCCCCAAATAAAACTGGTCGCTCACTCCTTGGCTATCTGATGGACATGTATAGAGAGGGGATGAGACATAGGGCAAGAGAGAGGGCTTGAGGGAGGGAGGAAGGGAGGGATTGAGTGAGGGAGGGCTTGAGGGAGGGAGGGATTGAGGGAGGGATTGAGAGGGAGGGATAGAGAGGGGGTGCGAGACAGAGGGCCAGACGGAGGAGAGAGGGAAGGTGTTAGAGGTTAAAGACCTACCCTGAATGACATCTCCACGTTTTCTCCTCCCCATATTTCCATCTGGTCATCGTACGTCCCGATCAATTCAAAGTAAGATTTGGAGATTGAGAACAGTCCCCCTGCAAAAGCCGGAGTCCTGCAAACACACTGAAAATCAAATGAATTGGCCACGGAGAGAGAGGGAGAGAGAGAGAGAGAGAGAGAGAGAGACTTACTCTGTCTTTAGCTGAAGCTCATTGCAATTCACACCCAGTTCCTGTTTCTGTCATGGTATTTAGAACAATAATAATCCTCGCATTTGATACAGCGCCGGATCACGTCTTTGAGACGTCTCAAAGCGCTTCACAGAATATACTGCAAAGTGTAGTGACTGTGTGTTTTGTAGGCAAACGCGGCAGCCAATTGCGCACAGCAGCGTCCCACACACAGTCGTGGATTGGCTGACCAATTTATTATTTATTATTAGATATTTTTTTAAGGGATTATTACCCCTGGAAAAGCCATCCACCAATTGACTCACTATCGGGTTCCTACCTACCGATAGATAAACAGATCTGAAACGGGGGCCAGGAAATCGATCAGGGCAGGGCTCGCGCAGACATTAAGGATTCTCATTTCCTCTCCTCTGGGTTTGGTTACAGGCGGAATCTCAGTCGAAACAAACGAGGAAGAGAAAAAAAAAAACGGGCCATTAATTCCGCACAACCCATGTGAAGTCTTTCAGTGGAGTAAACTCAGGCTGAACTCATCCTCGACTCCTCAAAGCAAGAAATTGTTCTCCACGGGGTTCAAAGGAGCCAGTTGAAGGATTCTTTCACCGCTGAGACCAGTCGTGATCCAGGGAATGATTGGGGCCATTATAAAAGTATTCGCTTCAGGTACAAACCCAAAATGTTCGCAAATATCATCCAAGTGAGTGGGGGCTTGTTTGCAGACAAATATGCAGGGATGACAATAATTCTCTCTCTGCTTTCTATCAAAACATCGCCAGGTCGGGGGCAAATCAGGAAAACAACAACAAAAATAATAAACATTAATAAATATTGTTGCAAATAATAATAAGTGCAAGTTGATATGACGTTTTATCGCATCTTCGAGACGTCTCAAAGCGCTTCACAGGATATACTGTAAAGTGTAGTGACTGTGTATTTTGTGGGTGAAACACGGCAGCCAATTGCGCACAGCCGGGTCCCAGGACCTGGGTTCGATTCCCGGGCTGGGCGAAACCTTAGGCAGGTTTCTATACCCCACACGCGCACCGCGGTTTGCCCAGCGGTACGTAGGAACCTGGTTGTTAGCTGATTGGCGGATCATTTATCCGGGGTAATAATCCCTTCAAAAAAAATTTGGTCAATTCAATCCACGACTGTTTGTGGGACGCTGCTGTGCGCAATCGGCTCATAAAAGGACAGAGAACAAGTTACACAAAACAACTATAATGACATATTTAATCATACAGACAAGAGGCTACAAGCTTGGCTATAATTATTCCAACAACATCACAGCTAAATTACGTCTCTGCTTAAAGAGCCAGGATAATTATAACCTGAAAGGCTCAGGCAGGAGAGATACCAGCGTTGCTTTTATTTATAAAGCAAAACCCACCCAGAGGTTAAGAGAAAATGAATCTGAAACGTTAAGTGACTTTCTGGGTCAGATCTTAAGAAACGTAAATCTGTTTTTCAGTACAGCCGCAAAAACATCAAAAATAATAATAATTATCATTGCATTTGATATAGTGTCTTACCACGCCGTCGAGACATCTCAAAGAATATAACTGGGTTCTTTACTTACTGCTGGGTTAACAGAAGCGTGTGGAGTAAGGAAACTGGCCTAACGTTTCACCCCGACTGGGAATCGAATGCCTGGTCCTCTCGCTGTGAGGCGAGTGCCCTGACCAACACGATGACAATTTGCGTTTATATAACCCCACTCACGCAGCATAGGATCCCAGAGAGTTACAGAGGGCTCCACAATTAGCGTCTCTTACCTTGAGAAACACACGCGTGGAAGACAGACACCACCCCAAACCATTTGTAAAAGAGGACACTCACTTGATGGGGTAGGTCTCGTCCTTTCTTCTCTTGACCTCGTGGTCAGGAATGGCTTCCCAACCGAACGACAAACTCCAGTCCATGTTCCCTCGGTTGTGGTGACGGCCATACTGGACGGGTTTGGACACCTCGAAGCTGTTGAGGTCGATGGCTGTGATGTCCGGGCTGACCACAGCTGTATAATTCTCCGCTATTCTGCCCAGCAAAGGCTCCAGCCAGCCATTAAAACACTCGCCTGAAACATCGAGAGGGGAAAAAAAAATCATATGGGAACAGGAGGAGGCCATTCAGCCCATCGAGCCTGTTCCGCCATTCCTCTGCACCATAGCTGATCTGCACCTCAACACCAAATATATCTATTTAACATTCAAACACATGAGAATGGAAATGGCTATTATTGTCCATTGGGGCCAATGCAAAATCTATCGTCTCTCATTCCCCGTGGACCGGGTTGAGCTTCGGCTGCTGATCGCTGCGTAAACAATAATAATACTAACAGTAATAATCCTTACATTTGATACAGATCCTTATCACGTCATTGAGATGTCTCAAAGCTCTTCACAGACTATATTGTTTTTGGAGGGAATTATTACCCCCGGAAAAGCAATCCGCCCATCGACTAACAACCGGATTCCTAATTATTTTTCGGTAAACAGAGGAGTGTGGGGTAAGGAAACTGCCCATCGTTTGGCCCTGGTCACTGCTGAGGGAAACAAAGGTCGATTTGCCGCCACTTAAAAATAAGAGACAATATTCTAAAGTCTTCAGGCCACAGACTGCTGAGGAACACAGGGAGGTATAGCATTCAGTCCTACTCACCATCGAACCTTACAGCACAGAAGGAGGCCATTCGGCCCCTCGCGCCTGTGCCGGCTTTGAAGAGCTACCCAACTAGTCCCACTCCCCCACTCTTACCCCAACTAGTCCCACTCCCCCACTCTTACCCCAACTAGTCCCACTCCCCCACTCTTACCCCAACTAGTCCCACTCCCCCACTCTTATCCCAACTAACCCCACTCCCCTGCTCTTACCCCAACTGCCCCCACTCCCCCGCTCTTACCCCAACTAGATACACTCTGCAGTCAATTCACTTTACAGCTGTGAAGCGCATTGAGACGTCTCGAACATCTCAAAGTGTTTTGTGGGCGAATCGCAGCAGCGAGTTACAGTCCACTTACAGTGAGCGTCCAGGAAGGTCAGCACGTCTCCCGTAGCTACGCTGGCGCCCAGGAGTCTGGCGGTGATTAACCCCTTCCTCTCCACCTGCCGCACCACCTTCACAATGCGGAATTGCTTCACATATTCATCCAACTGCTCTTTCAGGTAGTCTGCGAGAAACGGGGTGAAAGGGGGTGAATTATTTCCTCAATTTAACAACGAGAGAGAGAGAGAGAGCATCTGTTAACTTACAAAGATACAACTTATAATAATAATAATCCTGGCATTAGATACAGAGCCTCATCACGTCTTCGCGACGTCTCAAAGCGCTTCACAGGATACACTGTAAAGTGCAGTGACTGTATATTTTGCATCGTTGGCTGATTTTGATGTGATTGGTAATAATTAAAACACACAAACACATACCCACACATATACACACCCGCGCACCCACACCCGCTCGCGCCCACACACCCGTGCGCGCCCACACACCCGCCCGCGCACGCACACACCCGCGCACGCACACACAAGATGCCTTTTTGTACCACATAAAGATACGGTGTCTCAAGGCCCTTCACAGTGACAAGTCAGGTACAGGAGGCTGTGGGTTTATAGGCAAATAAAGACAGAGTTGATTTGGGGGATTGTCAGCCAGGAAACTAGGGCAAACCCCCTTCTCTTTTCAAATTGTGTCATGGGGATAATAATAATAATAATAATAATAATAATAATAATCCTGGCATTTGACCCAGCGCCTCATCACTTTGTCAAGACGTCTCACAGCGCTTCACGGGATACACTGTAAAGTGAAATTGACTGTATATTTTGTGGGCCAAACGCGGCAGCCGATTGCTCACAGCATCGTCCCCACAAACAGTGGTGGGTTGAAGTGACCAAATAATTTTTTTCTGTGGAATTTTTTTGAGGGATTATTTACCCCCTGAAAAGCCATCCGCCAATCGACTAACAACCAGGTTCTTATTTACTGCTGGGAAACAGAGGTGTGTGTCTGTGTCTGTGTGTGTGTCTGTGTGTGGAGGAAGAAAACTTGCCCAACGTTTCGGCCTAACCTGACCCGCCCGGGAATCAAACCCTGGTCCTCTCACTTGCTTGTGAGACGAGAGCTCTAATCCCTGAGCCACAGGGAGTCCACGATGATAGACAAAATGGAGGTTTAAATGCCTAACATCAACCTGAAAAATAGACCAGAGGACGGCCCCAGGACCACATCCGAATCTCGATCGACCGCCACGTGGTGATTTGGCTGCTGAGCCTCCAACGTCTTTGCCGAAAGCCTCGACACTCACCGTCCGTGCTGGCGTCGTCCACCATGATGATCTCCTTGAGTACGATGGCGGGGGAGGTGTAGAGGACGCTGTACACGGTGCGGAGTAAGGTGCTCCAGGCTTCGTTGTGGAAGACGATGATGACACTGGTTGTGGGCAGCGAGGGGCAGCGCTTAAACCTCTGCTCAATACACCTGGACAGGTCAACACAAAAACATCCATAAGAATAATAATCACCATAATAATAATAATAATCCTTGCATTCAAGACGTCTCAAATTCACAGAATATACTGTAAAGTGAATTGACTGTATATTTTGTGGGCGAAACTCGGCAGCCAATTGCGCACAGCAGCGTCCCCACAAACAGTGGATTGAAGTGACCAATTTTTTTTATATGGGATTATTATCAATTGTGTGGAGTAAGGAAACTTGCCCAAGGTTTCGCCCTGAACTGCCGGGAATCAAACCCAGGTCTCTCGTTTGCGAGGCAAGTGCTCTAACCACTGAGCTATAGGCCTTCCACCATCCTGGCAGTCGCTTGACATGTCGTGTCCCCAAACTATATACTGTATCCCCCAGATATTATTTTCTAGCAGAAACCTATCTCATTTGTTCTTGAAAGAAACAAGATTTTCTGCTTCCACCGTTGGTCTGTCTCCCGAGGGAACCTGTTCCAGAAGTTTACTACTCGTTCACTGAAGTAGTTTCCCCAGATTTATTCTGAATCTCCCCCCCCCGGTCACCCTCACACCCCAACAGCTCTTAACACAAAGATTTTACTGAACATCTTGAATGCATTGCCTGAAAGGGTGGGGGAAGCCGAGTCGATAACAACTTTTATGACAGAAGTAGATCATTATTTGGGGAGGACAAGTTTGCAGGACTATGGGGAGAGAGCGGGAGGAGTGGGGTTGATCAGGGCTATGGGGAGAGAGCGGGAGGAGTGGGGTTGATCAGGGCTATGGGGAGAGAGTGGGGGAGTGGGGTTGATCAGGGCTATGGGGAGAGAGCGGGGGAGTGGGGTTGATCAGGGCTATGGGGAGAGAGCGGGGGAGTGGGGTTGATCAGGGCTATGGGAGAGAGCGGGGAGTGGGGTTGATCAGGGCTATGGGGAGAGAGCGGGGGAGTGGGGTTGATCAGGGCTATGGGGAGAGAGCGGGGGAGTGGGGCTGAATTGGAAGCTCTTTTCAAAGAGCCGACACAGACACTATGGGCCAAATGGCCTCACTCTGTGCTGAACAGTGGAACCATAGGACACGGTGAAGGGGGTAAATTCAGAACAAATCTGAGGAAACGCGACTTCAGTGAGCGACTGGTAAACATAAGGAACAGGTTCCCTCGGGAGGGAGGGAGGGAGGGAGGGAGGGAAGGAGGGAAGGAGGGAGGGAGGGAGGGAGATGGTGGAAGCAGAAAGTGTTGTTTGTTTTGAGAACAAATGAGATCAATTTCTGCTAGAAAATAATATCTGAGGGGGTACAGTGTATAGTTTGGGGACAAGACAAGTCAAGCGACTGATAGGAAGGTGGAAGGTGACCTGGATGGACCTCGGTCCTCTTTTCCAGCAAATTCTTATGTTGTTCTTATTGCCGGAAATGGGAAAGTTCTTCATTTCCCAACAGTTCTAACTGCTGAGCCACAGAGAGTTACCCAATCAGTTTCAGGGGGNACTGGGGGAGCAGGGGAGGTGGGGGAGAGAGAGGGGGGGCGAGAGGGAGGAAAGGGAGGGTGGGGAGAGTGTGAGGGCAGGGAGAGAGGGAGGGCGGGGAGAGAGGGAGGGCGAGGAGAGAGGGAGGGCGGGGAGAGAGAGAGGGGTAGTAAAGACTAGCGTGGGTGTGGAAGCAGTAATGGCCGTACTCTGGGTGCCTTGTGTCTGGTCCGAGACCTCTGTGTAAGGAGATGCGATCGCTGGCGAAGGCATTGAAGCAGTGTTTCTCCATCCCGCGCTCCTTCTCCTTCTCTTCCTCCGGGGAGAGGGCGTGCGAGCGGAAGCCTTTGCCGTCAGCCCCCGGTGAGTTGGGATCCTGCGGGGGGCGAACGAGGAAGGGCTTGAGCTCGGAGGAGGTGTAGTGACCGGGGAGACAGGAGCTGGGGGGAGAGACGGCTTCCGCTGGGCGGTGAGGAGCTTTGATCTGGAACTTGGGCATAGAGTCCCGGATGTTGTTCACAGCCCCAAACATCATCCCCAACATCCGGTCTTTGCCGTCCGCGATGTCCCTGAGCCACGGGCTCTCGCTGGGCCCCCGGTTACCCGCGTCCCTTTGCAGGATGAACAAGAAGACCACAAAGATCACGGCCACCATGGCCAGTTTGGCCGGGCCAAAACGTCGCCTGAAGAAGATCCTCATGGCCCCAGACAAGACAAGGTTTCCCTAAAATCCAGTGACTAGCCACTCGGCTCCATCCAGGGCTTCCCGAACACAGCCCTGCAACGAGACCAAACACAGTCTGAGAAAGCCGGCCACAACAACAACGACTACTAACGGCATTTACACAGAGCCCTTCACGTCAGGAGGACGTCCCAAGGCCCTGGACAGTCCAGGGATTTGGATCCGACTCGGGGTTTGGGATCAGGAGGGGTTGGAGGGCAGGGAAGGTGGGGGTTGGAGGGCAACCGAAAGTGCAGTCGCTGAGGAAGGTCTTCAGGCGTGACCTGAAGCTGGGGAAGGTGGGGACAAAGCGGAGGGATGGAGGGAGAGCGTTCCAGAGTTTCGGGGCGTTTAGTGGCTGAAATGGAGGGGGACAAACAGGAGGCCTGAGCCAGTCGAGCGGAGGCACCGGGTAGTGGGTTGGGGAGTAAGGAGGTCGGAGAGGGAGGGAGGGAAGGATGGAGTGAGTGAGTGAGTGAGTGAGTGAGTGAGTGAGGGCAGGAAGGAGTGAGTGAGTGAGTGAGTGAGTGAGTGAGTGAGTGAGTGAGTGAGGGCAGGAAGGAGTGAGTGAGTGAATGAGTGAGTGAGGGCAGGAAGGAGTGAGTGAGTGAGTGAGTGAGGGCAGGAAGGAGTGAGTGAGTGAGTGAGTGAGGGCAGGAAGGAGTGAGTGAGTGAGTGAGTGAGTGAGTGAGTGAGTGAGTGAGTGAGTGAGTGAGTGAGGGCGGGCGGGCGGGCGGGCGGGCGGGAGGGAGGGGAGGGAGATGCTGGGGCATGAAGGGATTTGAACAGGATATAAAAGCCTTGATAAATACTTTTCATACTGTAGCATGAATAATCTTAGCATTTATTAGTAATATTCTTAAAAGACCAGTGCAGACACGATGGGCCAAATGGTCACCTTTTGTGCTGTAAAGTTCTACAGATCTATGGCAGCATCTATACCACTGACGTCTCAAAGCACTCACTCCAGGTGAGCGACCGTGTAATTGCAGGCATTATTTTACACGCAGCAAAGTCCCGCGAAGGGAAGGACTGATTTAACGATACGTCAAGAGAAACGCCTTTCTCTTCTCAAATATTGGCACTCTGACCTCAGGCGACTCTCCTTACTTCACACACACGCCTCTGTTTGTGCAGCAGTTAGTAGAAACACGCTTGTTGGTCGATTGGCGGATCCCTCAAAAAAAATGTGGTCACTTCAATCCACGGCTGAATGTGGGGACGCTGCTGCGCGCAATTGGCTGCCGCGTTTCGCCCGCAAAATACACAGTCACTACATTTTACAATACAATCAAAGGGCTTTGAGACGTCTCGGCGATGTGATGAGGCGCTGTATCGACCACGAGGATTATTATCATTATTATTATTATTATTATCATCTCTACGGGAAGACAGGACCGCGGTTTAATGTCTCTGCAACGTGCGTTCCTCAGTACCGGATGACGGGAGCATCAACAACAACAACAACAACAACAACAACAACAACAACGTGCAGGTTAGCGTCGCAGAGCCCATCAGCCTGAAGCTCGGAACGAACGAGAGTGACTGAGATGTTACCTCCCGCGGCCCGGCTAATAATAACACAGTACAGGGTGTTTGTTGACAGAAGCTCCTATTTCAGTGCTGAGGGCACCCGACAGATTTGCCGAACGCAAATAAAGGCCATTGTTCACTGATGCGCAGGAATTTGCATCCGGCATAACAATTAAATATTAATATTATAATTACTATGATGATGATTATAATTGTTATTGTTGTTATTGTTATTATAATAATGATCCTTCCATTTGACACGGCGCCTTATCACGTCTTCGAGACGTCTCAAAGCGCTTCACGGGACACACTGTAAAGTGAATTGACTGTGTATTTTGTGGGCAAAACGCGGCAGCCAATTGCGCTCAGCAGCGTCCCCACAAACAGTCGTGGATTCAGTGACCAATTTTACTTTTTTGAGGGATTATTAACCTACCTAAGGTTTCGCTCTGCCCAGGAATCGAACCCAGGTCTCTCAAAAGCGAGGCGAGGGCTCTAACCACTGAGCTACAGGACTCCACAATATTTTACTGGATAAAGTTTAGCTCCCAGCGGAGGGTCTAAATGAACGTCTCTCTCTCTCTCTCTCCCCAGGAAGCCAGCGATGTCACCTGGGGATGGTTAAAAGGAAGATGGTCGGACAGTTACAATGCGCATTAAGGGATATGGAGAAGAGGAGGAGAAGGGATATTGGGTTAAGAGATAATAAGGCAGAATTAGGCTCAATGAGTGAAATGGCTGTTCCTGTACTGTAAGTGAGACTGCTCCAACCTGTTGGCTGCTGAGGGGCGGATGCCCCAATTGAGAAACACCTGCGGGGGTTGGACAAGCAATATTTTTGTGTTTCCCTTCCAGAAACATAACATTGACTGGTTGTAGAAACATAGGAACAGGAGGAGGCTATTCAGCCGCTGGAGCCTGTTCCGCTTTCTACAAGATCATGGCTGGATCTGTACCAATGTCTCACGCTACGCCACAATAACCACATTGTGTTGTGAGTGGTCTGAAGCCACGAGTGTCTCTCTCTCTCTCTTTCTCCCTCTCTCTCGCTCTCTGTGTATCTGCCCGTGTAAGAGGGTGGCAGAGCCCAGGCTTGTGTTCAGCATTCCTGTGGTTGACCAATCTCTCCCGCCAATTACCTGCCCTTTGCCCCGTATCCCTGACGTAACAAATAGTATTATGGAGGGAGCGCGTGGGCCAGGTGAAATGGAGTGGCGGGGGGTGGGGGTGGGGGGCCGGATGTGGCCCGTGGGCCGCCAGTTGGACCAAGCTGCTTCTAAGCCACGTACCCTAGAGCGAGGTCGAAGGAACATCTTCTGACCCACCAAAATTGGCCGGACAGCTGCACGTGGAACTCTCAAAAGGGTTTGGACGCTGCACTGTTAAGCCGGGTGGTGGATAGGTGCGCGCCAGCCCGCATGCGTGCGTGCATGTGGGCGCGCATCAGACACCCGCCCGGCGGAAGATGTGCGTTGACGTTGCGAAGAGCAAAAAGCGAGTCAACAAAAAAAAACCCGAGAGGGAGAGAGAGAGAGAGAGAGAGAGAGAGAGGTTGGTCAACCATAGGAATGCTGAGCACAAGCCTGGGCTCTGCCACCCTCTTACACGGGCAGATACACAGAGAGCGAGAGAGAGAGAGAGAAAGAGAGAGAGAGAGACACTCGTGGCTTCAGACCACTCACAACACAATGTGGTTATTGTGGCGTAGCGTGAGACAGTCTTCAACACTCGTTCACACTCACGCTCACACTCACACTCACGCCAGCTCAGTGTTTTTGGCAGCGATGGCTGGCTGGCTGGAAGCAGAGGGAGGTGAGCCAGACTGGGACCTGGTACTGACTGGAACCAAACAGACCAACGTGAAGGGGAGAGAGAGACAGACAGAGAGAGAGAGAGAGAGAGTCAGTAACAGCACAGAGTTTGGGCGAAACGTGGAAGAGAAACCGACGATGGAAGCTTGTCGGGCGCATTCTAGTCTCTGTGACAGAACGTTGGGGAGAGGGGGGTACAAGCCCCAGTTTGGAATAGTAATATAATAATAATAATAATCCTTGCGTTTGATATCACGTCTTCGAGACGTCTCAAAGTGCTTCACAGGTTACATTGTAAAATGTAGTGACTGTATATTTTGTGGGCGAAACGCGGCAGCCGATTGCGCACAGCAGCGTCCCCACAAACAGCCGTGGATTGAGCGACCAAATTATTATTATTATTATTTGTTTGAAGGGATTATTGCTCCCAGAAGAGCGATCCGCCAATCGACTAACAAGCGGGTTCCTACTTAGTTGGGTAAACAGAGGCGCACGTGTGAGTGTGCGGAGGGAGGAAGCTTGCCCAACGTTTCACCCTGACCTGACCGGGAATCGAACCCGGGTCCTCTTGCTTGCGAGGCGAGGGCTCTAATCACTGAGCTACAGGGGCTTCAACAACAACAACAACAGCAACAAATGGCATTTATATAGCGCCGTGCACGGAGGATAGCGTCCACGAGCATCTGAACCGACTCCACGCTTCAACAGCGGAGCTTTGAGACGTTGCGATGGGCTACGGGGTTGGCTCCAAAGGAAATACTATAATAAAAGTCGCTGGGGGGTGGGGGGTGATTTTTGTTTCACCCCCTTATGCGAGGTGATTAAAATCGGCTACTTACCTTGCCCGCTTCACAGAGAGCTGGTGAGCTAGCTCTGAGACATGCCAGTGTTTGTGCCAGAGAGATGCCACGCCAACATCACTTTCCCGCCTGGCTCCTCCCTTTTTCGGAGCAAGCGAGAGAGAGAGAGAGAGAGAGAGAGAAATAAAAGTTTCAGCAAAAACAAATTGACTTGTTTTTCCCCCGTTAGTCACGTCTGTGTCTCGTAGCAGTGACAGGTTCCTGCCAGCCCAGACCAGGCTCGAAACACTAACTCTTTGAGACCATCGAAGTCCCGATGCAAGACCAATAATAAGAAGAATAATCCTCGCATTTGACACAGTGCCTCATCACATCATCGAGACATCTCAAAGCGCTTCACAGGATACACCGCAAAGTGAATTGACCGTATATTTTGTGGGCGAAACGCGGCAGCCAATTGCGCACAGCAGCGTCCCCACAAACAGCCGTGGATTGAGGTGACCACGTTATTATTTTTAAAAAATGATTTTGAAGGGATTATTGCCCTCGGAAAAGCGATCCGTCAATCGACTAACAAGCAGGTTCCTACTTACTGCTGGGTAAACAGAGGCGTGGGTGTGTGCGTGGAGTAAGTAAACTTGCCTAAGGTTTCACCCCGCCCGGGAATCAAACCTGTGTCCTCTCGCTTGCGAGGCGAGTGCTCTAAACCACTGAGCTACAGGACTCCACAAGGACTGAGCTGTGGAGCAGGGTGTCCTTTCGCTGGGAGATACTGGCTCCGATCCAGCCACATGGATGATCTGCTGATGACTGAATATGACTCAATAGTCTGGACAGCCTCCACCCAGCTGGTAGACAAGTGCTGGTACTGAGCGTCAGACTGAACAGCGTGAAACAGAGATTACACTCTTCAACTACCACTTGACTGGGTTTGACTGGGTCGAGCGCACAGTCACTTGGAACTCAACCAGCGCCGACAAGTTGGACCGAATGGCCTTCTTCTGTGCTGTAGAAACTCAGGAACACTCTTCCTCCCTCCCTCCGCCTTGCCCCCTTCCTTCCCAATCTTCAGGTCGCGCCTGACAACTTTCTTCTTCGACCGTGCCCTCGGTCACCTCCCCCCTCCCTCCCTCCCTCCCTCCCACTGGCTTGGGGTCCTGCTCCATCAAGTGGGCTGGGACACTACCCTGTGTGAGGGGCGCGAGTTGTTGTTGTTGTTGCTGTAGTAAATGTCTATGGTTCTAAGGTGGGATATCTGGTCCCCAGGGTTGGGCTATGTGTAGGGAATCCTGGCCCAGACCAGGAACAGGCAAATAGAGCAGAAAAACGGGAAAAATGAGGACTTACTTACCCAAGAATAAGCCAAATGCCACTAATTCATAATAAACACGTCAATAGCGTAGGTAAAGGAGCACAAGGATAATTACACAGGAACACCACAAGACCTTTAGGAACCTTTGGACCATCCAACCGACTGTTTAGAAGGAAATTGGGTAAATCCTCCAAGAGAAAGTGTCAAAGACCCAGAGGAGATTAGAGGAGACAGCGCCAATCAGGAAATAGCACCATCACATGACGCCTCTCTTCTGTACTTTAAACCTTCTTGGGGAAGCGGTTCTAGACAGCTGGTGAGGGACGGAAAACGTTGTTCCTCCCTGTGTCCTGGTCAACAATTCCCCAGAGAACCTGAGTGTTCACTGCACCTGGGTATCAAAGATCCCGTGCCGCGAAAACCGGCGGGAGTTAGCATCATAACTCTGGCATTTGACAGAGCGCCTGATCACGTCTTCGAGACGTCTCAAAGCGCTTCACGGGATACACCGTGAAGCGAATCCACTGTATATTTTGTGGGCGAAACGTGGCAGGAGCAAGGAAACTTGCCGAAGGTTTTCGTCCCGCCCGGGGGTCCTCTCGCTCGCGAGGGGAGCGCGCAAACCACTGAGAGTCACGGCGGATTTGGAATTCCTTGACCAGCGGCTTTTCGAGAGAGTTGGGGGCGACCGCGACCTCCACCGAAGAAGAGGTAGCGTTAATTTTGACAGAAAGCGACCTAACTCGGTTGTTATGGTAACGGGTTCCAGTGTACACCTCACAGTTCTGATCACCGTCCAACAGACGTGACGTTGAGACTGCAACACACAGCCCCATTCATTCAAACCTCTCATTTACCTTCAACAGAATAACACAACAACATGTGTGTGAAGTTGTTGAGCCGAGTTCCGGGCTCGAAGGGATACACAACAACAATCCCTGCAGCTTCAACCAGCGCCCATCACCCCGGAAAGCCGTCTCAAAGCGCTTCACAGATTTACTGTAAAGCGTAGTGACTGTGTGTCTTGTCGGCTGCCCACTCGGGCACAAACAGCGTAATTTTATTGTTGGCCAGGACACCGAGAGAGAGAGAGAGAGAGAGAGAGAGAGAGAAGAGAGAGAGAGAGAGAGAGAGAAAGATCCTTCTCGTTTCAAATAGTGCCGCAGGAGATCTTTAACATCCGCCTGAACAGGCAGACGGGACCTTGGTTTAATGTCTCATCCTAAGGAACAGGGATACATGGGATTCTGTGGAGTAGCTCAGTGGTTAGAGCGCTCGCCTCGCAAGAGGGAGGACTTGGGTTCGATTCCCGGGCAGCGCGAGACGTTGAACATTTTTCCTTACTCCACACAGCTCTGTTTACCGAGCGGTAAGTAGGAACCCGGTTGTTAAGACCATCTGATCTTATCCCTCCAGAATACCCGTCCCACCGCGCCCCCATCACAGCTTCGAGCTGCTCTTAAACCAGTCCCAGTGTCCTGGCCTCAAACCCCCCCCCCCCCCCCCCCACTTTCCTGGTAACCCTGTTCCAGTCATTAATTACACTCTGCGTAACAATAATAATAATAATAATAATCCTCGCATTTGTCGTCAAGACGTCTTATCATGTTGTCGAGACGTCTCAAAGGCACTTGACAGGATATACTGTAGAGTGTAGTGACTGTGTGTTTTGTGGGCGAAGGCGAAACGTGCAGATATCGGCTCCGGAAATGGCTGAGAGATGAAAGAGTTAATCACAGGTGTGGAACTGGGTTTGGGCGACGTGTCGCAATCTGCTTAAACAACTAGGATGTCGGACTCGTTTTGATTGGAGTCGTCTTTCTCAGCCCCTCCCCGGCTAATAAAAACACAGACACGTCGCTCACCGCTCCACATCAGTAGTGTTCTGCCACAAAGAACACAGATGAAAGGCGCAGCAATTGCATTGTACTGTACACAATCGGTTGCCGTGTTTCACCCACAAAACATACAGTCAATACACAGAGACACGCCCCGACTAACCTACCAGGAGGCAGGAACCCGGCTGTCAGCTGGTTGGCGGATGGCTTTTCTAGGAGATGATAATCCCTTCAAAAAGCAAATTATAATCACTTGGTCACTCGATCCACGGCTGTTTGTGGGGACGCTGCTGTGCGCAATTGGCAAGCCGCGTTTCGGCCACAAAGCACACAGTCACTACACTTTACAGTGTATCCTGTGACGCGCTTTGAGACGTCTCGAAGACGTGATAAGGCGCCGGGTCAAATGCGCGGATATTATATCTTATTATTTCTTCCATCTTAGTGCAGACACGAGGCTGTTACAGAGCAGATGCAGCAGTTACAGGTCACGAGGTTCAAATCCGGCCTAACGGTCCACTGCTACATCTGCCTGGACCTCATCAAGACCTACCGCTCGCTCTCGCCTCGGCCAAATTGTCCTTCTATTCCAGGTTAATCCCAGAGGTGAAGGGCAACCCCAGGCTCCTGTTCTCCACCACCACCCGGCTCCTCCACCCTCCCCTCCACGCCTCCCAGATTCGTTCCTCCGACTCCCACTGCGAGAAATGCTGGACTTCCTCGAGTCCAGAATCAAGGGAATCCGCTCAGCTGTCACTGCCCTCCCAACTTCCACCCCCTCCCTACCCCCACCCCACACTCCGACCACTAACCATTCCTCCTTCAACACCTTTAACCTGTCACCCCCTCTTCTGTCATCACTACCATATCCTCCATGAAGCCCACCACCTGATCCCTGGACCCCATCCCCACCCCTTAAATCTCAGCTCCACCTTCTTGCCCCACTATTCGCCGACATCATTAACCTCTCCCTGTCATCTGGCACTGTTCCTACCCTCAAAACAGCCACTATCACCCTCACCTTGAAGAAACCTTCCCTTGACCCAACACAGCTATCCAGCTCCCGGCCCATCTCCCACCTTCCTTTTCTGTCTAAGGTCCTTGAGCGAGCAGTTGCCTCCCAGCGTCGCTCTTTCCTCTCCTCCCACTCCATCCATGAGCCCCTCCAATCGGGTTTCCGTGCTGCCCACTGCTCTGGTCAAGGTCACAAATGACATCCTGACCATGTGTGACCAGGGCTCCCTCTGCCTCCTCGTCCTCCTCGACCTCTCCGCTGCCTTTGCCACCATGGACCACTCAATCCTCCTTCACCCCCTCTCCTCCCACCTCAACCTTCAAGGTTCTGTCCTTGACAGGTTCAGGTCCTACCTTTCACACCGCCTCCACTTCATCTCAGCAAACGGTTTCCCCTCAACCCCCCGCACCGTCTCTTGCGGTGTTCCTTAGGGCTCTGTCCTCGGTTGCCCTCCTCTTCACCCTCTATACGTTCCCCCTTAGTGACATCATCCGCAGACATGGGATTTCCACACATATGCGGATGACACCCAACTCTATCTCTCTGCCTCCACCCTCAACTCCAGGACAACTGGTGTCCCGACCGACTGCCTGTCCCACATCAAGTCCTGGACGAGGGACAACTTTCTCCAACTCAATGTCAGCAAGACCGAGGCCCTCCTGATTCGCTGAAGCATCAGCCTCCACGGCTGCACACTCAACCTCACCAGTCAGGAACCTGGGGGTCTTGTTTGACCCTGAACTGTCCTTTCTCTCCCACATCCGCGCCATGACCGGCACTGCCTACCACCAGCTCCGCAACACTGCCAGACTCCGCCACTGCCTCACCCCTCAGGCCCCCAAACCCTCACCCACACATTTGTCACATCAAGGCTCGATTATGGAAACTCCCTCCTCATCGGCCTTCCCAACTCTTCCCTTCACAACCTGCAGATCATCCCAAACTCTGCAGCTCATATACTCTCACGCACCAGACTCCGTGACCCCATCACTCCCACCCTCGCCCGACTCCACTGGCTCCCCATCCCCCAGAGGATCGAGTTCAAGATCCTCGTCCTCACCTGTAAGGCCATCCATGGCCTTGACCCCTCCTACCTCTCTGATCTGCTGACTCCCTACCAACCTGCCCTCTCCCTCTGTTCAGCGGACTCTGGCCCTGCTCCATGTCTGCCCCCCGACCCACCCTACCATCGGTGGCCAGACTTTCGGCCTCTCTGCCCCCAAGCTCTGGAACTCCATCCCTCAGTCCCTTCGCCTCGCTTCCTCCCTCGCCTCCTTCAAGGCCGGTCTCAAGACCCTTCTCTTCGATCGTGACTTCGGTCACCCTCCCACCTCTCTGCCTTCCCTCACCCCTACCCCACACCTCCCCCATGCTCAGGTCCTGACACCTGACTGTCGAGCGCCTTGGGACGTCCTCCCAACGTGAAAGGCGCTCTATAAATGTCAGTTTGTTGTTGTTGGTGTAGGCTCAGATATCAAAGCTCAAGTGGTGTGTAAATGTCCTAACCAGAGAAGGCAGGGACTGAGCTCAGGGCTCACTTACACCACAAATCATCTCAGTTCCTCACAAGAGCAGAGAGACATTCAGCTTTTGGTCAAAGTTCCTTGAAGTTCACCGGCCTTGAAGAACACCGGCCTGGGCTAGTTGAGCCAAACAGTCTGTTTCTGTGTGGTATCGCTCTGGGACACTACCCTGCATGAGGGGTGGGGGGGGGGGCTATATAAATGCAAGTTGTTGTTGTTGTTATTGTATAATTCTGTGTGTGGTTCTGTGTAACTCGAGGTGACTGAGCCTCACCACATTACTGAGGATCAGTCACGAAATATTTTTCCCCGTCGAGAATTTCACTCAGAACTTAAAACATCCAAACCGAGGCGGGGTGGGGGGGGGGGGCGACCTGAAGATGGACAAGGAAGGGGTGATCCTCAGGCTGGGATAGGTTTCCCGCAGGGGTATGTGTGCGTGTGTGCGTGTGCGTGTGTATGTCAGGGTAAAAGGGAAATTTAATTAACTAGATTGGCAGCCGAGCCGTGGGATGAAATTGCATCCTTGAAATCACTCCCAGATACCCTGTCGCTCATGTTATACACGATGCAGGATTTCTCCGCCCGACCACACTCCTGTTTCATGTCCTCTCTGTCAGGACGTGACAGCATGACTGACAGTCACTGTG